CCAGGATCAAGGCGATCATCAAGCATTGCCGGGAGGACCGGCAGAAATTGTGCCGGTCTGCAGCTTACTAAAAACAATTGCTTCTGTGAATCCCCAGTGTTGGAATCCCAAAGGGGTACTCAATCACTCAGCTCCACTACAGGCGTGACAGATACGAGAATGTGACATTATTCTGGGTTGAAACTTCGGTGTCTGGATCCTTGACGCACCACAGCTGCAAACACGAGGGGCTGAGTCAGGTCTAAATTCTTTTAAGCTAAAGGTTTAGAACCAGTTGAATTATTATTTCGCAACACGATCGCCGGCCCCACTTTGACATTTGTTTGCTAGGCAGAAGAGCCGGTCTTCGTTTAACCGTCGCACCCAATGGACGGAGAAGGGCAAAGACGGTGCAGGCGCTCTTGAGCCTTCGTCCGACTTCCAGTTCCCACATCGAAAGCCTGCAGTGGCGGTGAAGATCGAGAATGGAGACCAGGGAGAAGGCTCTAGAGTTGTTTTCCCTCACGTGGATCCAGTGTATAAAGATTTGGAAAGAACTTAAACCGCGAAAGCTTGCCTCAGATCACATGGATCATCGATTATCCAATCTTTCTGGCACAATTCTTTCCATTGGTCTCTGTACCCAGGACATCTCGATGAGGTTGATGAGGACTCGGTTCCCCAGGACCCGGACCTCGATCAGGACAATTTGGAAAAATTGCGTCACCAAGCAGGGCTTCCTGATTTGATCGCGGATGACCCGCCATCAGCAAGTTGCAACAAGATGTTGAAACTTGGGTGATCACCGATCAAGTTCCCTCATGGTTCTGGGAGTGATAAGATTTGCCCTAGAAGCTGTGGGGACCGAGAGTGTATTTCTATGGGCAATGTGCCGCTGTAGATTTTTACCCGAAGAAATGAACAACCAGCGCAGGGGGTCCAACATAGAGATAATCATTTGTTCTCGCCCAGGACTTGTTTGAGCAAACGCATGGTCAAGTTGGACGACTACATTAGCAAGTTCGCCGCTGCAGATCAGCTGACTGACATCCAAAAACGGTTGATACCTCAGACCCTGCCTGGTACATCCACCATTTTTCTCCTTTCCACCTCCTGCAAGCGGGAAGTTTGCAGCCAAGGATGAAAGCCAAAGTCGAGGAGTATCGCAAGCTGTTGGAGGAAAAGTATGAAGAAACCAACAGAATCTACACTGACGGCGTTGTGGATGGATTCACACCTTTGCAACATATCTGACTAGTGCGGCAATAGGATGTTGTGTCTGAATTCTGTCTGAGGTCATAGATATATATCGAATACAATGAGCAATTGGTCTCTTTGCCCCTCCGGCAAAAATCCCACTGTTGAGGCAAGAGCGTACTCTAAAAGACTTGTATGGAAAATCCCAGAAGCTGCTGGGTTCTCAGCCCTATTTGGTGACATGCTGGACAGTGATAGCTCCAAAGCCACAGCCCCCACGCATGTAGCCGAGGGCTGTGGAATCAGTGAGTTTGGAGGGCCGCATGAGGCCGGGCCACACAGTCGGCTCTTGGACATTCCGACTTCCAAAATCCTATTCCCACCCAGCCCTTGCTTTCGGCTTCGCTGGAGGCCGTATCTTCCCAAGACTTCATCTGCTGCGGTGAAGAAGCCGAACAAGAGAGAGGCGGCTAAGGCGAAGAGCAAGGCCAAAGCAAAAGCTTCGGCCAACCCGCCGGATGGAAATTCCAGGGGCAGGGGCAAGAAGTGATTAAGTAGCTTACGGTAAGTCAAAAGTTGTTTTGATAATTGTGTTTTAGCCTCCCTACATACGTAAAGCTTGCTTGCCGAAGTTGGGGACCAGTGTTGATCCAACACCCTTGCCCTACACAAGTGTTGCAAACCGCTGCAGACAGCAGGCTGCACGTTTTAAATCGAAAAGTGCGATACAATCTTGCTGCAATTCGTTCGCAGACTTTGATGGCCATAGCGGACAGGGGAAATTGCCAACATCAATGCTAAACCATTTTGATGTGATGTCTACATCCAAGAAAGTTAAAGTCATCGTGGTAGTCCTGGTCAATGCCAGTTATTGGCGCAAGCCCTAATCCCATCAATGAAGCTGCTGCCCATGCTCTAGCTGATGGGGTGGGAGCCTCATATTTCCGAATTGGTTTCCGACCCTTGGGTGCCCTCATCCCGCAATCCCCCGGTTGTGGCTGAGGTCACGGCAGTCTGTGTGGATCGCTTCGTGGCATCCGCTCAGGCTGGCCATGGCCTTAGAAGCAAGGCCACTCCAGAGTCTAGGGCCAGCAATGCGGCAAGAAACGGGCGTCGTATGATTGAACGGCTTGGTCTTCGTTGGAAAGTCCCCATTTCACATATGACTTTTCAGTTTGAAGGAGAAGATGTGGTGATCCCATACGTTTCACCCTTGCACTTGTTTCCATACATCTTGGAAAACCACAGGGAATTGCTTTTAGGTGGCTTCAAAGATTTGCCACTTGGCGTGGACTTACTGAAAGGTTGGTGGCAAAATTTCAAAGTGTCACATCCTCAGCATGTGGTCTACTCTGCCCATGAAGAATCCGAACTGGGATACACAATACCCCTTTACCTTTATGGAGATGAAGGCAGGGGCAAGCGGAGAGGTAACACCGCTGTTTTCACTGCAGAGGTCCCTTTTGGGCTACACACGGTCAAGAACGAAAGGAGTGATCATCGGAACATTCATTGCTGCAAGTGCTGCCCTCAAGAACATACTGGAAAAAGGTTTCCTTTCATGGAGCCACATTGGACTGGCACTATAGGGTATGCTACACACAACATGAAAGAACATAGCTTTCTCAGCAAATTTCTCTTGTGGGTTATGCCCTGCCAGCTTTACAAAACACATGACAAATTGATGAGTTTGGTGGTGGAACGATTGGCTGGAGAGTTCCGACGCCTGTTCTACGAGGGTGTGCATGTGCATGGTCGTGTCTGGACATTCGCTATTGTTGGAATGAAGGGTGACATGAAATGGCACGCAGACCTGGGAAATTTGCTTCGCCATCACGGCACTAGAGGCAAGAGACGGCCTTTGATGATGTGTCCGGAATGCCATGCTGGTTCAGCGGGCATGCCGTATGAAGATATATCAGAGTCCCCAGCGTGGATGGGCAGCCTCTACCAAACGCGGCCATGGGAAGCACGGCATCCTTTGGCAGACTGCCCCTTTGATCCAATATGTCCGGAAAAGATACACAAACGTGACGTTTTTCACACTACAAGACTTGGGGTTTTCCGACATTATGTGGGTTCAGTGCTGGTCACCGTGATCAAGTGGGGCTACTTCAAGATGGGGCCCCCTCCTGAGGAAGGAAATTCTGCCGATGTGCAACTACAGAGATCTTTCGGTCACTGCAAGCTTTGGTGTGCTACCTTTTCCAAGAGCTTGGCGCTTCGGAGTTTCTCCCGGAGGTTGTTTAACTTCCCAAACTACCACACGTATCCTTGGGCAAACACGAAGGGGTCAGACACCTTCATTTTGTGCCAGTGGCTGGTTGATTTGTTGGGGCAACTTCTTAGTCAACCGTTGCATGACCAAGCTCATGGCCCGATGTTTGAAGTGATGCGCGAAGTGGGAAAGGCGGCTATCAACTTTTCCAAAATGCTTTTTCCCCATCACCTCTTCTTGGCGCGGTCATGTGCCATGTTTGCTGTGGAGCAAGGAGCTGTTTTCTTGAAAGGATACAACTGGCTGGCCTACCAATCTTTGCATCGTTTTGATATTTGCTGTTGGGCAGTGGTCCCAAAGAACCACAGTTTTCGGCACACCCTTCTAGACATCGAATTGGCCCTTCAATCAGGGGCCGATGTCATCTTGAACCCCGCTGGAACATCATGCGAAATGAACGAGGACGTGATCGGCAAAGTGTGCAGACTTTACCGGCGAGTAGAAAGTCGCTACAACATGGCGAGGGTGTTGGAACTTTACCTGATAAAGGTTCGATTGTTGCACCTAAATGTTGAGAAACGCTTGGGGTTGTGACAAAACTGAGTGCCCCGACAGGGTTGCAGCTCGTCAGGCCCATTGCCGGACTGATGCGAAGCTACTGATAGTTTTAAGAGTGGTTCTTGTTGCACTTGTGTGTGTTTGGCTGGAAGAAATCAGGTTCTGGTGCTGATGTTTGAAACACTGTGGTGTCAGCCTAATGCTGGCAAAATGTTTTTTTTAACCGATATAAAGACATGAATGATCAAAGTTTGGCATGGAGCCACCACCAAGGCCTGACATTGACCGATGGATGGGGTGGGAAGTGGCGAAACTCAAGTTTTTTGGTGAAACCTTCAAAATTTCATGTGACCATAAATATATTTTGGGTTTGGCCAAACAATAAAAAAATGTACCGGGCGGAAGGCCCAGGTATGTACATGTATATGTACATGTATATGTCTATGTATTTGTTTTGTATATGAATATGCACACGTATATGCAAATGCGGGATGAATGACCTTGATCACCTACTTGGGGGTTTCACACTGCGCCAAGCCCGTGGAAGGCTAGTTGATTACCGAATGCGTAGGGCGTAGCGAAGGGTTCCCGTTTATAATCCTTGTTACTTGTTCGCCTCCAGTTGCTGGTCGGGTCGCCAACCCCACCCTGAAAACATAGTAACCCCACCTTGAAAACTTACCAGCCCCACCTCGGAAATGCCGCATCCATCCGCATCCCACCCCACCACTGCCTCCACCCCACCCTACCCCAGCCTAACCCACCTCATCCTCACAAAACTTGGCAAAATGTTCTATTCAGAAGCCCCCACCCCAACCCCTGGCAGAGACACACAATGGCGAAACAGGCGTATCTGTGTATCTGTGTATCTATGTATCTCTGTATCGGTGTATCTATGGATCTATGTATCTGCGTATCCGTGTGTATTATCAATTATATCTGTAAAATATCATATACATTCTATAATATAAATTGGTATAAATTGTCTATATTGCATCCTTTTACACTGGATGGGAAGGCCTTCTGCTTTTGCTTTCTGCCAGGCATCCAACCGGGCACTGGGGTCAATCGATTCGACACACGTTGCGCCCTCCAGCGGTACTGAATCATCTTGCCTCCGCAGAGCAAAGTTGCCGCAGGACATCTAAATGCATTCAGATTTGCCACAAGTTCCTGTTCAGTGCGTCCAAAGACCTCCAAATCATATCGAAATATTGAATGATTTGAATGCTTCAAGTGATGCTTCATGATGCTTCTATGCTTTCCCAAGTGCTTTCCGATTGGGACAAGACGGGGCAAGGTGACACAGTGGCCCAAAGTCGACCTAGGCTTCAGCGCTGCCCGTTGCAAAGACCTTTGCAGCGTTTGCTTCTGCAGCGACTTCAAAGTCTCTTGGAGACTGCGGCAACGTTCCGATTGCAAGTGACACCTTGGAGATGGAAACAATGTAAAGGACGGTAAAGGATTGTAAAAGATACACAAGGTGAATGATAATATAAGACAAAAAAGTCAAGCCACTTCAAGTCCACAACCCCAGTCTCTGCCAGTCTCTGCAACCGTTGCGGAATAGCATGGACACTGCTACAATGAATGCGTATGAGAGCCAGAGTTCTGTATATAACATGCCCTAAACACCAGCCAATGGTTCACAAGAATCACAAGAATCACAAGGTCTATGCGGTCCGAGTGCTCTTCTTCGCTGGTGAAGCCCTCAGAATTCACTTCGCGCAAGCGTGAATCCTCTGGCAGCGCTCTCGCCTCTGCAAGGTCTCTGCCCTGGGCGAAATGCTCCTGCAACGAACGCAGACTGAAGAGAGCCTTCGGATATAATACGAATTCTTATGATATATGATATATAATATATATATATATAATAATATAATCATAATAATAACAATAATAATAATATATAATAATATATAATATATCATATATCATATATCATATATAATATAATATATATATATACACCATTATACATCGATATATTGTTCAAACCCAAGACTGAGATATGGCATGATGTGGCCCTAAACACATCATGCCCGGCGGTTGGTGCAAGCTCAGGTCACCATGGCCATGGTCCTCGTCCATGTAGTTGACGATACGTTCCATGTCCCCTGCTTCGATGTAACCGCCTCAGAGCATCGACGGTGAAGGATTGACAGCTTATGAAAACAGCTGGCTCAGCCACGCCCGGAATCTCAAGGTCTCTCATTTATTTCCTTTCGCAATTCAGAATCTAGCAAGTGTATCAAGCACAAGCGCCAAAGGGATTGCCCATACGCATCCATACGCCTTCTTTGTGATTCGTTTGGGGTAGATCTGTGACAAGTCCGCCTCTTCGTTTGATGTCTTTTTGCTGGCGGATGTTGAACTGGGTCCTTGGAAAAAAGTCGTTACAAGAAACATCGCGCACCTTGCATGCGATCTGGGGGTTCAAGCATTCATCGGCTTAGCAATCCGGAAGATAAATTCAGATGTCAGAGTTTGGGTTTGGTCAGCACTGAGAAAACGCAAGAGAAGCGTCCGCTTCTTCAGATTTGCTTGCAGCCTCTCACATGAGCAATTTCATTAGCAAGAGGAAACTTAAAAGTCTCCCACACAAGCACTTGTCCCTCTGCTGTTCAGTTCTTTCCAAGAGGCTGCTCTATGAAGAAGCGCAGGTTGCGAAGATGCAGGTCCTCTATACGTGGTTACCATGCTCCGGCCAGTGGAGCCAACTCAACCATGGACAGGAAGTGAAAGCCGTGTTTCACCATGTCACTATGTCATGTCAAGGTACAGTTGAGCCACGTTGACATCGTTTCGGTAATTTCGAGTCCTTCAAATTCGTGCTTTCACACAGTGGTGGCTTGGCCAACGCAGCTTGGAAGTGAAGTGGCAGCTGTGGAAGGACACTACAGTCGACCTGAGTTTTCGTCAAACCCATCGTGCTGTTCACAACCAACGAGTATAAAATATTGTAAGGGGTATTATAAAATATTATAAAATAGTAATATATAGTAATAAAGATTATATAAGATATATAAAGTTAGTATAATAATAATAATATACATGTATATTATTATAAAGCAAATCTGCACTGACTTGCAGTGACATCTCGACCATTTGTCCAAACAAACACAACAAACGGCGCACAGAACTTTCCGATTTGCCGAGGCACAGCAGCACTTCGGTAGTCAGAAGGTAACGTCTCCTGAAATCACACCAGGTCAACCAGGAATGACCAAAAATGACCAAAAATCCCGCAGAAAACCATACAAAAAGGAGGTCATAATGGTGCTCCTCCATCTCTGGCCGAGGAAGTGGAAGGTGATAGAGCGGCAAGCCGCCACGATTTACCATGACGTCAGTGTAACCTGATCGTTGATGAAATTGACATCATTTGAACCAAACAAATGCTGCTAGCACCTGGTAGTGGCATGATGTAAAAATGTAAAAAGCTGACCGCCAAGGTAGCCAAGATGCGCCCGACCATGTCGGCCTCGCCATTTTCACACGAACTGATCCCCGCATGACTTGGCTTGGCCGTGGCCGAGTGGTAAACCTCCAAGTGTCCCCCACCTCTTCAGCTGCCAGGCATCCCAGGAAGCCTCTTGTCAAGTGCCTCAAGGCATTGCGAAGCTGCGACAAGTCGTCGTTCTGAAATTCCTTGGAGTGCAAACGTGTGCTCGGGAAATCTGGGGAATGATGGGAATGTGTGTGAAACATCAACAAGCCACAAAATTGTTCCTCTCTCTCTCTGTCGAGCGTGACTCTGCAGCTGTCCGATGAGGACGCTAGGCCGCTAGGCAACACTGCAATGCACGCCAACTGAATTCATCTACCCTTGCGGCTGATGAGTTGCCAAACCACCGTCGTCGCCTCCAATCTCTGGCTTCCGCCAATTTCGCCAAGGCATGCAAGACCTCAGGAACAAAGCAGTGACAGTGGCAACGTGCAGGATGTCACCTGAACATGCCCGAACCATGTCTACCACATTCCACACTCTGCTCCCCCCGCCATGTTTGAATCTTGCCAAATGCCTATGATATTAATGTAGATGCATTAAGATTTTTTTCCTATTCGTGTTGCTTCTGTTTCATAGTGATCTTGATATTGTTGTTGTCGTTGTCGTTGTCGTTGTCGATGTTGTTGCCGTTTTCGTTGTTGTTCTTCTGGACTTATTGTTTTCATTAGTGGAGGCCGGTTGCGGACTCTCACAACGCTTCCTGCAAGAAAAGCAGCCCCAAGCGACATCAAACAGCACCTTTTTCCAGCCACTCCAAGTTGCGGCACCTGCTCATTTCCAACAAGAACAGCCAGCCCCTCACGCACTTGGTCATGTTGCGAGGCTCAAAGAATAAAACACACCAGAAAAAATACATAGACATGTGCTTTTATGTAGGTACATGAGCACCATTAGACTATTACCCTAGACAGAATTTATGGAACTCAAAAGCGACGAGGGCTTGAAACAAAGGAAACCTATGTATAACCGCGTTTTAGCAGTTATTCGCACCAGGCCATGATGCCCCATAGTGATTCCTTCAAAGCGTCGATCAACAACATCTTTACACATCTTTAAACACGTTTTCAAGTTTTGAGACGTTCGATTCTTTAAGTTTTGAAATGCCATGAAGGAATCATTCAAAGAGAAACATCACCCAATCATACCCAATCTGTCACATCCATGAAACCGATGCAGGATGTGTTGCCAGGATGTTCCTTCGCCTTCACAACCTTGGCCGGAGCTTCCACTTGGCTTCTTCTCCAGCACGAAGAGGTCGCACCAGCCTTAGATGAAAACAAAGGTCAGACCGTCGCGGATTGTCTGACAAATGGAAGGATTGAAAAAAACACACAGTTTTATCATTTGTGAGGCCATTGTGAGGCCATTGTGAATAGGAGAACATCGTGAAAAAACTCGTGCAGAATTTTTGGGAGGGAATGGGCTGCGACGCATCCGAAAATCACAATTTTGCTCGTGGATCCAAGGATCCAAATCTTGAACAAAGTGATGAACGTACGTATATATATATATATATAGTATATACGTAATATATATATAGAGTATATAATATAATATATATATATGTATATATGAATGTCAGATCTTGTTGCACCAATATTTGGCACATGAGTTATCATGAGGTCATATTGGGATGCAAGCTAGACACTGATCACCAAAGGGATAGTGGTCAGGAACCTTCCAACTCTCCCTGACCAACAGGCGTGTGCTAGCAGCCGGGGGCAGACCATAAAAAGAAGCACCGCGTTTTGCAACGAAATCTTCCAAAGAATCCAATCCCCCAACCGATTCCTCAGTCACAGTCTACATGATGACTTGACAAGTCTTGTCATGCGGCTCATGACATCTTTCACCTAATGCGAATCAAACAGTATCCCCAATGGCCCTGTTCTTCTGAGAAAATTGCATTCATATGCATTCATCAAGCCAATCAATGCTCACTCAGCAGAAACCCAAAAGCCAAGAAGGCAAACACCCCATCTCACCTCTCAAACGGTAATTAAAAAATATGAGTGCATTGGTGCATTGGTGCATTGGTGGGTGCACGCTTCTAGGAATCACCTTGCAATGTGCGGCATCCATCCCTTTCTCACACCCACCACGCCCGAACGCATCCAAAGTACACGGCCAATATGTTAAAAAACACTTTACGGACACACATTGAAAGATTCGGAAAATATTAAAGGAAAAAATAGAAACGAAAAGACATGCCAGCATAGACTTTATACGCTATAGATTCCTAGCACGCACATAGCAGCAGAGCCTTGACATGACAAGCAAAACACTGTGAGAGCAGCACCCTCCAAAAACACCTTGTTTCCAACGGACTTCAACACAACTATGGATGCTATAGCATATAGCAATCGCTTTCCCTTGAAGCAAAGGCCGTCGATAGTTGAAGCTGGAGGACAACCAAGTGGAACCCCACAATATCCCACAATACTGTATCAAATGATATCCAATGCCATAAAAATGTATAAAACACATTAAAACACATTAAAACACATTAAAACACATTAAAACACATTAAAACACATTAAAACACATTAAAACACATTAAAACACATTAAAACACATTAATGTCAGACGTGTCATGTTCCAAAGAGCTCCAAAGATCTCCAAAAAAAAACAAGGCTCAAAGGCCTCAGCAACGAGTTCGATGCTCATGTGTGCAGTGAAGCAGCCTGCACAGCCGCATGCACACTCCTTCTTTCCCACCGTGTGAGGTGCCGAATCTGTCCCCAGGAAGAACTTCGAATTCTCCACTGCGCACTGCACGAGTTTCAGCCGATCCTGCTCTGTCTTCAGGATTGGGAGGCAGTAGTAGTGAGGATTGATGCCACCTTTAAAGATTGCCTTGGCATCGCGGGATTCGTGTCAAAGACTGAAAGCACGTGGCAAATGAAACAAAGTGTCGCACCAAAGACGAGTTGCATTCCTGTTGTGGCAAAGGTGATGAGCTGTAATTGTGGCAGCAACATTCGGTCCAGCCTGCATCACTGGGTTCGGGTTCCATCAAATTGAACTTTTCAAGTGTTTCCAAATGTTTCCTTTCCAAGTACAAACCCGGAGGCTCAGATAGCAAGTCATGGTTGAGAGCAAACTTTGCACAAGACCTCTGGCCATGATCTGTGATTTTACCGTCAACTACTTAGCAGTGACCTTGGCTATTTTAGTCTAGAGAGTCTAGAGTCTAGACCCTGAAACAGGGGTCTATTTGGATTATCTGGTTCCGTTTATGTTAAATCAATTTCCTAGCTTCAGACCTTTTGGATGTTCGGAAGCCAGGGGTCTAAAGAGAAAATCCTACGTCACTAGGTTTTGAACATAAAGCAACCATTTTTCCCGATTGGTTTATTCAGATGCTACAAAAAAATGAGAAAGCAAGCGCGTGGCTACAGTACAGTACAAATGTTCCAACAAAAGGATAACAAGTGAAGTAGTGCCTGAAAAAGGCAGCCCAAGGCAGCTACTTAGCTGTGCAGGGAAAAAGGCAGGAAAAGGCAGCAAACATGCCCCATATGGAATATTGAGTTGTCGATCGGCAAAAGTTGCCGACAAAAAGTGCACAGGACTGTAACAGAGTTCGATTTCAGATAAACATGGTAAAATAGTGCGGCGTTCGGACGTTTTTGGAAGATGTGGTCGGCAAAAGGCGCACGAGACTGTAGCGATGCCTGAAAAAGGCAGCTACTTAGCTGTGGCGGAAAAAAGGCAGCAGAAGGTAACAAACATGCCCCATATGCAATATTGAGCTGTGGAATTTGTACCACAAGGTTTTTCACCAAACGATTGACTCCAAGACCGAATACCGAAGACGTGGCTACAGTACAGTACAAATGCCCCAAGAAAAGGAGAAACAAGTGAAGTATAGTGAAGTAATGCTTTTACCAAGTACTTTGGGTCTACTATAATGTCATTGGAAACGTTATGTGTTTTTGGGCTGCCCATCCCTTGCAACACCATTCTAGACCCCATGACTTTGGACTCCTGCAGGAAAGCATGAAGGTTTTGAGGCATTTGGTAAAGAAAATGGCAACACAGAAAGCAATGTGACCATGATTGCATCATATTGCATCCCTCCTTCCAAGATCTTCCAAGAATGTACACGGATCAGTCTCCATGTCACAAGGAGAACTCCTTGGGTCAATCCCCTCGGAGCATTCTTGAAAGATGGAACTCCTCTCAGTGCCTTCCAGTACCAGCACCAGCAGTAACTTTTTTTGAACAAGAAAGGCAACAAAAACAAGCAAATAAAGCGTTCCAAGAAAAATGTAGGAAACAACAACAGGATACAACAGGCACACAGATACGACAAAGCTCTAGGAAATAACCCCCTAGCAAGAAGATGGTCGGAGAATCTCGAAGCAGCTGTCTCTACAAAATGAATATGAAGAAAACCGAAGAAACGTGTTATTTAACAGCATGATATTGATATGATCTGTGTCAACAAAAGTGAACCTGCATGGTCACCGATGATCAGGATTGTCTTTTTTTTTCCAAGATGTTGATCATGCCATTTGCCGGGTGAGGGGGGTGCCGGGGGGCCTGGGTGGGTCTGGGGTGGGAGGTTGGCCTCTTTGGACCCCGTGACACAAACCCATAAGGTCCATAAGGGTTGGGTACTATAGACCCTAAGTAGTTGAGGGCCGTTGAGGGTATTAAAAGATGAGTTCGCTTCTGCCGCTGCGGTTGCCACTTTCCAAGCCCGGGGCCTTTTCCACAAAGCATGCCACTGCTGCTGTCGTAATGTGCTCACAAACCACTCTCAAATTTGGACAACGAGCCAGAATCCTAAGCACCGTGGCTGAAAGAAATTCTACCGAAACGGCATGTGACAAATCGAACAAATTGCCCAAGTCAAACCACCCCGTGATCTTGCTGTTGGTGGGGTCACATACCAAGGTTCATTGGCATAACTTTGTCATAAAAGTCCGCTTCACGATCGAAGATGTCCACGGATTGATCTGTTGATTCACCATGGACCAAGAGCAAAATTCCCAGCTCCTCCATCTTTTTCAGGGCTGGGATGATACGTTCGTAGTCCGTGACTCCAAAATCGGAGTTGGTAGTGGCTCCAGCAGGGTACAGCTTCACAGCGTAGATGTGGCCACTGGCCTTGGCCTTTGTGATCTCCTCGGGTGTCATGTTGTCAGTGAGGTAAAGCCTCGGCCGCAGCACTGGATGGCACTGGATGGCATTGGATTCTTGCGGCCAACAGTTACTATCTACGACGCTATGACTAAGGCGACTAAGGATGACTAAGGAACATGAAGATACCACTATGATAGCACATGAAACCTGCGACTGGCCTGCTAGCCAATAGTCCTCCTATCTGCCAAGTCACGTCATCAAAGGCACAAACTCTCCTTCTTTGATGGTCTTGGGCAGACGAAGGAGGATGCGCTCGCGATAGGCCAAAGCAGCTTGGGTGGTCGTGACTGGAGGCACCAGATTTGGCATCACGAGAACTCGACAAAAGGCAGCGGCTGCATGGGGCCTGGTGTGTCATCTCCGATTTGCGCAGCAGTTTGTCCAGTCATACTCGGGTATTTAGATGATTCAGATGTATCTAGATGTATTTATATAGGCCATACAAATCCATACAGTAGGTACGATGAAAATTCACACCTTTTTTTTTCCGCGTCGAGTCATGTCCGAAATTCTGGCATGCCTAAGCCTACAGGATCAACGAAAGCAAGGAAGCCGGCTTACTAAGTTCGATGAAGTTTCGTTATCGTTGAGTTTAGCATAGTTTAGCCATAGTTTTTAGCCATTAGCATAGCTTGTCTTAGCCATTAGCTAATCCTTAGCCAAAAGGCACAGTATGCTCCAGGAAGGGTTCATCGCGAAAGTGATGGTGGAAATCATCGGGCTGCAAGATCTTCAGCTCTTTGGTCTCCGCCATGGCACCGGAACAGCCACCCAATAAGCTCCGAGCCGCGGACGAGAGATGTATCCGCGTATCCATGAATCTCCGATCTTGTTCAGTTGATTTGAATGAATTGCAGAAACGTGGAACAATATGGAACAATAGAGTTTATCAGAAAATGCATGAACATATTGTGTGTCATGTATCTATGCCACTGTAGTTGTGTTGTCGTTTGCTTTTGTCTGTCCCACAAGGCTTGAGAAGACGTCAAAGGTATCAGAGCTACTTAGTGAGCAGCCCACGGTAGCCCAGCATGCAGTGTTACCTTCCCAGAATATCCTGTGATATCCTGTGCCATTGAACTGCAGCGAACTGCAGTGAATTCTGGCTGCCAAGCGGCTCTGGTTGATCCGCTGCCTGTACTGCAGCAACAGTGCGTAGCAGCGCTTCACGCAGAGCCAAAGGCGGTCGCCAAGAGGGTACGCTACTGGCCAAGATGGCGAGCCTGCTGAAATCGCTGTGGCTGATCAGGACTGCCATGGACTGCCCATTTTCGCTGTCATGTGACACGGGAATGGAAGGCCAACTTGAAAACTACGGAGTCCACAATTAATTCCAATATACCCTCTGGTTATTTAACATATAGCCATGGAAAATCACCATTTTTAATAGGTAAACTAAACCATCTATAAATGGGCCATTTTCCATCATTTTCCATGGCTATGTTTAATAATTCTAATATAATTCGACCATCACCAGTTGCACCAGTTGACTAATGTTGACGCGATCCAAGGCACATGGCCAGGCTGCCGAAGCTCACATGTTCCGGTCGAGCCTTCCAAAGCCTCACGGCTTCCATGCTGACCTGAAACAGCGGCCATGGCCACGGATCGTATCGCTGGGAGTTTTCCCGCTAAAGTGTGAAAACATGTCAAAATGTCATTTTAGTTCATTTTAAACATATCAACAAAAATCAACAAAAATCATCATAAATCCTGAAACACCTTCAAACCTGACACCTTCTAGAGGCCAAGTGGCCAGCGTCAGACAGCGTAGAGCGGAAGCTGTCGCAGACGGTTCTGGAGAATCCAAAATCGCAGTGAAGGCCTCTGAAGCAAACGCAGATATCTGACATCCGATAGCCTATGATGCGACGTGTGCTTCATGAGCAGATCCGGCGATTTCTGTGACTGCTCTTTCAAGACTTGATTCAAGACGTCATAGTTAGAGTAGTTACATGGAAATGATGTGAAATCATAACACATCCACTTGACCAATTTCAACACATCATTTGATTTCATGGTTCTCGTGTCATCACCTGGCCCAAATCCTCTGTCGTCCCTTTATGTCCCTTTCTACTGGTTGGTCAAGGGGACTTTCCCATCTATCATGAATTGACAATCCCCAACTCTTCATCCATATTTCCCCAACACATTGGATAACGCCATTAATCAAACGCCATTAATATAAGTACATTAATAATCATTAATATAGTAGTATTATATATTATATAACATTATAATAATTGACATAACATTGTAAAACCCCATAGAGTCATCAGATTCAGCACGGTTTTTGACACGTTTAGCCACTCTGAGACCGCTGGAGACCGCCTCCTCCACAGCCTTGCGACCACCTCCGAAGAGACGTCCGCGCTCGATGCTCCGTCGCAAGAGGCTGCACTTGAAGGAGAGCTGCTGAGACCTGCTGTTTTGCAGCCGGTTAAAATTGGTTACCCTCTGGTGAACTAACATAGCTATGGAAAATCACCATTTTTAATGGGAAAATCCACTATAAATGGCCATTTTCAATAGCTATGTTAGTTTACCAGAGGGTAAACATTAAAAAAAAAACTCTGAAATTCTGAAAGCATCTGAAAACATAATTAGCTCTCTGGCGCTAGGAATTATACATTATTACTACCGTATTATTACCTACCAAAACACTGTGGAATACTGTGCTACACCTCCAGGTGTCACATTGTGTCATTGTGACAGTCTGCATTGCCGATTGAGATCCTGGCAGCTGTGAGCTTCGTGCGAGAAGTTCGCGGCTCTGGCCACTCTCGCCACTCTCGGCCGCCGGCTTGCATCCACATGGCAAGCTCAAGAGAATCGCTCTGTGCTGACCGTCCGGGCAAATGGCATGAACTTTGCCTGAGATGACAAAATGCAAGAGATATCATATCTGGACATGTGTGGACGTTTGGCAAAACAGAGCGGCTAAACATAGGTAAACTACACTGAAAACTCAAAAGGCATTGCAAATACTACGAAGGTAGACATATTAGACATCGCATCATCAGCACCTTTGGCATATGGAAAATGGAAATCAATGTGCATGCTTTCACTTGCAAACCAAGCACTGTAGATCCTTCTCTCATCCGTAGGAGGAAAAGGCACAAAACGCGCTGCGAAAGGATCCTGGAGAACATGGAATCCATCATAAATGTTCTTATTTTCAATCAGAATCATTGAAAAACATGTTCAATCAGGATCCTGTCTCATCCTGAAAGGAATCCATCTGGATTAAAAGAATTACTTTACTTCGTGTGATCCACACCATGACATTTATACATTTTGTTACTCGCAAATCTTCTGGCATTCTACCTGACATATCTTCTGGCATTCTATCTGGCATATCTTCTGGCATATGTTCAGACATATCTTCTGGCAAATCTTCTGGCATTCTATCTGGCATATCTTCTGGCATTCTATCTGGCAAATCTTCTGGCATTCTATCTGGCATATCTTCTGGCATTCTATCTGGCAAATCTTCTGGATTCTATCTGGCAAATCTTCTGGCATATATTCTGACATATCTTCTGGCATATCTGGCATATCTGGCATATCTTCTGGCATTCTATCTGAAATATCTTCTGGCATTCTATCTGACATACCTTCTGGCATTCTATCTGGCATATCTTCTGGCATTCTATCTGGCAAATCTTCTGGCATTCTATCTGGCATATCTTCTGGCATGTTCTGGCATATCTTCTGGCATATCTATCTGGCATTCTATCTGGCATATCTTCTGGTATATGTTCTATCTTCTGGCATATCTTCTGGCATTCTATCTGGCATATCTTCTGGCATATGTTCTGGCATATCTTCTGGCATTCTATCTGGCAAATCTTCTGGCATTCTATCTGGCAAACATTCTGGCACTTTATCTATCTGGCATATGTTCTGGCATTCTATCTGGCATATGTTCTGGCAATCTTCTGTTATTCTATCTGGCAAATCTTCTGGCGTTCTATCTGGCATACCTTCTGGCATTCTATCTGACATTCTATCTGGCATACCTTCTGTCATTCTATCCGGCATAGCTTCTGGCATTCTATCTGGCATATCTTCTGGCATTCTTTCTGGCATATCTTATGGCATTTTATCTGGCATATCTCATGGCATTTTATCTGGCATATCTTCTGGCATTCTATCTGACATTCTATCTGGCATCTCTTCTGGCTTTCTATCTGGCCGTTGAGGTCCAGCGGTGCACACTGAGCTGGGCAGGTCCCAAGTTGAGGTCCAGCGTTGCACACTGAGCTGGGCAGGTCCCAGTTCGAAGTCCAGTGGTGCACACTGAGCTGGGCAGGTCCCAGGTTGAGGTCCAGTGGTGCACACTGAGCTGGTCAGGTCCCCGGTTGAGGTCCAGCGGTGCACACTGAGCTGGGCAGGTCCCAGGTTGAGGTCCCGCGGTGCACACTGAGCTGGGCAGGTCCCAGGTTGAGGTCCAGCGGTGCACACTGAGCTGGGAAGTTGGCAAAGAGCTTGGCGCAGGGAGTCGGCGAAGAGAGTTGGCAAAGAGCTTGGCGAAGAGTTGGCAAGGTGGAAGTGCAGGTGGAAGTTGATGCAGACAAGGTCGAGGAGAAACTGGAGGAGGAGGCGAGGAGGAGGACGAGGAGGAAGAGGACAGCTAGTCGAGGAGGAGGAGGATGAGGACGATGACGAGGACGCGGAGGAAGAGCGCTCTGATAAAATCTAACAACCCTCACCTGGCAGGTGGGGAACAATTAGTTCATTCAGAATTTTTGCATCCGACTTCACTTCGACAATTGGATTCACAAAGGCCACGAGGAACTTCCAAAAAGTCGATTTCAGTGGCAGATGTTCAGGGACATGACCAAAGTAAAACCGAAATGTCGAAAGGTCTGAAAAATGTTACTTTTCTAAAACGAAAAAGGAACAAAAAGTAAGCATACCAGAACCAAAATACTTGATAACGATTCTCCTTTGCCATTGTCATGTGATTCTTGGGTATACCCCAGCCCGGCGTATGTTGACCAGATCGATAGCATGGATTCAATGCATCGGGGGATGCCGTGTATTGTTTGATGTTGGTGGATGCCATGGAGATCTGGCTAGCCATCCAGTCCTGGCATGTACTGTAAAAGTTACCTGGTTTTGATTCCAATATTTTGTTTGTGCATCTCTCGGTGCGATTTCTAAACTCATAGGTCACTGAATGGATTCTTTTGAATTTTATATAATCGTATGTTCCCCCGCCTTCGAAAAATATTTTCTCTCAATGTGCTCTTTTAGTTTGGTTGATTAAAAACGGACATTGCGCAAAATCTTTTTGCCCCTTCCGTTTAAGCGTCTTTGGAAACAATTTTGACCTCAGAACTCAACAAAGGACATCTGAGGTACCAGCTGAGTTTTGGAAACGCCACTGCAATGCGAATATGAATCAAAATCAAGACCTTCCACAAAAAAAAACACATTTTTGTTTAATTTGCACCCCTTTTCCCGAAACCCCGCTCAAAATTGTTGCGCCAACAAAAAATATCCAAAATTGCGCCCCCTCACAAAGCAGAAGTCCTTTCAAGTCTTGTGTTTTATAAAAATCAGCATGGCACACGGTCGCAAAGTGGGTCCTTGCAAAAGTCTTTGCAAGTGGTTTTCCCTGTTGGCACATCTACAAACCCCGATCAAAAAAGAAAATTTGTTTTATACTTTATATGTTTTTGTTGCTTTCCCAATGGCACACCATCATATCATATAAGTGTTTAACCCTCATATGGTTTTTTTGGGGTCAAGAACATGTGTTCCTTTCCAAATCCGCATGGCACAGGCTATGTTAAACACGAAATCTGTATGTGCAGGACCTGTCCTTCATCAGGTCGCCAAACTATCTCTCATCAAACAAGGTGAAACAAGTATCTGGGTATATGAAACATTTATCTATTTATGAAAAGAGTTTGCCTGAAGGCCATGCGTATTACTGAAATCAAGTTTGTCGCGCTCCGTGCAAGGAAAAGTTTCTGTCCTGCTTTGGCGAAAGATGGAGTGAAGATGGCAACTACCATACAGCATAAATATGGCATGCCAAGAATCGCATCTGACACTCCCAAGTCAGCTTCCGGCAGCTTTTGCTTCCGCTGATACGGATTCACTATGGGAAGCTTTCGCTTGTCACAAGGAACCAGGCATTCCATCTGCTTGATAGGTTCAGACAAAAAATTCCCCGATCTGGGCCACAATCTTCAAAACCAAACAATACAGCCTATTGGTTCCCATCTTTGGTGATGCTCCATATGACGAAGAAAGGCGAGGAAATCACCCAAGTCGCAGGTTGTGAAGTCAGGCGACCCCAGCTTCAAGCCCAGTGGGCGGGCACAAGCAATACCCCGCCCCTCCTTGAACGTAAAAAATGCGTTCCTGATCTCCTCATCTATCGCTCAAGCTGACGATGGACTTGGGGAACTGGTCGGCCGTGGCACCAATTTTGGGGCCATCCCTGTGGGAAGTTTGGCCGAAAGTACGCCGCGCTGTAAGGATCACATCGGAGTGGCCTTCCAGAGCTTGCAGGAGAGGGTCGTCCCCTTGAAAGACAAACATGCCACATGTGCAAATCTGCCCATTTTTGATCTTCAGACCACTCTCGGGCCCCTCCCACACAATGGCAGCATTTCTTCGAGCGGCATACCTAATCCTGGTTGAATTGCAAAACGGAAAACGCATATTTAACTAAATTATTTACCTTTTGCCACGATAGAATTCAAACAAGCTCTGGTGGTACTAGGGGAGAACCCTGTGGAACCCGAACTGGAGGAACCAGGCACCATGACCCAAACCTTGCAACCTGCTCATGACCTGGAACCTTGCCCTGAACCTCCCACAACAAGGCAAACCTGTGAGCACTGGAACCTCTAAGACTGGGACCTTGGCCTGGAAGCTGCACTGGAGCACATCTGAGAAATCTGAGTCATTCGGAAATTCGGGTCCCTGGGGGAAAAAAATGTAAAAATCAGACAGGATTCGAAAAGGGTGTGGTAAAAATAGAGTCAAACCGCTCAAGCTCTTGGCAATCTTGCTTTTGAAAAAGAACGAAAGAACTCAAGGCCGTCACTGTCGATCTTGTGGGCTTGCCGATTCGAGAAAGTCCTAAGTAAAGAAAAGCAAATGTTGGATCAATCAAAACAAGTACTGCCATTCAACATTGTAGCACCCAGATTCAAACACCCAAGATCATCAATGCAAGCAGGGCTGCCTTTTGGCAGTGCAGGTTTCATTGCTTATTTTTTATTTTCTAATTACTTGACATTTATTGAAAAAGTAAATTAAAGAAATTAAAAAATGATGGTTGATGAGGCTTCCACTCATAGAATGATCTAACAGGGTTCCCATTCGGCCTTGGCGTTCCAAGGGCATCCCAAAGCAAAATCACGAAGAACATCGACTGACCGAGTATAGCTTTCTTTGTGGAGTGGGGAGAACATCCTGCCTTCCAGGCTTGGATCCTTCTTGAGCTTGCATCTCTTCATCAGCCTCATACATGCCTTGGCCAGCTGAATCTTGAGCCTGATTCTCCTCAGCAGCGCAAGTGCCGCCGAAATGGATTTAAGAACCATACTGAAATCCATCTATGTAAACGCAGCAATGTCTACATTTTATAGCTTTTCCAGATAGCCACATCCAATTTGGAAACCCAAAATGTTAACTAGTTGTTTGGTCACAAAAAATTACCTGAACATTTCAATATGCATTCCTGCACCTGCACTCTGTTTCGCAATGACCCCCTGATTTTGTTTGATATTTTTCCCCAAGGGTGTGAACGCAACGACTTAAGCACTTAGGAGTATGTGGCCCTACCTGTTTTGGCCCAAATTGGCCAAAACTTTGGTGTAGCACTTTTGATTGAAACCCTTGCAAATTCAAAAGTGGCCACAACCTTTGTTTCTCCACTTTGCTCTAAAATCTTAGAAAAATGCAGGAAAAATGCACAAATAGTAAAACATTTTGCACTCTTCCAGAGAAATCCCGCAAAAATGCAAAAATGACCACAAGTTTGGTTTTTCTATTTTTCTCCAAAATGCGGAAATTTGAAGGATGTCGCTTTGATTTGTCCATTTTTATCCACTTTTGCCTGTTGAGCCCTTGACTGAAGCATCACTGGCACCACGTGCGAAGTGACGCCGGTGAAATTTCTTCCAGCCAAATCGCATTGAAGAAGTCCATAAGGAGATTCGGTTCTTCCATGGAATCCTCACTCCGTTCGTTGCTCGGCTGAACGGCTTCTTCCACAGAGGCGAGGATCATCACAGCGATGCATGCAACGTAGGCTGTTGGACACTAACTTATCGGACGCTAAAAGCTGAACACGCCGCAATTCGACAGCATTGTTGGGCCATGCTTTCGAAGCGCGCTTCGGCAACGAACATCAAATTCAAATTAACTTGTCCCTTCGTGGTCCAAGTGGGCTTTCTCGCCCTCTCATGGCATCAAACCGCAGGGTTTGAAGTTGTAGCACCGTGCGTGCGAAGCATCCAGCAAATGGTCAGCCTGCCAAGGTTCAAATTCCGTTTGCAATACTCCTCGCATCTCCTCGCGTTGGGATCATTTGAAACTAATGGTCATATAGCTAGCGATACAAGTGATTGAAGCACCCCTGCACTTGGGGAGAAACATGCAGACTACAATGCAGGTTATGCATAATATTGCATTTTTTTTAAAGACTGGATAGTCAACTTCTTCCAACAAGAGCCGAACAGGTGAGAAAGGCAGGACAAAGGAAGGAAGGGGCGGAAGATGGATCGGTATAGTATGTAAGACAGGGATAGAGAGGGAATGTATGACATCAGTCGTGTGTGATTGAGCTGCGTGCGTGTGCGTGTGTGACAATGTTGCGTGTGTCTGTGTGTGACAATGCTCGGTATATGACGACAAGTGTGCGTGTGTGTGTGTGTCTGACAAAGCTGTGTGTGGCAGAGTTGTGTGTGTTTGTGTGCGTGTCTGTGTGTCACAACGTTGTGTGTGTGACAAAGCTGTGTGTGACAATATTGCGCGTGACAAAGCGCCACGCCCGCCACGCAACAAGCTGTCCGACCCGCTGGAAATAACACACCCACAATGCCAACTTTTGTTATATGTATATATATATATGTTTTTTTTCTCACACCATCTTGACATGGAAAGCAATGCAATAGAATGCGGGCTGGGACTTGGCTCCCAGAACCAAACTCCAGAGTAAGAAGCTGCAGAGATTCACCTTTTATGTCATCGATACGGGACTAAAGCGACCTGCATCCCAAAAATCAACGAACTAGGCCAACAAATTCAAACACGTGCATGGGCAACCCAACGCCTGCTGAGCCTCAACTTTGCCCAGGGATACATCAATGGTTTCTTGCTGTTCCTTGGTAGGGTTATATCGGGAAGTTCTTTTAATGGTTTCTTCATCGGTGGTTGGCGGAATTGATTTTTTGGGGCTTTTTTGGGGAGTTGATTTTGAAGACCTTCCCAGCAGAATTATCGGAATTGATTCTTGCGGAGCATGTTTGCGGAATTGATTTCAAAGAATTTCCCTGCGGAATTGATTTTTGGGAAGCTTCTTTGGCGATTTGAATTTAATTCACGTCTAGAGGAGAACTACTTTCAAAGTTTCGACTCGGGCACCCTTTGCATCAAAGCTGTATCAAGAGAAGAAGGAAACATACGGAGAAGGACCGAGAGATCACAAAATCAAACAAATTGTATTGATAAGAAAAGAACGAAAGCTAGACCTTCCAAATGCAGCTCGAGAAGTCGAAGGCGCAAAAAGTAGAAAGTCGAAAATTAAAAAGTTTCTATTTTTTGACTTTCGCATCTTTCTCGTTTCTCTACGTCTCTACCGTTTGACTTTTCTCGCCATTCTCACTTTTCTACTTTTTTTTGCGAGAATGAGAAGCTAAAAAAAGGCTAGAAGCAGAAAGAGCAATACTTAAGCTGTTATTTCTGCGTTTTGACTTTTCTCGTTGTTTTCTGTGTTTCTCTAATTTTCCTATGTTTGACTTTTCTCAACCACAAAGATGCACAAACAAGATACCAACAAGCGGAAACTTAGAGTGACTCAGTCCATGTCAAACTCGACAATGCAATCTGGCGCTCGCGAGGTATTGTCTGCGGCAGCTTGCATGGCAGACATGAAGCCACCACTCACCAAATGACAGTCGCCTCAGCTGATATCTGTCCGCCCTTTCAAATTGCCGTTTAAATTGTCAACATATACATACACACGCACACCCACATATTTATATTTTTTTTTTCAGCGCACATCAGCGCGGGTGACTCGGCTCAGCAGGTGTGAGCCACGCAGCTACGGCGAGGCGTGAAACGAAAGCGGGAGGCGGCTTGCACCATCCATCGGAACCTCGTCAAGGAGGCGGGCCATGCCTGGTGCGCTTGCGTGGGGGAGCGGTGGGGAGATCCACTCAACCCCGAGTGCTGTGGCGCACACAGCCTTTTGGAGGGCAATACTGAGAAAGCCCCACCACCGCCGCTGCCAACCCTGTGCCGCTGCCTGCCGGAGTGGCGGCGGCGCGCGTGGGCTGCGGACAGCGACCAGCAGGCGCACAAGTTGCAGGCATTCCGAATGCCACCGCCCGCCGACCTCCGCGCCAAGTACCAAAAGGCGCTGGGGGCCCCCGCCAAGCAGCTCTGGATAGCGGCGGTGTTTGCGCGCTCGGGCGGCAAGCAGGGCTGCCCCATCGTGAGTTGCAGCTTGGCGGGTGGGCTGGCCACTTCGGGTGAGCGGGGAAACTAGCGTAACGTCGCACGCCAACGCTTCCCCACGCGGGGTTGCGCCATGGATCAGAAGGTCAAGCCGCCGACGGTCGTCCACTGCGGTCGCCAAGTTGGTGTGAGCGAGCCAAGGCTGTGGGACCACCCGGCCCTCAGAGCCGACTGCCTCACGGGCGACACGGATCCATGCGTGTTCTAGCACGTGGGCCCGGCGTGCGAGGAGACCGCTGCGTGGGCATGCCAGCGCGTGATCGCCCAGTGGATCCAGCGCGCCGCCGCACCCATGGCGGCCGGCACCCTGCCCGCAACGCTGGGCCGCGGGCGGCAAAGGCAGGCGTAAGCGGCGCCGGAGGGCAATGTGCATGAGGTTGGGCGTTAAGGTGGCGCCTTCCTCGCTTGGGATGGCGGTGAGCCACGCGCTGGCGTGAGGCCCAGCTTGGGATCTGAGCAGCGCTTGGCCAGCGGGCGGGAGGCGGGGCAAAACTTCGCGCGCTCGGAAGGAAGTGTGCACAACGAGCGACGCGAGGTGTTGCCAGCCATGCGCGGGGATGCCAGGCTCTCGTTCCCGAAGGTTAGGAACTTCCGACGCATTGGCCGCGAGGACAGCCCAACCCGGGCGCGACTGCCAGCCAAACCGGTCGAGGTCGGATGCTGAAGCGGCCGCTTCACGGAGGCATGCCGCAGCCGATTCCGGGCCGAGGGTAAGTTCGGCGGCGCAGCGAGCAGCAAGGATCGGCTGTCGCAGGGCCAGCACAGGGAGGGCATCGGCCCATGCCGCCCAATACGCAGCTGGAGCGATCCGTTCAGCCGCGAACAGGCCGAGGCCGCCTAGTCGGATGGGGAGGAAGCCTACGTCGTGAGCGGTGGCCGGGAGGGGGTCGGGCTCACCGAGCAGAAAAGACAAGCAGCTCCACACGGCACTATCGTGCTGGCGCGCATACTCTCCAGATTGAGAGGGCGGCAATGTGCGGAGAAGGTGGCCAGCGCGCGGCGCCGCCGTGTAGAGAAGAAGGAGCCACGCAGCCTGTAAGTCCGGGAGCTGCTGGATCTCGGCTAGGAGGCTGGTTTCTTGTTCAAGTCGGCCGTGCGCATGGGCGGCAACGAAATCCGCGCTACCTATTGGCGCGCCTAAGGCGACCAGGCCACACTCTGGGCTGTCACCACCGCGCCACACATCAGGGCCGAGCGTTTCAACGCCAGGCGGCGCTGGGCCTCCAGCGCGGGTGAAGACACGAGTTTTGCCTGAGTTGGCGGCGACCCCGGCATGGCCTTCGATGGCCCGGCTGACGATGTCAAATGCCGGCCGTGCCCGGTCAGGCTGGCAGATGATGTAAACGTCATCGAGATAGGCGGCCAAGACTTCGTCAGGCAGGAGCTGGGCAGCAGCAACTTCGAGGGCATGGTGCTGTCCAAGCGCGTACAGCGCGGGGGCTAAGGGGTCGCCCTGCTCAACCCCCTCGCCCTGAGTGATGACATGGTGCGCGCCTTGATCGTCCCACCAATGGAAGATGGAAGGTGTGCCATAAATGGCCCGGACAAATGGGACCAAGGCCGGCGCCGTGGTGTGAAGGGCGGTGAAGATGGCGCTGCGCGACACGCAATCATACGCCGAGCGGCCATCGAGGGAGACGACCGCTGTCCGGGGGTCAAGATCAACTGCAGCACGGAGCAACCCAGCCAAAGCATCGATCCCCGCGCGTGTTTGGAGCGCGAATTGGTAGGGGCGCGTGGCAACATCAAAGGTTGCTGCAAACTTGCGCGCCAAGATGCGGGATGTCAATCGGCGCAGCGAATCGCCCGTGGCTATCCCGCGGGCCCCGCCACCTGGCTTGGCTAAGGCCGTGAGACGAGACTGGGAAATCGCTGGGAGGACTTCCGGCGGCACGTGGGCATTCGCCAATTGCGTGAGTGCCCCCGTGAAGAGTGTGAGGGTTTCGCCATCGTCGAGGAGCAGTTTGAAATGCTCGGCGGTTGCGCCGCTAAGGCCAGGTGCCGCGCTGCGCTTTGCTGTGCGCAACGCGTCGACCACTTCCTGCTCAGAGAGGTGCTGCGCCGCGTCCGGGCAGTAATTACTGATGTGGTCAGGGATGGGACGAAGCAAGGCTGGAGGACGCCGGGCGGGATCTACTAAGGACTCCAGAGTGGCCGCTGTGCCGGGCGCGAGCGGAGAGGCCGTGAGGGTGGCCCGTGCCCGGGAAAGATCCCCTTGAGCAACCTGGCGGCAAGCACGCGCTCGGCGCAGTGTAGCTTCTTCCTCAGCGGTGCGCGCGGCGCGAGCACGTGGGCCAGGGCTTGGTTGCTGCGCGTGCGCAGACGCAAGCATTGAAGGCCAAGAGCCGGCCAGGAAATCATCGGCCCGCTGCAGCAAGGCTCGCCGACCAACTGTGGCGCCGGCAGGGTGGTAGAACAGCAGGCGCGAGGCGAGCAGGAAGAGGGCCCACCCCCGTCGCCTTTGAAGGGGTGTGGCCGCGTCAGCGGCTAGAAGCTGTAAAGGGAAGAGTAGCGCTCGTCGAGCGGCCGCAGCATAGAACCGAGGAGGACTGCGGATGGTGCGAACTGGGGTGGCTAGCTCGGAAGCAAGGTCCAAGCGATCAAGCCAGTCCCAGGAAGCAGCTGGCACGCGCTGAATAGACGGTGCAGAAGGAGCGGGAGCAAGGGGGCGAGTCGCCGGGGCATCGGAACGCGAGTCCCTGCTGGAGTCTAACACCGCCACCGGCGGGACAGAGGCTCGCGGGGGCAGAGCAAGTACATCGGTCGCCGGCGGCGGAGGCTCGGACTCGGAGGATGAGGCAGGGATGGGGATGGCGCTCTCCGTTGTGACGGCCATGCCCGTTGCAGGCGCCGCGACCGCGGGCGAGACGCTGCTACGAGGGTGGGCCCGTCGACGGCGCCGGAGTGCACCGTGAGGTGTGTCTGCGGCGTCCTCTGGCCGGAAAGCGTTGGAACGCTCATTGACGGCAGCAGCGAGGCGAAGGCCGCCGTATGTTTGAAGCAGCACTTCCTGCGCGGCGGCGGGTAGGTAACCGGATATGTCCGCCAGAGCTCGGCAGGCCCATCCCAGATGAAACCGTGCATCAGCTGGAGTGTTGGCCGCGGAGTGTGCTAAGCGCGCAGCAGAGGACGCGCCATCAGGGGAGTGGTCCAGGGGCGCCGAACGCAAGGTGTCAGCCGTGACGGGCGCTGCGGCTGCCAAAGCGTGACTGGTGGAATCCCACCATGGGGCCGCGCGGCTATCACGCCGCCATGCCTCCAGGGCGTCAGCGTGCAGATCCCCGGCCGCTGCATGGAGAAGAGGAACGTAAAGCTAAGAGTTGGCGGGCACAAGCACTGGCGCAGCCGGAGGGCCCCGCGTATGCCACAGGCCACCGGGAGCTGGAGTGGCCGAGGCCCGCGGCATGGCAGGCGTTGGCGCCGGATCGAGCGGCCGGGACGGTATTGGCGCGTCGGCGTCAGAGTCGAGGAACGGGTTGACCGCCAACGCTGCGCAGGCATCCACAAGTTCAGGGTCAGTGCCAGCGGGCCAGGGCGCACGGCAGAGGGAACAGCACGGCATTGCCAGCCGTGTGCGCGTGCGTGCGAGGCACGGAAAGTGATAGGGATGCTGGCATCCCGGCCAAAAAGCGATCCTGCGACGGGTTGAGTCGCTGGAGTGAATTGGGTCCAAGCAAGTTGGGCAAATAGGTGGATCGCTGGGAACCGGGGCTGGCAATGGGCAAGTTGGCGCGTCCGATGGTGGGCCGGGGTGAGCTGCCTCCCCGACGCGGCGGCCGCGGAGAGGCCAACCTGACCATCGGGAGCATGGGAAGCGCCACCGGCAACGGCGCAGCAAGGGGCGGCCAAAGTGCCGTCGCCACCGCCTGGTGGTAAGGAAGCGGAGTACGGTGGACCGTAGTGGTGGGAAGCGGTGCCACGGCTCAGGCGACGGCAACAGGAACGGCGCCAAGGAAAAGAGGACAGTGGCTCTACGTTGGCGCTTGCGCCACTGCCCCCGGCATGTGTGCAAAGGACTGCGCTGGTAGCATGGGCACGTGGAGCCGCAGGAGCGGCGCCGATGGGAGGGGCGCCAACCTGGGCATGCCCATTGTGCATTGAGTTGCTGGGTCAGCAAGCGGCGCGCGTGGCGGCCGAGGGATGGCAGGGATGCGCCGCGGCCCGGGAGCGAAACGCTCAGGCGCGGCGGGTTGAGAAGGCAAGGCCGGGAGCTCCAACAAGAAGGAGCTCTGCCGACAGAGGCTGCCAGCGACGCCGCGAAGCAGAGGAGACGAAAGGCGCAGGGGCGCCAGAGGAGCACAGAAGCGGCTGCCATGTTCAAAGAGGCGCCGGCTCCTCTTCTGCGGCGCCCGGAAGGGCGCGCGCAGGGACCATGCGTCCAGGGGGAAATGCGGGAGTAAAGGCCCCCCCTTGAGCCAAATCTTGAGCCAAAATGGCTACAATTTATTCGAATTACGCATACACATATAATAATAATCAAACAAATAGTCAAAATAAAAATTACAATATATAATCGAAGGAAGTTTAGAAGTCAAACTTCCGAAAAATATGGACAGATGGAAAAGCAGAGGTGGGAAGAGTCAGAGAAGAGAAGAGAAGAAGAGAGAAGATCAGAGAAGAGGAAGAGTCAAAGAAAGAAGACGCAGGTGCGGGAAAAGGTAAATTTGTGGCTCCGGAGGGTCGAAAACTTGGCTCGCTAAAGCGGCGGGTGCGGAGCCATCTAGCCAAATAAGAGATGAAAATTGCACGCCGTTGTGGCGCGAAGCACATTTCCACGTCAAAATGTAAAACTCACGGGTACGGAGCACTTTTGGGCGTTTAGATGTCGTTTCGCATGGCAGGCGCAAGGGATTGTGCACCTTGTCAAAAGTGAGCAAAACGTGAAGGTTTTGTAGCATGTCCTAAAACGATGGCAAGCGTGAGACATTTGAAGAGGATCTGCAAAGATGCTTTTCGCGTGGCAGTCGCGGTACAAGAGACACATGAGTTAAATATGTTAAATTAGGAGGTCAGGGCGGAGATTTCCTGAGAAAGGTTGCATTTTGGAGCATCAGATCATCAGGTTTGCTAAGATGATTTTGCGTGACAGGTGCAGCACTTCGTATGACCTGGCATCACTTTTTCGTGGCAGGCGCAATACTTTAGACAGGTGGAGCGGAAAAATCGCAAAATCGCAAAACGCATTGGTACGGGGCCGTCAGCTCTGCACTCAACTTTCCATTTTCAAGGAAGTCTCGCAGAATGCCTTCGTTTTCAAGCTTGCACATGGACAGATTGACAGATAGATAAATAGACAACCACAACTACAACTACCATTACCACTACAACTGTTGTAGTGCAACTACAACCACAACAACATTACACTACACTACGCTAATGACAGTACACTACATTACAGCTACAACTACAAGTACAACCACAACAACCACAACCACCACAACCACCACAACAACAACTACTACTACTACCACTACTACCACTACTACCACTACTACCACTACTACTACTACTACTATTACTACTACTACTACTACTGCTACTACTACTACTACTACTCCTGCTACTGCTACTACTACTACTACTACTAGTACTACTACTACTACTACTACTTCTACTACTACTACTACTACTACTACTTGATACTACTACTACTACTACTACAACTACTACAACAACACTACGACTACGACGACGACGACGACTACTGCTACTACTACTACTACTACAATTACATTGCACAACACTACACTACACTAATTACACTACGCTACACTACAACTACACGACACTACAACTATAACTACACTACTTCACACACACTATATACACTAGACTACACTACACTATGCTACACTAGAGTACACAACCCGACAACAACGACAACCACAACCACAACTACAACTATACTAATTCCACTACACTACAACTACAACTCCACTACACTACAACTACAACTGCAACTGCACTACACCACACTACATCCAGCAGTTGTTGGTGAGGTGACCACTGCAACCATTGCAACCACTCCAAAAAACACAACTCCAACCAGCTTTCGGTCCATCATTGGATTCGCTCTGTCCATCAGTGGATTCGCTCTGCCATCCGGGATTCACAACAACCAACCTCTCCTATAGGTTTCAAATTTTGAAACTTCCGCCACCACCTTGTGCGGTACTACTGGTAGATAATATAAATAATTATATATATATAAATAAATATATATATATATAATTATTTGTATTTATATTCATATGTATACTGTTCTTAGCGTCGTTGCAGCCTTTGAACGCAGTGCTGCCACATTCCAATTCACCTTCAAAATAGCCAAATTCAGTTCAAGCTGCCTAGGATTGCTGTGACGCGATGCTCTTTGCAACGTGAATGTGCGGCAAAGGCTATGCCATCCTGCAAAGACCAATGACAATCAATGACACGAAGAAACCAACCGACTGCATCAGACTGCTTGGAATTTTGATTCATTGATGCCAGGCCATGAAATGCTACAACTGCTACAACCGAAACGATTCCGGTGCATCATGGTGCATCCATTGGGTACATGTGGATCCACTGAGTCCTTGAAGTCACAGCCTTGTAAGTCATGGAGCTCTGGAGGTGCGAAAGCCACCTGATTGAAACATTGCATCTGTAGGTCAGATCGTCAGATCGTGTCCGTGGGATAATGATGGTTAATGATGGTTGATATGGTTGCAGATGGTTAATATCGTCAATCATCTATGGTTCATAGTGGTTAATGATCTCATTGCATCTGTAGGCTCTAAGACTCTAAGCATGGGACCCGAAACGGAACAGGCAACGGCGAGCATCGACGTAATGCCAAGCGCTGTCGATCCCGCTGCGTCAGCACCTGCAACAGGACAGAAACAAAGAATGCTGCAGTAAAAAAAATGGTCATAGACGTGGAGATGCAGTTTGACACGAGCCACAGCCACAGCCTACATCTGTATTATACGTAACTATACAGAGTCTGCATGAGAAGCTGGGTGAGGCTATGTTCATTCCTGCCATTTTCTTGACATTTTCTGGCTGGGAGGTGTGACTGTGAGGAAGTGACCTGACCAGGCCTGTGAGTCACTTTCTGCCCCTTCAACCACCACGGCTCGCTTTTTGCTTGGCGATGCACCCGTGCGCTCTGCATTCGCTTCCTGATGCGGAAACACCAACTTCAACAGAAAAAACGGATAAACATTTCCACCAATGACCTGTGCCAAATTTCCATCACTTCCATCGACTGCAGCAATGTGTCCGGGTCTTGCGTTGCCAGCTTGATGTGTTCCTGCACCATTGCAGCGACCTCGGCAACACAGAAATGTAGTTGCCCACAAAAAGAGCTGCAATTCACATCAATCCCAAGAATGCACAAGCATGGACAAGCAGTATGACCAACACATTCAATATCCAGGTGTATCTAGGTAAGGGGTTTCTTTCCTCTGTGACGACAAGCTACGGTCAAAGGTGCAGCATGGTTCAATGCTTTGGCTGCTCTGACGGGGTCATTCTGTCGAAGGAAAGCTGAAGCTGATGCCACTGCCTTTCCAACAGAGTTTTTGCTTCAAATATCTGCAGAGTTTGCCGTGGCCATGCGATTTCCTCCACCACTCCGGAGCGCCTCGTGCGTTGTCATGGGAGGAACTTCTCCTCGACAAGGAAGTTGCATGTGGATCTGTGCAAGTGGAAACATGACCTCAGCAACCACCTTGAAAGCTGACAGGTGAAGCGAAATTTCGGCTTAGAAAAAGGACATGCTTTTAGTCGCCAGTCGGACATGAAGAGAATCGATGTGAATCGGGTCCTTGGAGCAACAGGACTATGCCACATCGTAGCCGGACACCTTAAGTCTCGCAGCCATGGCAGCTATGTTGGCACGATTTGGCACATCCTTCAGTTGAATTTGAAGCCATATTCAGTTCATGATACAGCGCCACATTGAATCATTGAACACTCACAAAAGGGACATGGGTCACAAGCAAGCGCTTGCCATGCAACTGATACGCATGATACGCCTCTGGTAATTTAACATAGCCATGGAAAATCACCATTTTTAATAGGTAAACCATCTATAAATGGGCCATTTTCCATGGCTATGTTAAATAACCAGAGGGTACACTATCCTGTTCTGCTGTCCAGTTGCGACTGCCGGCGCTGCCACCAAGATTAGCACAGCTCAATTCACAGCCCTGTGCGGACTTGTCTGGGCAAATGGCACACCAGCGAGCCAAGACCTTGCAGCGCACAAGTGCAGCAAAGAAATGCATAAAAATACTGCATTGTGATTTGTTCAAACCAAACCTCCGCATCATTCTGACTTCATTCTGAAATATTCTGACTGTCCATGGCAAATAGCACCGAGACGTGGAACGGATCACCCAAAGGCCTTATCTGCATTGGCCTTCGCTCGGCCATGTGCTGTCGCTTTTGGTGATCCCAAGGTTTCTTCACCTGGACTGCAACTTGGCCACAGCATTAACTCGTAGACCCTGGGAGGCTAGTAGAGCATGTCATGATGAATCCTAACTAAACTGGACATGCCTGGCTTTGCATCTTCTTCATCTTCCTTCAGCGTCTTTCGTGCCTTTCTTGGAGGATTGTCATTCTCCTTGCACTGACTGTCGGTCTGTCACTTGCAACTTTTGCAATGGATAGGAACTGATAGCATTTTCCAAGCCAAATAGGTCACTTCGATCGCGGTATGGATTTGCTGTCAGGTAGCAACGTGATGAAACACGACCCCAAAGTGTGCAAACTGCACTGCATCTGCAAAGCCATCTGCCAGGCTGCAGATCCCACTGATCCAATACCGATCCAAATCTAGAAGCACACTGTCCTCTTCGCTCTCTTCGCCCAAGTCCAGGCTTGTGCTTCCAGGCTGCAGCCGAAAGGGCATTGCTGGGCATCAGTCCCGCGTTGGGGCAAGGCATGAGCTGTGAAGTTTTGCTCTGACCACATTCCGGCTGCTATCAAGCCTTTGGAGGGTGAATCGGTGGGTGAAAAGAACACATGAACAAGGTTGCAATCGAAAGGTATGGTGTGGATGTGTGGTATGGTTCAAGTGTCCCAAAGAACTCAAGCAACCCGTCTGAAAAGGGCGTCAGTTAAGGCAACTTGTTTGCATATGCCGTTTGTGCACAAATCAACACTTCTGACACCATGCCATGCCGTTGCATGACGTCTGCTTGCTTCGATCTTGGTGAAGAAAGTCATGAAAAGGTCTGTATGAGCCAAAGCCTGCATCCAAGGACAGTTCCAGATACCCCGAAGACATAGGACATCATAGGACAGTTCGCATCAATATCATCAATGAACAGTTGAAAGCGACATCGTCCCATGGCATCCCTAAGCCCACTGGCTGGCTGCCCAGGCCCACTTGGCTACCATACAATTGCTCCATACGAGGCAGGGCCGTGTCCCAGTCACAGTGCCTAAGCCAAGTTCCGAGTGTCCTCGCAGGCTCTGAGAGGAACATTGGATCTGCAACCGCAACGCTTTCCAAACGCAACACCTCTGGGAAGCTCTGCGATTTTCTGCGCTGATTCTGACCTTGCGTTTCCCTTCTATTTTCCTCTTTGAATATGGCTGATGGAAAGAGGAATCCTCACAGAAGGCAACTGTAGAAGAAAAAGTGTTATTTAGACAAAAAGAAAAGTTAGCAACCCGGTCTCATTCTGGATCTGTTTCTTGAACTTCCGGCTGCAGCGCTCCCGAACTGATGCTACTACTTCAACGCTGAGCTATTCACTCCACTCCGTTCGAACGGCCTCGCGGTGGGACCTTGGTTGATCTTGGTTGAAAAGGCTGTGAGATCTGCGGAACATCTGTCCCCATTTCTCAGGAGCCTCTCACAACTCAGGCCGGGGGGCACTTGATAACGATTGCATCGGTTCTTTGTGTTTTTTTGTTGCCACATTTTGCCAGGCAAATGTGGATAGCTTCAAAACTGTCTGCTTGAGAAGGGTGATCACCTCCGATTTGAGGCCACAGCATCTGGTCGTGGCGATCTGAACAAATTTTGGCAAAGAAAAAACACGAGCACGCATCCTCACATTAAGTGAGTGTACAAAACCTAACAAAAAGACCAAGACTACAAAACTACTGATCAAACAATATCATAGACATATTTGCATCATATAGAATTATCATACATCCACATACTATTATATAATATCATACAATATCATATACTAACGTATACAAAGCATAAACTGGCGAAAATTACTTGTTCTCTGGCGCCTCTGCACCGAGGCCACTGATGCAGCCACATCCTCGACGGCTTTCGCATTGTAAAGCCCGCGATTGTTTGCCTCGGAGTCGTGGGGGCTGGATGTCCCACTGGAACATCCCAACTTGCAGGACTTCATAGGATTTCATATATATATATATATATTAATATATATTATATATATATATCATATCATATATATATATATATCATATATATCATACGGAACCAAAATGAAGCAAAGATATGAACATTGGACATGCGCACGAATGGCATAGACACGCTCCTGGATAATGACAATTATATGTCGCCTCGTTTTTAATACAAATGCAGTTTGGATTGACCAAACAATTCCATTAAACTCAATGATTCCTGCACCACAGGGAGTGGTCCAATTGTTCTGGGCCGAAGGCAATCCCGCCAGGCCTCATGATCACTGGCACAGCGGCATCTAACATGCGTCGAAATTCTAAATCGTCCAAGGCATAAAAAGGCATTCATCCGCTCCATTTCACGGCAGCTTTTGCAACATCCATCCCTTTCCTTCACCAATCCATATCCAAGCGGCAGTTCAGGAAGCAGCGGAGTTTGGCGAGCCTACAAACGGAAGGGATCGAAACCTACTACTGGTAGCTATAAGATGCTATAAGTATCTACAAGATTCTACAAGCATCTGCTGGTGAGTAATCACACGTACCTACAAGTACCATAATGCACCAAAGCACCTCGCAATTATCTTGATACCCAGTTCCGTTTAATGATCACTTCTCTTAGTGACTCTAGAATCTTCAAAGTGATCAAAAGGCACCAAATGACCAACCGGTGCCCAGCTCCCAGAAACATTGCAGGACTTGTGCTGCGCCTGCTTACTGTACGCATCACGGAGCTCTTTTGCCAGCTCCTACAGCTTCCAATTCAGTGAAGGTATTGCTATGCTGTTATCACCTATCATGGCTTGCCAGTCTACAATCTGAGCATTGCAGTTGGATGCAGTTGGAATATGTATCATCACACCATCATGTTATCGCCATATTATCATCTTATTATCATATTATGACCATGTTATCATGTTATCATTGTATGTTCGTCATCTGTTTCAAAATTCATCCGTCCAACTGGCACATTGTCCTCCTTTGTTTGCAACTCACGCTGAAGAGTTTCCATGGCCTCCGGAAAATCCACAGGAGCAAAGCCGTTGAAACCGTGTCCCGAAGCCCGTTGAAGCCCTTGCCTGCTTCAAGCGTTCCTGGAGCGTCTCGTTCTCCTGTGGCCCCACTACGAGAGGGTTTCTCACTTCGTTAGAAAGAGCTTCAATAGGTCGGAAGTAGAAATTCAAATCCCAGACTCTGCACTCTCTTCTCTAAATATCTCTCAATTGGATGCCCAAAAAAATGTCAATCATAGGAAAACTGCGGTCCTGCGTGTATATCTGACATGCCTCTTGAAGCTGGAAAGCAATGGCATTGGTTTCTGTGAGCTGCGCAAAGGCCTCTGCACATGTTGATGCAGAGTGGGCCAAGTCTCAAATCTATGACTTTAGCACCCTACGCCACCTGACATCACTTTACAGTCAAGATTTTTGGACCATTGTGCTTTGGTCACCTGACATGGCACAAATTTGCAGCCGCAAGGCTGGTAGCTAGCTGGTGGCTCTACTTATGCTTTCGAAGCATCGCTGTCAGATCTTGTCAAATTTGACGCCGCGTAGTTGCGTAGTATTCAATGGCCTTACTGTGCATGTGTCTTTGTGGGGCCTGATCTTTCTTGGACTCTATGACGCATAGCTGCCACACAGCCATGGCCTTAGGCACACAGTGAAAGATGCTGAGGCTTTGCATGGGGTAACGGGTAATGGATAGTAATGGCCAAGTGGGGTGGCTGTCTGAAGTTTGTTGAGGCATCTGGGGCTGAGTCCAAGTTCAAGAGCAATTTGCTCTCGTTCTCTTCCCTCTCTTCCCTGCCAGGCGTCAAAACTTACCCTCTGGTAATTTAACATAACTATGGGAAATCACCATTTTTCATGGGAAATTTCACTATAAATGGTGATTTTCCCATAGTTACGTTAAATTACCAGAGGGTACATGATCTTACATGCTTTCCTTGTGCCTCGCCATCTGAAATGCTGAAAACATCTGGGCCTATGCTGTCGAAGACTTTCACGGAGAGCCTGATCCAACTACATGGATCCAACTCAGCTGACACTCGTTGCTGATCAAAAACGCCTGAGCGTGCCCCGTGGCCCGGTCCACATCCACGACTCGTCGCCATCCTGGACCAACGTGAAGAAGTGCCAAGGGCTGACACAAGATAACATCACTGTGCCGACCATAGGTTTCGCATGTTTGAGATTTGGCTCCCAAAAAACTTGATTTCTGCGCCTGCTCCCCATAACAAGCTCATATCTATATCATTCTATATCTATCTCTATATCTATAGCTATATCTCTGTCTGTCTATCTACCTACATACCTATCTACCAATCTACCTATCTATCTATCTATCTACCTATCTATCCATCTATCCACCTGTCCATCTATCCATCTATCCACCCATCCATCCATCCATCCATCCATCCATCCATGTAATCCTATGTAATCCTATGTAATTTTAATCCTAGCTTATCCTATTTAATCCTATCTTATCCTATCTCATCCTTTCTAATCCTATCAAATCCTATCTAATCCTATCTCATCGTATCTCATCCTATCTTATCCTACCAAATCCTATCTAATCGTATCTCAGCCTATCTCATCCTATCTTATCCTATCTAGTCCTTATCTTAAACTTTCTTGTTATCCTATCTTATCCTATTTAATCGTATCTAATCCTAGCTTATCCTATCTTGCCCTATCTATATAATCCTAGGTAAACCTATATATCTTATCCTATCTTATCCTGTCTTGTCCTATCTATTTAATCCTATCTTATCCTATCTTGCCCTATCTATATAATATTATATAATTCTAGGTAAACCTATCTTATCCTATCTTATCCTATCTTATCCTATCTTATCCTATCTTATCCTATCTTATCCTATCTTATCCTATCTATCCATCCATCCATCTCTCTGTCTGTCTGTCTGTCCAGTGAGCTAGCTAGCTATCTACATCATATTGTGATCGTATGTTATCGCACTCTTTATCTTATCGCACCGTATCTTATCTCATCTTATCTTGTCTTGTTTCATGAATCTACAGTACCTATACTGTGCAATACCAAAGCGCAGTTTTGTGAAGTCGATCTTGGGCGCTGGCCGTGCAAACAAAGCTGCAAGAGCGACAGGAGGAGCTTCTCCTCAAGCTTAGGTCGAAGCTAACGGTTGCCATGTGTAGCTCTTCCATGAAACCGATATTACCTCCATACTCCCATGAGAAATCCCGATGGGAAATCTATGGATTATGCTTGGGAGTCCCTATAAATTCCATGGACTTTTTTGCCAACAAGCTTGAATGAGTCTCATTTCCTTCACTTGGTCATTGTATGCGTGACCATGCTTGGATAACATGGTGGGGAGTTTGCTTCAATAGGGCGCGCTCCAGGAGATCAAGAGGTCTTGAATCACAATGAAATTGGATTTGTTGGATTCTTGTCTTCTTATGTGCGAATAATGTATACATATCATATAACATGTATAAATATATATATATCATGATCAGATCTCTGTGTGTACGTGTGTACCTGTGTGTGTATTTATTTCTCTGTTTAGCTATCTGCAGCTCTCTGTTTACTGTAGCTATCTATATGTCCATAATAATGATTATCCATACCTGTTGATCCATTTACGGACGACGTTGGCACATTTGCAGCAGATTGAATGCAGCGTCCTCAAGAGTTCCAGCCTGGAGCTGAGCAAGTTTCGACAGCGCTGGCTGTAAGATGATCACCAGAGCAGAAACAAGTACAAAATGTACAAAATAGCAAAAAAAGATAGAGAATTGATGCCGTTCTTCTGTTCATTTTGTGTGTCATCTTCTGTTCATCTTCATTTGTTGTATTTTGTTGTCTCATCTTCCTTTTTTATTTGGGGATGGGTCAAAACCCTGGTACCCTTCTGTTATCTTCTGTTCACCCCAAAATAGCTAGCTGGGTTGAAATGGATGTTCATCCCATCTGAGTCTTCCGTCCCCACGGATGCGGCGACCATTGGAGGTGGTGACCTACAGAAATTGGGCTGTAAAAATGGAGCTGACAAAATGCCGAAGCAATGCATCTGGTTGAAATTTGAAATATCTTGAAATATGTTGACATATCTTGATGAAATTTATGATGTTGAAATATGTTTATGAAATTTATGAATGAGATATAATGAGATGCTTCCGGTGTTTCTCGATGTTTCTGAATCTGATTCTTCATGCTTGCATCTGGTGCAGTGAGACACCAACAGTTTTCTGAATCACAGTTGCTCAAAAAATTGCACCTCTGTGTTTATGAAATATGTTTATGAAATTTATGATCTTGAAATATGTTTATGAATTTTATGAATGAGATATAATGAGATGCTTCCGGTGTTTCTCGATGTTTCTGAATCTGATTCTTCATGCTTGCATCTGGTGCAGTGAGACACCAACAGTTTTCTGAATCACAGTTGCTCAAAAAATTGCACCTCTGTGTTTATGAAATATGTTTATGAAATTTATGATGTTGAAATATGTTTATGAAATTTATGAATGAGATATAATGAGATGCTTCCGGTGTTTCTCGATGTTTCTGAATCTGATTCTTCATGCTTGCATCTGGTGCAGTGAGACACCAACAGTTTTCTGAATCACAGTTGCTCAAAAAATTGCACCTCTGTGTTTATGAAATATGTTTATGAAATTTATGATCTTGAAATAGGTTTATGAATTTTATGAATGAGATATAATGAGATGCTTCCGGTGTTTCTCGATGTTTCTGAATCTGATTCTTCATGCTTGCATCTGGTGCAGTGAGACACCAACAGTTTTCTGAATCACAGTTGCTCTAAAAAAATTGCACCTCTGTGTTTATGAAATATGTTTATGAAATTTATGATCTTGAAATAGGTTTATGAATTTTATGAATGAGATATAATGAGATGCTTCCGGTGTTTCTCGATGTTTCTGAATCTGATTCTTCATGCTTGCATCTGGTGCAGTGAGACACCAACAGTTTTCTGAATCACAGTTGCTCTAAAAAAATTGCACCTCTGTGTACTTGCGCCAATCCTTCACAACTGTGGCCTCACGTGGTATGGATGCACACTGACAATACCCTCTGGTAAACTAACATAGCTATTGAAAATCACCATTTTTAATGGGAAAATCCACTATTAATGGTCATTTCCAATAGCTATGTTAAATTACCAGAGGGTAAGTGCAATGGTGGTAGTTTCAAAACGGATAGGTTCCCGGACCATCAAGCCCTTGGATTGGCCTTTCTCCCATTGCGCCAAAGTCAGCTCAACCACCTCGGATCACCAAACAATTACGACATATTCAAAAATTAGGTAAAAAAATGTAAAAAGATGTAAAAAGAGTCTCAAATCACTTGTATCTTAGCATGTAATGTATGAAAACACAGGCAGGATTGTTTTTTTCAAAGCTTCAAAGCAGTTCAACTTCCACATGTGCCAGGAACAAAGTGTTGGATTCTGGTCATTGAATGGGAAGAAAACAATAATAGCGAGGCACTGCGTGCGCTCGCTGGTGCTTCTGGTCCTGCTTCAACTCTCTGACAAAGCGCCTTAGTGCACTGCTTGTTGCTCAGTAGTGGTGACCGCAACACAAGGAATCACGAAATATCGCACAAGCATACTCTGAACAAAATCAACCACTCCAAGTTGTTGATGAAAGTCTGTTCAAGGTCTACTGACCTGTTCATTCAAAGCAGCATGGCGCACTATTTCGGTAATGACACATAGAACGTCTCCGTTCGCTGAACTCCTTGAAACTTCTCACTGCCCAAGCTGAGAAACACCATAAGATTCGTAAAACACCTCAAGCACACCATGACTTTACACCGTCCGGGAAATATCTTGGATGGACATGAATAATCAGCTACGGCCAGTGACTGTGTCGAACAGCTCCGCGTTGGATTGTCTGCATCGTCTCGCATGCCACTGTGGTACTGTGTGGCAGCCATTTCAATGTACAGCAATCCCCGTTTTTCAGGGTGCCAATGCCATGGTCAAGCTGTGATCTCTGCAATAATCTTTGGCCTTCTGGAATTGCACAAGATGAAATTTAGACTAGTGACTAGTGATAGATTTGGTCTATCTTAAGACCTGGAATGGGACAAATTGTAACTCTATATACATGTGTTATATAATAAATATACATAATATATATATATACACATACATATGTGTGTGTGTGTCTGTATGGTATATGTGGCATATAACTTGGTGGCAAAATGGCAGAGTTCACACACACCTCACTGCTTCAACGCCGCAAGGGACAGCTAGCTGCGTGTTCCACAATCGTGCGAAAGGTCGCATTGATTCGTGGCTGTCGAGTGGTTCCCTTTGCGATCTGATGCAGGTAGTGCTTCTGGAAAAGGCCTGGAACGCGCCAAATCACAAAAAACAGCCATACACAGCCGTTCTGCCATCGCCGCGACTCCAGATCTTTTCCCACCTGAATCCTAAAGACATCTCTCATTGCTGTGAAAATCACCCTATGTCGTTGGTTAAGTCAACGCGCCTTCCATGGTGCAAATTTGCCCATGTCCAAGGTTGAAGGTTGCCATGCTCCCCTTCTCGGGCTTCAGGATTCCACCTGGCAACCGGTCAAATCATGCAGCGCAGGTCACATCTGCACAACCTGTTCCCTCAGACCAAATTGAATCCTCCAATCATTCTGACCATATTCGGAATACATTAAACATCATTAAACATCATTAAACCATATCAAAGCTATCTGAAGATCATTGCTTCATTTGGATTCATTTGGATTCATTTGGATTCATTTGGGGTTTGATCATTGGCCATACACATTCATTCACACCGTGGCCAAACAGAGACCTCAAAGGTCGTCAGTCGTCGTCCCAATTCGTCCCAGTCGTCCGGCCTCTTCTCGGTGCCTTGAGTCCAACCTGGAACTTTCTCATGGCACCCAAGGTCACCGAGATGATCCGCGTGTCCTGCAGGGTGCCACCCAGGGTGCCACCCTAACCTGGCACCCTGCAAAATGGCCATCTGACGACACAGTGCACCACCATTGACTCTCATCCATATTCTATAGATTCATATAGATGCTATAGTCTTCTCAAGCTTTACAGTACATCTTGAACAATCTAGAACTTTATGAACTGTTATTTCCCCAGGAGATGAGATGATCTGAGAAGATCTTGTGATTTTGCGCCAAATTGGTCCTGGAACTTGCCTCGGAACAATGGCTCGTCGTCAGAGTGCCAAGCCACCTGATGATCGCCGTGCTCGTAGAGGTTCAGGTTCACACAGTTTGGAAACATGGAATCCTTGTCCTGCGGCATCGGCATGTGATGCATATGACTGTCGAAGCAGTCACTTCTGCTCTTTAAGACAATTAAGACACCCATCCTCTTCCACAAAACCAAACCCGTGGATCCAAAACATATTCAAACATGTTCAGAATAAATCAGAATAATGGGTTCAAAATGCCAAAACAACATAAAACAACAATGTTTAAGCCATGGTTTTTAAAATGTTTCCTTTGTGACGTCCTGGTCATTGAGATTGAGGCAACCGAGCCAACGCTTGGCCATCTCCAAGAACCAATCGGGAAAGGTCACTGCACTGACTTGCTGCTTGCCGTAACTGTACGGGCACCTGGAAAAAGGGGCTACGAAGATATACGAAAGATAGATAAAGATAGGTTTTTCATGGGGATGGATGGGGGGATCTCACACCTGTGACTGCTACCATCATGTAGAATTATGTAAAACAGGCGCAGTGCTGCACATGCGCGAAGTAAATTGAGAAAGAGAGCAGGGAAGCCATGTACAACAAACATCAACAACATTCAACCACCCTATGATATCCTATAGCATCACGATTGCTCATTCAAGCTCGTATACAGTCCCTTGGCATTCTGCTCTGGGTGCCCCACAACACTCTTAGAGACTTCTTACCAACCTCCGCACGGCCCGCCATGGCCCGCCTACAACCTTCTTTGACGAACCACATGGTCTTCCGGGTGACAGCAGCAGCGCCATGGATTTCGACCCAATCGACCTTTTCCTTGATCTCCTCGAAATCGTTATGCGTCACATGCTTCTCCTGGCTCATGTACATCCTTGGACAAGGCATTCATCCCCATCCATCCCAACACTTCACAAACAGATGTCCGACAAGTAGCTGATAGTGACTGCGCATCATTCTGTGGTTTAATCAATCTGGTTTTATCATTGGTTTTATCATGTACCAGTATCACTTCATTTTTTTCCTGTCAACTTTTTCAACTTCTGTTTTTCCTGCAGAAAAGTTTCCAGGCGCGTAGGGACACATCTTCAATGCAAGGGATCCAGCTCTTCGGGTTGCTCGCACGATCCACCAAGAGTTGGAGAGGCTTGGCTTCCCTCGTGGCCTGTGACTTTCACTGAGGAAATCACTCAGCTCCACCAATCAGAAATTCATCGAAATTCCGTGAACGTCTTAAGCTTCAAAGTGCTTGACTCAATGGATTGGTTTAAGGGAAAAATTACAGGAAAGCCCCATATCTAATGGGAAAATCTATGGTTTCCTGTAGATTTTCCCTTAAACCAATCCATTGATTGACAATGTGTTTCTATGAGGCATACGTAGCCTACCCCTTTAAGGGAGGGGGACGTACCCAAATTGCAAGACACAGTTTAGACGTTTTTGAGGGAGAAGGGCCTGGTAAATGTCAGCAAACATTGTTTCTAACTTCGTTCTATTTGCAAAATGTCATTTTAGTAGGTCCCCTCACGCTTTACGGGATTTCATTTATTTTCTGAAAAGAAAACGCAGGGGGGGCGTTCAAAATGTCCGATTGCATTTTTGAAAAAAAATGCAAGAAAATGAAAAACAAATGTAAAATTGTAGTGTGGAGGTCTGCAAATAGCTGCAGAATTGCAGAAAAACAAAAATGCAAACTGAAAGTTTGTAGGACCCCAATTGCTTGGTATTTCCAATACATTCTACACTTTTTCTGCACCTTTCTTTATCATTTCCACATGTAACATAGAGGTATAGAAGGTATATTATTCCTTGCAAATTACTGGAAAATCCTTGAGCTTCAAATAAATGTAAAACTAGATTTCAAATTTACCTCCTACCTATGGCATGGAAAAAACAATAGAATACAAATAAAGATCTCAAATGGATCTCAAAAGGACCTCAAATGAACCTTTATGGGGTCCCCATGGTAAACCCCCTTGATGTACCTCCATGATCGAACTTAAACACCCTTCTGCCACTGTTCCTATCTAGCCCCCCTTATGACCCTCCAACCATAATATAATAACAATCTACACATGTGTCATGTTGATTCTGAAAGGAACTGTGGAACCTGAAGTGTAGGATGGTTACATTTTTCAATCTTAGTTTTACCTTCTGTTTCGAGCACTTTCTGCAAGGAACTATGGACCTTATGTATAGGATGGTGTTTTTTTAAATCTTATATTTACTTCCTTTTTCAAGCACTTTCTGAAAGGAATTGTAGGCCTCAGGTGTAGTATGGTTACATTTGTCTATCTCATTTTTACCTTTTTTAAGCAAATTCTGAAAGGAATTAAGGACCTCAGGTGTAGGATGGTTACATGATTATATCTTATGTCCACCTTCTTTTTTGAGCACTTTCATCACTTTCTGCAAGGAACTATGGACCTCAGACATAAGTTGACTACATCCCCACAAAGACACCTCACAGACAGTTTATAAACTTGCGGATATTTAACAAGTTTCACCTCCCCCCACCCCCCCTTATCCGTAGAGTACAGGGGGGGGTTCGGAGGGGGGGGGTTCGGGGTGACGTGTCTCTTGCGGACTTTCAACCCCCCCCCAAATGTAAATCTTCCGGGCCACGGTTTTTGACGTAGGAGGGGTCTAACATACATTTTTCGCCTTCCCCATCGGGAAAAAATACGAAGGGGTCAAAATTGTTACATTTTTTGAACGTCCATGCTAAAATACACCACATCACCCCACGAAAAGGGTGGTGATCCTATCGGTGCACCTCTGGATTTGCTTCGCGCTTGGCCTTCGCCTCCGCCTCCTTGATGTTCGACAGCTCCCGCGGAGACATTTCTGAGCCATCGGCCTTCACCTAAGAAACGACCAACGAAGACGTTGCAGGACATGTCAGAACTGTTCAGGGGCTATGGTCGATATATGTCGATATTATCCTCTAAAGTCTCTAAATGACATGTCATGATCTTGGAATATTATGGAATGATTGGAGTACATCATAGCATTCGCACATACTTTGGAATACATGTTTTGCCTTTTTGGGACTATCAACGGCTCAAGGCATCCAATCCAAACCAGTACATCCAGTACTAAACCAGTACTAAACCAAGTCACTGGTGGTGCCTTTTTCTCTTGCTTTGCTTTGGGCTTCGGCTTAGCTTTTGCCTTCCTGTCTGGTCGTTTCAGCGTCATCCTTCTGATGACTCGTCCTCAGCTGAATCCACTGCCAACCCTTAATGATGATTAATGGTTTATACCACCTTTATATCACCTTTATTAATAGGGTTATTAATGGTTATTAATGGTTATTAATGGGGTTATTATATTGCCAACTGATGGTTAAATAGAGTTTGCATGACATGCTGACATGCCCCTCTCCAACGGTGTCATACCTTATGGATTCTGATGGATTCTGGCGGCAAAGTGGCTATTGGGTGACCGACTTTTCTGTCGCAAAGCACCGTAGCCAGGCATAGGAGGTGGACCAAAGGCAGGATAATGTGGTGGTGGATGGTGATGCGGTGGTGGATAGTGTGGAGGTGGATGGTGGGGATGGACATGGGGTGGTGGATGGGGCCCATGGGGCGGCCCATGTGGAGGTGGGTAGTAGGGCGGCGGCTGGGCTGGTGGAGCTCCAGGTGGATAGCCTGGTGGTGGATAGTGCGCTGGTGGATACTCTGGATAGGCTGGATAGCCTGGCTGTGGATAGGCTGGATAGTGAGCTGGTGGCCTTGGTGGTGGAGCATAAGGATCTCTGGGAGCGTAGGGGTCATGGGGTGGTGGAGCATATGGGTCGTGAACTGGTGGTGGTGCGTAGGGGTCATGAGGTGGTGGGGCATATGGATCACGCGGTGGAGGTGCATATGGATCACGAGCATAGGGGTCTCGTGGTGGTGGAGCATATGGATCCGGCGGTGGCATGGCATAAGGATCTGGTGCATACTGAGGTGGTGGGTATGCTGCTCTCTCAGGTGGATAGCCTGGAGGTGGATAAGCCGGCCCTGGGGGTGGATAACTGGGCCCCGCAGGCGGATAGCTTGGAGGTGGATATCCTGGAGGCACGTAGTTCGGAGGATACCTCAGCACGAAGTCAGGCGCAACTCAACTAGTAAATGAATGTAAATGAATGTAAATGAATGGAAATGAAACTCCGAATCTGGAAACTTTGACGGCAGTCCATGTGGCCATGCTGGATCTTCACAGCAGCTAAGACTCATTATCAACATTGATTGGAATCACTGATTCGTTTCAACCGTAAGTAGACCCTTCACGGACAGTGAGGTAATGCAGCCACTGTTGCTCAGCGCGGCCTCTACTGCGGCTCCTGGCAAGTCTGCAAGCATCTGCAAGATCTGCAAGCTCGGGGCTCAAGTTGTATCATGAGGCACGACAGGTACAGTCGTGGCCTGAAATGGCAAAATCTACTGTAGTCCGGTCATGTCAGAAATCAAAAAACAAAGCTCACATGAAGAAAACACTACTCACTACATGGTTTATACCACGAAATCCTCACAAAGGCCATCAAAAGCCTGCAAATATACAGTTGTATCATGCATAGTCGCATATGCAACATGTCATATAATCGAACTCTCCAGCACAAACGAAATATCGAAGCTTGATTTCTCCGCAAGCCTATCCTCCACGGATCCCTGCGATATCCCTGCGGTATCCCGCGGTCCTGTAGCGTACTACAGCATAGTGCTGCATCTTGTCTTCTGCAGGTCACTGGCAAGATGCCACGCCACCAAATGATCCAAATGTAAAACGATTGGAGGGTGTACTGCGAAGTGCCTCCAGTGCTGTTTTTTCATTGGCTGATCTTTTGAAGATTTTTGAAGCAACCGGAATTCTGATCAAAAGGGTATCAATGACGGCCCTGAATGATGGAGTAATGGAGTTGTAGCAGCTGGGCCAGGCTTGTGATGTTGGTGTTGCTTCGAGCTCTGCTGAAGAAAACTTGGCCTACGAGTCAATGTCAATGTATGGTGATGGGCCGAAGCCTGAAACAAAATGCTTTCACACTAGACACCGCTGAAAACGCTACGAAACTACAGCCAAAATGTTGCATATATTCTGACTTTCCGAGCGCTGCGTCACCTCAAGTGGTGACGTACGGCCAACTCGTACAATCACTCAATGTTAGCACCGGTGCAAATTCCCAGCCAAACGGACCCTTTCTCATACCGAAATCAAAAGCTGGCGTGCTTTCGACACTTGCGTGCCATTCCTTGATTCATTTGATTCTGGCAAGGGCCAAATCCTTGCAGAGTGCTCCTCTGCACATCGCTCCTGCACTGACTAATCCTGTTCTGTCAGGAACTGCCAAGAGCCGAGCGAAAGGGGACAGGGCCAGTCGTTGAGGCCCGTCCCAGTGGCCGTGGCCAAATGTGGCCAATCACGTCCCGCTGAGGCTGATTGGCCGCCTGATCATGCCTTGATCATGATCCCATTTTGGGAGCACCCAAACGGAAACCCGAGCGAACATAGTAACCCAGCAAAGGAAGACCCGAATCCAGATTTGCAACAAACATATATAAACTATATAACACATATATACACATATCAACAAGGTTAAAGCGCCACCCAGTCGAACCATGTTGAGCCTATGATTTGCTCACCTCTGCTGAGTTGCTCTCACTGCCCATCATTTGTTTCCACCGCCTGAGGCATGCAGTTTGCTAAGCTAAGCATAGGCGCACGGATGCGCACGGTAGTTGACGCAATATTCTATAGATTGGCAAATGTTCAAGCACCGCTGAAGTGACTATGTGCCGCACTATTCTATTTGAGTAACGAAAAATCACTCAACACATCGTGTCACCATAGGAACCTGTGACAGGAACCTGTCATAGGAACTCTCAAATACCTTCTGCCCAGAAACTCGAGCAACCGCTCGCAGCGGCGGAGGAGAAATTCCTGGCTTCGACCTGCACTAGTTGGAGCATCCATCCCCAATGCGACGCTTGTGATCAAGTTGCGACTAGGCAAAGGATTCAGAGTAAAACATCAAGTTACACCACATGCGTTGGGATACTGGCCTGGGAGTCTTGATCTGCAAGCCTCAGAACAGGATTCGTTTTCAAAATGGGTCAGTCACAATACATACATACATACATACATACGTACGTACGTACATACATACATACATACATACCTACCTACCTACATACATACATTACATACATATATATATATATATATTTATTTATATGCATAATATCACACGCACACGTATTACATAATATATACTACGTATATGTATAATTATATAATATTATATATAAATTATCTGTCTATGAAATGCGCATGTACTGTACATTCATATATATATATACGTATATTTATAACATTCTATGACATGAACAAAAGCAGAGTGGGATTCTCCATTGATTCTCCAACTTTCGCTGTGAGCCGAGCTCCTCACGCCGCAAGGCTGCCAAGGCGAAGAAGCCGGACGACCTGCGGTGGACAGGTCGGAATTGCCATAGGATCCATAGGTCGGCTGATGGCATGTTTGGATACGTTATGAATCGTTATGATAGGTTTGTTTGGATAGTTTCGGATAGTCAGGCCACTTCCAGCTGCAAAGGGAGCAGTGTCGACTTTTCAGGATGCTACGGTCCGTGTGAAGCTGTTCCATTGTACCGTACAAAATCAGCAGCGCTTTGGAACCCAGGACGAGGTTCCAGTTGGCTAGCCCTAGCTGTTCTAGCAGTGCTAGCAGCGCGCTTCATCTTATGATCGTCTTATGCCCTGCCACTCAGAGACACTTTGCGGATGCTGATGGTTCCATCATCCTCGCCGCTGGCACAGATTGCCAGAAAGCTAAGCTTCTGAAATTTCAGAAAGTTCACGTCCAACGTGGCCACCAGTCCATCAGCGCCAGATGTCCAAGACACGTCTTGGAACTCCTGTGTCGCTGCACCCGTCATGGCATCGTCCATGTCAAGGTTCGGGTTGTTGGCAAACCTTGGCTGCGAACGGCTCGGATGGGGGGAAGCAAAGAAATCAGCTGCATCCTTGTTGATCTTGTTGCAAGACACTATGTAGATTTACAATGATTTACATTTTTTTGACATGAAGTGCTACAGAGCACGGCTACGTTTGGCCCCGAAACAACCGCAGGCTCGTGGGTGCTTGAGCTTTGTCCGGCGCTTCCAGAACCAACTTCTGCATCTTCACAGGCGCAATGAACGGCAGTAGCAGCAGCAATTCTGGAGAGCCAGCCTCAGGAAGTCTCCAAGAGAGAATCAAGTTGAATAGTTTCAGAATGTTTCAGATAGTGCAAGAAACTTTGCGAACGTGAAGGGCAGCAAGGCAAGTCACAAGAGACAAACCAGTAGAGTTTTGATGGTCACAAGTGTGGCGGCATCCGAGTTATATCCGAGTTATACCGTTTTGGACAGATTGTCCAAGTATATGGCCGCGTATGGAGCATGTCTTGGCCACCTGCCCCAGTGAATTTGCAAAGCCTGGACACCTCTGAAGTGACACCGCTGTTCCGCAGAGCTTCAGTTGGATCGTCTTCCACTGCGTTCAGCACACCAGCAGCTTTCCTGTGCAGTGGCGCATAGTGGCGTATAGTGGCGCTCATGCTTGCAGTAGATGCATGTCGGTGCCTATAATAATATATAATAATTATCATGTAACTGTAATATGTCCAATGACTGCCAATGACTACATAAACCGGCATACACATGATCACATTGATTCACATTGATTCACATTGTGATGAAATATGATTCAAGATGATGCGGCACTGCCTGGTGCTCCCCCTGGTGTGCAACTTAGCTTCCAATCAACTTCAGATGTCAGGTCTCCATCTGTGGTTCTCGCCACTAAGCCTGCAGCAGCAGGACCGCCAGCTCCCTCAGCACGAGCAGGTCCAGTGGATGTTGGTGCGCCCCCAACAGCACTGCGCAAGGCGTTTCCGATGCCAGCCAAACGGTTCACCCAGGATGGGATTCCACAACTACCTCGGCAACACGCAAAGTTCAGTGCCAAAAAAATGTGCGCGTGGACAGCAAACTGGAATGCACTGATTAGAAAAGTATAAGTTAAGTTAAGTCTGTCTTGCGGATAGATACTGATACGACTTCTGTGGCCTCGCCTCACTGCAAAAATGATAAAAGGAAAAAACATAATTTTAAAAAAAAAAAACTTAGACATTTTTGATCATTTTTGCATAGCCTGAGTTGCAGAGCCTCTGGCACAAGGCTTCTGAAAAGTGATTGCAGTTCCGAGCCATCAGGTCATAACCGGAAGCCGGAAATTCAGCCCTCAATTCTTGGATAGCCCTCATGGCATCATCTCTTGACAGGCGACATGGAGCTATGTCAATGGTCTGGTAGAAGGTCCAATCGCTCCCAGCTGGAGGAACCTTCGGCCGCTGAACCGTAACGCCACTGAAGGAGGTGTTGCCACCACCAAAGACGTACTCGCCACCAAAGACCTCGACACCAGAATGGTAAGCCTTGGATCACCCCGGCCACTACAACTGAGGCTCTCCACGAACACAACACCAGTGGCCTTTGGAGGGAAATCTGATGGCAGAAATTAGACAAAAATGGCAACACCACCATACAATACCATACACCAACCTCATTTCCAATATATCCAATGCTTGCATTGTACCAAAACAGTGCTCCAAAATGCTCCAAATAATAGTTCGCTACTTCTCCGAGGTGCAAAAGGTTGACCACCCGAGAGCGAATACACGTTCAACTTGACCATTTCGCTTCCAGCTGGAGCACCTGGTGGGCCGCCCGAGGCGCCCGAGGCGCCATAGGCGCCCGCCATGACTTGAGAATCGAGCTCTGCGAAGACGCTGCGGCAACACACAACGGTGCAATGGCGAAATCGCAAGGAAATTCTTCGCAAGATTATAGAACATGTGCGAAGACCGGTCACTGAGAGTTGCATCAACATTCCAGAGTGGCAAATCAAAAGACGAAAACTTCAGCAAATGACATAGACAACGGCACACCACCAAACTGTCAAGAACAAACTCAATTTATGGCAGGACTGCTAGAAAATGGTTGTATATAAGTAGCGGGATCCTTCAATTTAAGAGGGTCAGAATGTCGGTAGAAGTTTATGAACTCAAACCTACACATGCGGTAGGTAAATCCAGCACCATGCGGTCGACATCTTTGTCGGCGTTTGCATCCGCTCTGAAAGTTTGGAGCATTGTCTTGGTCGGCTACCCCCAGACCTCCCCCAAGTGAATTTGCCGCCACCTGCTACCGGTGCACAACAATGCTTCGTATTTGAAACATGTTGAAACTTTGTTCTGATTTGTTCTGATATGTTCTAATGGACTATGTTGGGGTCACCCAGCAAATGACAAGCATGAGCACTGCAATTGATGGGCATATCCAATAGTGGAAAAGATGTCTCCTTATGGCAGCGACAACAGATGCCACATGGCCGAATTAACTGCACTATACGGAATGCCACGTGAGTCGGTGCATGGAATGCCACACGGGCTTCCTGAACACATTATGCGGACCCTCGCATTCTGCGGGACATGCCGCATGCTCCATCCAGACTGGGCTATGGTCAGAATGTAAGAGGTCATTTGCAAGTCGTCATTGAAGGGAATGTGTTTTTACTGTCAATTTGCAATTCATGACAGAAACTAAAGGAACACAAACAAAACATGAGAGGATATAATAGGATTAATAGGTCAATAGATATCAATAGATCACATCTATCAACATGTAAAATTCTCCGTCCTTTCAGTCCTGTCTGTCATGTTTAGCAGTTTAGCCCAGCCTTGGATATCTTGGATCAAGCACTTCGTAATCGCTTGGATGGCCTTTCCTCTCCAAAAGCCGTTAAAATTTCATTTCCAAGACTATGTCCCGGTCCTCCGCATCTGACAAGCTACTGTCCCACTTGCTGCAATCCAAATCGGCGGATGATCTGCCCTTCCAAATCAGAAGATGCTCGAGCCGCACGCTGGAAAAAGAGAGAGAACATGTCAGGCTCTGGCCTGGGCAAAGCTCTCTCAAAGAGATTTCGAACACATTTCAGGTCTTCTGAGTCGAATGTGGTGGCTCTTGAGAAGAGCCCAAGGAAATGGCGGTAGTGCGCTAGCTTGAAGGCATCCTCAGAAATGTCAGAAAACAAATTCAGAATGTCCTCTGCAATCTTCACATGTTCCAGGTTCCCAAAGGCCATGACTCTACGCAAGGCATCCACGGCCTTTTCATCTTTCATAGCTTTCAGCAACGCAGGGCTTGCCGAAGCCATAGCATGTCGCAGCTTTTGGAGCAAAGTTGCTGTCCGCGATGCTTCCGCAGAATCATCAAAATCCTCCAAGGAATCAACGCTTTTCTTTGCAGAAGTTGCTTTCTCAGCTTCTTGGTCTGCTACAGCTAGCTGAGTCAGCAGTGCCCAGATCTGCCGGTAGAATTCGGCATTTCGGCCAGCATGAAATGGCGTAGAGAAACTTCCAAAGAATTCGCCGAAATCCAATTCAAAAGATCCAAACTTGGTCAATGCATCCAGACTCGCTTCGCAAGCACCCAGTCGTGATGCAACCTGAAGCTTCGAAGCATCTTCAGCCAGCAGTTGGCGAATGGATTGGACTGCTTTGAAGCACTCTGCCGCTCTTGCTGACTTCACTGTGTCAATCGAACTCACGAGGTTCAGAAGTTTCCTAAGTTGCAACTAAGAACAGCCGCCCCACTGGCATGGATGCATAATTTACAGGCATGGAAGTTTTAAAAAAACAAAGCAGATCCAGAATGCAGTCAATTCACCTGATCTTGGGAGACAGATTTGGATTTGGGAGCAGGATAGTTAAACATAGTTAAACATAGTTATAATATAACTTTGTTCACACTTAGGATTTGTGCAAAGGGACAAAGATGGACAAACTATGCCAATGAGAGCACGGCTCTCAATCATCACCTATCATCGATCTGTATTCAGATTGCTAGGAGTCCTCATCGTTTCTAGCTGAAAACATTGCAATTTTTGACACGGAAACAGCAGCATCCTTCGGAGACCTTGCGATTGAACCTCTCCAAACACCCGAACCCATCCGAACCCAACGAATCCAGTTCATGTCTAGCATCTTGGCTTCGACATCCACCTGCGGAGAAAGGGCTTGTCTCTGTTGTCTCTTGACATCTGAAATCAGGACACGCAAGTTGAAGCAAAAAAACATGCAAGCTACTAGATGTGGACGAACAAAGGAAAGCAACGGAAGCAAGAAGACATTAAGTGGGAGTGATGATAGCCATGACATGCCGTGACACTGGTGATGCAACGGACATGACACTGACGATGACCTTGAACGAGGGTGAATACGGAACCTGAATGGAACTAGCGCCGTTTCAGTTCCAAGTCCAAGCAATCATACAGTCTCCATATGTTATGCTTTGTGGTGCTTAATACCCCCATGTGGCCCTAAATTTTGTGCGCAGGGATGATGTGTATTTGTACATGCTTTGATGTGCATCCCGGCATCCGTATGTTACTTTCTTCAAGATGCCCACTCTATATAGTCTATGATGTTAGAGAGTTTTGTTCTCAAGGTCACTGCTTGCGAGCATTTCTCTTCTTCGTGGTTGTTCGATAAGGGGTTGAATGGGGTGTACTTGTTCAAAGTTCTTCATCCGCTTCATTTACTCCTGGGTGTTCTCAACGCCTGATGGATACAGGTCTGTGTTGATAAAACATGTGGCAGTGTTGGCATCAAGTGCCGAGAAACTTAAAGCAGCACTGCAAAAAAAAAAAACTCTCACAAAATCTGAGGACCCTGTCGTAGCTCACTAGAAGTTGAATGAGCCCGCACACACGGCCAGGTATGCCAGGCCTTCTGCAACTCTTCAAGTACACTCTTGGCGTGTGCATGGTCTCGTGGCTCGCCATTGATGAGAACCTTCAGCAATGTATTCTTGCCAATGAATCCACGCAGCCCCACCCTAACCACATCTTGGCCTCTGCGCCTATGATGTGCATGCGTTTGTCTAAACGGACCCCTCAAACGGTCAATTCATCCTTTATAGCGACTGGCTTTGCAAACAAGCAAAACCGTGCAGACCATGCAAATCCATGGAAACACATGGGCTCCCATCAAAATCCTTTACATCTGAGCAGTTGCTGTTGATATGGTTATCGCTTTTGGGGGGGCCCTATCGCTTTCCAGGGTTTTATGGAAATCAGCATAATTATTCGAGATCCAACATGATGCCAAAATTGATTCCTAAACAGGCTCGGAAATGGATCGAGGAGTTGCTTTTTTGGTTTCAGGTGCTTCGGCAACACTTCATGTTCCTTTCATGTTGCATTCATTTCCTTTCATTTTCCTTTCATGTTCCTTTCATTTGTATTCATTTCCCTTCATGTTCCTTTCATATTCCTTTCACGTTCATTCCAAGGTGCATTCATGTCCCCTCATCTTCCTTTCGTCATTTGCATACATATTCCTTTTATTTTGCATTGATGTCCTTTCATTTCCTTTCTAAAGTTATAGAAGTGGCTCTATCGCTTGGCCAGGGGACCGAGTGCAACAAATGGTTATCGCTAAGTCATCGCTACGGTTATCGCTAAATAAATAACCCCTCCAACATATGACATTGCTCGAAGGAAATCTGCCACAAAAACAACAGAGAAAGAGAGAGAGAGAGAAAGACAGCGAGCGAGTTGGATGCCAAATGATATGGTAACTGCAGGAAACAGGGACAGGTTGAGAGTCCTTCATCGGTTTTGCCCGTTCTGTGAATGTGCACAACAGTATTTGCTTGGTTTACGCCAAGTTTAATGGACTGTCATGTATAGTCCCAGGTTATCGCTTTTTGGGGGTGCCCTATCGCTTTACAGTGTTTCGTGCACATCTCTGACAAAAAACTCCTGCAATGCTAAAGCGGTCTTCAACCATTTTGACCGTGACTCACATGCAAACGGAAACGAAATTAGAAGAACACACGAGTCAGGAACCCATGAGAAGGCATCATGTTGTGAAAACATTCGATAGGAATGCCATGGAATGCCGTCACGTGGTCCACATGTGGTGTTGTTGTGCCGCCAAAGTTGCCTTCTTCATGGCCAATGAAGCACCGGCGTTGCTCAATGCCTTCAAAGTGCCCATGTGTCCAGTTGAAGCCTTCTTGGAAAGCGCAGCCAATGAATCGCGCTCCAAAGTCTTCATTTTTTCACCTCACCAGGCATCCAACAGGAGCCATCTGTGATTCCAACAAGGCAATTTTCAGATCTACATCAATTTCCTGTGAATTCATGTCGCCCATTGGCGATCTTGGCGATCGCGGCTAGAGTGGTCAAGTAAGGTTAGGTATCACTTTCTGTTCTGTCCTGTGCTGCTTCGTCGATGCAAGTCCAAATCTGACACCAAAAAATAAAACAACAACTGAAGCTGAACCCTGATAACCCATAGAAACAACAAAATGCATTGCCGCATCGCAAACTCGAAGAAACACATGTTCGGTTATATTATATTCCATGCGTTGGTGTAGTATACAACAAACATGTGAATTCAGTCAACTCAACATCCGAAATATCTGCGGAAACCCTTTCAACAAGCCGCTCTTGTCGCAACACACATGGCCTGGCAGCATGATTTTCAACAGCATGATGTTGCTGTGGATTTCTGATGGTGTCACTTCCGACCCACGTTGTTGTTGGTCAACCCGGTTGATGGTTGAAGAGCTTTCGCATCTGACAGGCGTAGCCACTGGGCGAATCTCCAGGCGGTCCAGTCGAATCCTCACAAGTCAAGGGTTTTGGCATGTTAGTTTGAACGTTTTTAAGTTTATAACAAACTCCAAAACTGCTAAAACGGCAATTTTCATAAATCCCTCAATGAGCCCCAAAAAGGTTCAAATATGCATCAAATTATCAAAGAAACAAGGAGACATGGGTGGAGCGACAACCAGGTCATGATCCTGGTGTCATAGTTCCTGTAAAAAAAATATGGCAAGACATCGCCCAAGTGCTCAGTGCTGGTTATTTTACCACCAGTTCCCATCAAGAACGCGAAAACCCGCCGCAGGCCTGCCCAGCAAATGTTCCTCGATGACCTTGCGGCTGGACGACTGCAGATGGTGAGCTCTGTCACGGCGTCCGGGGTCTCTCATGACAACTCCGCCAGGTTGGCAAATGACGTCTCCGAAATACGTCGAAATTGCCTAGCAATAAACTGCGGCTGCTCACAAAACATACTAGTCAGTGCGACATGCAAGGTGAGATGGATGGAGAAACAAACAATGAAGAGACGTGAAGAAACATGGGGCACCCAAAAATGTCTTAAATCAAATGGGCCCAGGCCACCGAAAGGAGTTGGCCATCTTGGTTTGCAAAGTCGATTGTGATTGGCCTGATTTTGCCAGGACGTTTGCTGCAGTGTCGCAAGAGGACTTGGGTGGCGAGGGTGCTCGCGTCAATCTTCCGGAACATATAAAGGCAGGTGACTGCAGGGTTGTCGTAGCCAGTCTCAAACTTGTGCGCCACGAAGAGGATCTTGGCCCTTTTGGCATCCACTGCTGACCGCATGAAAAACCCATTCAAATCCTTCTCAGTTTCCCCACATACTGAGCCAGAAAATGCCCCCAGAATGTCTTCACGTTGGAAGTCCAAGCTGGGACTGCTTTGGGCCAACCGCCGTGCAACTTTGGTTGCTGTCAGCACTTCTTCGCGCGAAGAACACAAGACCAGGCCTTGGGCGCGGTACGACAGCGACCCGCACGTGGCCTGGAAGTGTTCCAATGCCAGCCGGACCCGGGCCACCAGCACGTCGTGTCCATTTGACGATGCCATCAGGCGTTGGAGCCGTGACTTTTCCTGACACAACGGCTGGGCCCAGTGTTGTGGCATCATGACATGTGAGCGTCACACTCCTTCACTCAAATACCAGTGCGTGGCAGGACCTGGCAACATGTCTCTGCAAAATCTGGCCGCTTGCATCCAAGTTTCTTTCTCTGAAATGCATGTGCTATCAAGGCCGCTCACGATTGACACCACTTCGTGGTATTCCACCCGGGGGTCCATCACCAAACCTGGGCACATCACCAGGATCAGAAAATAATCGTGCTGCATCAAGTGCGCAATGACACACCTCCCAGCCAAGCCTTTTTAGTGGCCCGCATCCTCACAGTGGAATGGTTTAGTCAGCAGAACTTGCAATCAAGAAACCTTCTGACACCGCTTGCCCCAAGTGGTAGACATGAAATGGCCGGCGAAGGCCATCAGTGCCCAAGGTCCCAAAGCGCTCAAGAGCTTGTCGGTTTGGAGTTCCTGACTTGGAACAACACGAATGAAACCACACTGAATCGAAATTCACCACCATATCCTGAAAACAATGGCTGCCCTTCACTTGTTGCCAAAGGAATGCTATGGGTGTTACTCATTCTTCATTGTCACAACAAAGATCATGTGCCCTTCTTATGCCTGTGAGCGCCACGTAGTGAGAAGCGCGAAGCACGCGCTCCATCGACAGCGTCATCGCTCCAAAATCTGTGTGGCTGCGATGCACTTCGTCCGGCATGACGAGCGTCTTCTCTGCCAGCGAGTCACTGGCCCTGGTCCAGGCCAGCTCACTGCTGTTGAGCTTCCTTATGGCACTGAGAACTGTTGGCAGGGGGGCCTTCAGCAAATTGTCTGAAATCCGTTGCTCTGTGGCTGGAAGAAAGAGGCTATACACAAATCCGGTGCAAATCCAAGCTTCTGGAACGTTGTGAACAGGATCCTTAAGCGGTTGAAGAAAATGGCAGCGAAAGAAGACAGCCATGCAGAACACAAACGAAGAAAGTGTCAACCGCGGCTACGGCAGTTCATTGGTATGTCTGATGTCACTTAGCAGAAACAATTATTAAAAAGGCAATTGAGCATCGTTCGCACTCCCTTCCGTTCGGAGACAGACCGCTCGCATGATGAGAGCACATCCTTCAACTCCCTGGTGTTCTCAGCCTGGATGACCCGAGCCCGCACTTGCAAGGAAGAGGGCGCGTGTTGCATGTTTCGCATGAACTTCTCCACTACCTCCTTGGCGCAGCTCGCCGTCACACCATGCACAAAAATAAAAAACAAGGTGGGCCAGAGAACCCAAAAGCAAGACGGCGCACAGCACGCCTTTTTTTGAAAATGTTGTGGTGTGGGCAGTGCTCTGGACGAAATCGATGTAAGATCTTCACTGAAACATCGTGCGCACTGATGGTATCAGGGGCCACAATTCGCCACAGCATGCTGTGTCAGCTACGTCTACATTCTTCTAGTCGCTATTGCTGCTAATGTAATTAACTTTATCCCATCTTTCTAGTCGCTATTTATTTCTGGATTCTCATTTAGTTTGCTTCGCCGCAGAGGGAGCGAGGACGAGGCGTGGACGGACAGAACACCGTGCGAAATGAAAACTAAACGACGGAGGGAGTTGACCAAAAGAGCATAAAAACGAAGATATGAAGGTGACATATGGTGGAGGGTCATGAAAAATGAGACATGATGAAAGATGGGTAAAGACTTCTCTGTACAAAAGCTTCTTTGCATAAAAGCTTCTGTATGTAAAAGCTTCTGTGGGTAAAAACTTCTCTGTGTAAAGGTTTTTGGTGTAAAAGCTTCTGTGTGTAAAAGCTTCCGTGTAAAATGTCCTCTGCGTGTAAAAGTTTCTGTTTGTGAAAGTTTCTTTGCGTACCAGCTTCTGTCTCTAAAAGCTCCTCTGTGTTAAGGTTTTGTTTGTGTAAAGCTTCTGTGTGCAAAATTTCTCTGTGTAAAAGACTTCTCTGTGTCAAAGCCTCTGGGTGTACAAGCTTCTCTGTGCAAAAGTTTCTCTGTGTGAAAGCTCCTCTGTGAAAAAGCTGCTCTGTGTAAAAGGCTTCTCTGTGTAAAAGCCTCTGTGTGCGCAAGCTTCTCTGTGTCAAGACTTCTTTGTGTAAAGATCTCTCTGTGTAAAAACTACTCTGTGTAAAAGCTACTGTGTGTAAAAGCTTTCCTGTGTAAACGCCTCCGTGTGTAAAGACTCCTCTGTGTAAACCCGTCTGTGTGTCAAAGCTCCTTTGTGAAAATGTTTTTTTTGTGTAAAAGCTTCTGTGTGCAAAAGCTTCTGTGTGTAAAAGTTTCTGTGTGTAAAAGCTTCTGCGCGTGTTAAAAAAAAAACTTCTGTAAAAGCTTCTTCTGTGTAAAAAAGCTCCCCTGTGTGTACAAGCTTCGCCGCGTAAAAGCTGCTCCATGAAAAAGTTCTGTGCGCCGTAAAGTTGTCTGTTTGTAAAACCTCCTGTGTGTGAACGGGTCTGTGTGTACAAGATTCTGTGTGCAAAAGCTCCTCTGTGTAAAGACTTCTCTGTGTAAACGCGTCTGTGCGACAAGGCTCCTCTGTGTAAAGATTTCTCTATGTAAACGCGTCTGTGCCTGAAAGCCTCTCTGCGTAATCTGTGTAAGACTTCGCTGTGTAAAAGCTACTTTGTGCAAAAGGTTCTGTGCGTAAAAGGCTTCTGTGTGCAAAAGCTCCTCTGTGTAAAGGCTACTCTGTGTAAAAGCGTCTGTGCGTAAAAGCGTCTGTGCGTAAAAGCTCCTCTGTGTAAGACTTCTCGGTGTACAAAGCTTCTATGCGTGAAAGTTTCTGTGTGTAAAAGCTTTCCTGTGTAAAAGTTTTCTTGTGCAAAAGCTCCTGTGTGTAAAAACTTCTCTGTGTAAAGGCTTTTTTGTGTAAAAGCTTCTGTGTCTACAAGCTGCTCTGTGTAAAAGTTTCTGTGTGCCGAAAGCGCGTCTATTTGTAAAACCTTCTGTGTGTAAACGTGTCTGTGTGTGTAAAAGCTTCTGTGTGTAAATCTCCTTTGTGTAAGGACTTCTCTGCGTAAAGGCTCCTCCGTGTCAGACTTCTCTGTACAAAAGGCTTCTCTCTGTAAAAGCCTTTGTGTGTACAGGCTTGTCTCTGTCTCAAGACTTCTCTGTGTAAAGACTTCTGTGTAAAAGCTACTCTGTGCAAAAAAGCTTCTGTGCGTAAAGGCTTCTGTGTGCAAACGCGTCCTTGTGTCAAGACTCCTCTGTGTAAACGCGTCTGTGTGTCAAAGTTTCTGTGTGAAGGCTTTTTAGTGTAAAAACCTCTGAGTGTAAAAGCTTCTGTGTGTGAGAGCTTCTCTGTGCAAAGGGCCCTTTCCCGTGCAGAAGCTTCTGCGTGTGAAAGCTTCTCTGTGCGTAAACGTTTTTTGTGTGTAGACACTTTGTGCGCAAAAACTCCTCTATGTAAAGACTTATTTGTGCAAACCCGTCTGTGCGTAAAAGCTCCTCTGTGTAAGACTTATCGGTGAAAGAAGTCTCTTTGTGTAAAAGCTTCTGTGTGTAAAAGCTTTCCTGTGCAAAAGCTTCCTTGTGCAAAAGCTCCTTTGTGTAAAACTTCTCTGTGTAAAGGCTTTTTTGTGAAAACGCTTCTGTGTGTAAAAGCTGCTCTGTGTAAAAGTTTCAGTGCGCCGTAAATGCTTCTGTGTGTAAAACTTCCTGTGTGTAAACGCGTCTGTGTGTAAAAGCTTCTGTGTGTAAATCTCCTTTTTGTAACTCTGTGTCAAGACTTCTCTGTGTAAAAGCTGCTCTGCGTAAACGCTTCTGTGTGTGGAGGCTTCTGTGTGTAAACGCATCCGTGTGTAAACACTCCTGTGTAAACGCGACTCTGTGTAAAAGCTTCTGTGTAAACGTTTTTTTGCATCAAAACTTCTGTGTGTAAGAGCCTCTCTGTGTAAAGGTTTTCCCGTGTAAAAGCTTCTGTGTTTAAAAGCTTCCATGTGTAAAGCCCCTCTGCGTGTAAACGTTTCTGTGTGTAAAGGCTGCTCTGTGTAAAAGGTTGTTTGTGTAAAAGCGTCTGTGTGTAAAAGCTCCTCTGTGTGTAGAAGCTTCTCTGTGTAAAAGCTCCTCCGTGTAAAGACTTCTCTGTGTCAAAGCCTCTGCGTGTACAAGCTTTTCCGTAGCTTCTCTGTGTAAACACCTCTGTGTGTGTGCAAGCTTCTCTGTGTCAAGACTACTCTGTATGTATAAAGACTTCTCTGTGTAAAAGCTTCTGTGTGTAAAACCTTTCCTGTGTAAAAGTTTCTCTGTGTAAAAGATTCTGTTTGTAGAGCCCTCCCTGTGTACAAGCTTCTCTGTGTAAAAGATCCGCCGTGTAAAGCTCCTCTGTGTAAAGCTCCTCTGTGTAAAAGCTGCTCTGTGTAAAACCCGTGCAAACAGCTCCGCATTTTCAGTGCCGCTCCCTCCCAGCAGAGCTCTTCCCAAGCTATTTCCCCGCCTGTCCGTCCACGCTGATGCATATCCTATGCTTCGGTTATCGTTTAGTTTGCTTCGCTGCAAAGGGAGCGAAAACCAAGCATCGACGGACAGAACGCCGAGCAAAATGAAAACTCCTCCAGCAAAGGGCTTTTTCCCATGCATGTCCGGCATGTCCCTTTGCCTAGCGTTTAGAGACCGTTTGACAAGTCTTTGGCACCGGTTTTTCGGGACAATCGCGTTGATGATATTTGTCCTGAAAAATCCGTGCCAACAGCTCTGCTCCTTTAGTCTCGCTCCCTGCCAACGAAGCAATGCATGTCCCATGGCCCAGGGTTTGCAAACTTTGGCAGCTCTTGGGTGCACAGTTTTTCGGAACAATCGTATTGATGAAATTTGTCCTGAAAAACCCGTGCCAACAGCAGTGCATTTTGAGTGTTGCCCCCTGCCAACGAAGCTATGCATGTCCCATCGCCCGACATTTGCAAACCACTTGAAAAGCCTTGGGCGCACAGTTTTTCGGGACAATCGCATTGATGGAATTTGTCCTGAAAACCCGTGCCAACAGCTCTGCTTCTCAGTACGTCGCTTCCTCCCAACGGAGCTCTCCCCAAGCTATTTCCAACGGTTTCCCTTCCGTATCTTCCGTTTATTTTGTCGTCATTCCCGTGTCGCTCCTTCCCACCGGAGCTCTCCCCCAGCTATTCCCCACGGTTTCCCTTCCGTCCACCCTCTCGTCACTCCCGTATCGCTCCTTCCCACCGGAGCTCTCCCCAAGCTATTTCCCCAGTTTCTCCTCCATGCACCCTGTCGTCATTCCCGTATCGCTCCTTCCCCACGCTCCTTCCCCACGGAGCTCTCCCCAAGCTATTTCCCACGGTTCCCCCTCCGTCCACACTATCGTCGCTTCCATATATCGCTCCTTCCCAAGGGAGCTCACCCGAAGCTATTTCCCACGGTTTCCCTTCCGTCCACCCTGTCATCACTTCCGTATATCGCTCCTTCCCACCGGAACTTCGCTTCCGCATCGCTCCTTCCCAACGGAGCTCTCCCCAAGCTATATTTCCCACGGTTCCCCCCCGTCCACCCTCTTGTCGCTTCCGTATCGCTCCTTCCCCACGGAGCTCTCCCAAAGCTATTTCCCACGGTTTCCCTTCCCTCCACCCTGTCGTCATTCCCGTATCGCTCCTTCCCACCGCGGAGCTCTCCCCAAGCTATTTCCTACGGTTTCCCTTCCGTCCACCCTTTCGTCACTCCCGTATCGCTCCTTCCCACCGGAGCTCTCCCCAAGCTATTTCCCACGGCTTCCCTTCCGTCCACCCTGTCGTCACTCCCGTATCGCCCCTCCCCACCGGAGCTCTCCCCAAGCTATTTCCCACGGCTTCCCTTCCGTCCACCCGATCGTCACTCCCGTATCGCTCCTTCCCACCGGAACTCTCCCCCAGCTATTCCCCACGGTTTCCCTTCCGTCCACCCTCTCGTCACTCCCGCATCGCTCCTTCCCACCGGAGCTCTCCCCAAGCTATTTCCCACGGTTTCCTCTCCGTCCACCCAATCGTTGCTTCCATCCGTTCCCTCCCAACGGAGATCTCCCCAAGCTTTTTTCCACGGTTTCCCCTCCGTCCACCCTCTCATCAAATCCGTATCGCTCCCTCGCGGCAAATGTGACTAAACGAGAACCCAAGCATCGGAGATGCTTTTGGGAGAAAAAAAAAACTACCAGTACTACCAGCTTCAGATTGTCACAGTGCATAATATGGGGAAATCCGCCCACACCGCTTTGGCGGTGAAGGCGTGCTTATTGGGGGGCAAAACAGCAACACTAAATGCTCAATGACATTTGTTAATATAGCAGTCGCTATATCAGCTTTAGCTGGGGGGGGGCCAAAAACGGTTTCGCACCGAGACCAGAATACCGAGACCAGAATACGGTGGTGTTTTCGACATTTTTCGAGGATTTTTGGGTGTCTGAGCGCAAGAGGGTATTGAAATGGAATTTTGGGTCATTTTGGTAGCTTTCCGGCAATGGAAAAACGGCCAAAAATGAAAAAAACATTGTACATAGCAAGATTTTGCAGGGTTTTTGGATGCCAGAGCATTGAAAACACTGCAAAAACAAGTGTTTTGGACTGACGTTATAGCAAAAAACGTGTAAATTACCGTATGCTTGACTGGAAACATTACAAAAACACTGTCAAAAGCAATGTTTTGGAAGGATTTACTGCCTTTATGGCAAAAAACGTGTAAATTACCGTCTGTTTGACTGGAAACATTGGAAAAACACTGTCAAAAACAATGTTTTGGAAGGATTTCTTATATATATGTTGGAGTTGGCTACCGGCATTGGAACATGGAAAAATTGAAGAAAACACTGTAAATAGCGGTATTTTCAACGGTTGGGGAGATAAGGGAATTGGAAGCATTGTCGAACATGATGTTTTCGACCGGTTTTATGGCGACAAAAGTGTAAAGTACCGTGCTTTGAAGGAAACCATTGCAAAAACATGGAAACACATTCAAAGAACACGGGATTTGGGGGACTATCTAGGCGTCGTTGTCTAGCTATTTGAAATTCCGCAGCTTGGAGAGCCTCCAAGGGAGGGAAAAGTGAAAATTCCATAGCTTGGGAAGCTGTCACGGCGGGGAAAAGTGAAAATTCCCTAGCTTGGGAAGCCCCCACGCCCTAGCTTGGGGAGCCCCCACGGGGGGGAAAAGTGAAAATTCCCTAGCTTGGGGAGCCCCCACGGGGGGGAAAAGTGAAAATTCCCTAGCTTGGGGAGCCCCCACGGGGGGGAAAAGTGAAAATTCCCTAGCTTGGGGAGCCCCCACGGGGGGGAAAAGTGAAAATTCCCTAGCTTGGGGAGCCCCCACGGGGGGGGAAAGTGAAAATTCTTAGCTTCTTAGCTTGGGGAGCCCCCACGGGGGAAAACCACCCTTAGCCCCTCTCACGGACCTAAATAAACCTGCGGTGTGGGCGGCCACCCCACGCGAAGCGGGGTGAATATTATGAAATGTTGGCACATCCATGCACACCTTCAAAGCTGCCACCAAAGGTGCCTCAAAACAGCTTTGCAAAGTGTTCGGCCCTTCTCTACAGGAATGGGTTGGTAGCTGAAACTCTGGCAGTTTCTAATTGTATGACAAAAATGCCTTATGTTCAAAACCTCAATCCATCTCAATCTGAAGGAACTGCGCATCATGCGTTCGGTCTTGCCCGTTCTGATACGGGTGCTGACCAGCCACAAAGCTCTGCGAGTCCAAGAACTCCCGGTCGTTCACTATGACCACCAAGCTGAAGCCAAGCTCTTCACCTGGGTCGGTGAGCAGACTGGCGGCTGGAGCCGGAAACATCCAATGAGTGGGCCACGTGCGATGTTCTGTTTTGTTTTAATCGGGCAACCACTATATATCCCTTGCTCACCATTTCATGGTCTTTCTAAGTTCCTTCGAATGGGGGGCCGCAACGGGCATGCAAAATGTCACACAATCATATTTTGTTCACTATATCTGCAAATTCTGTTCCGTGGTACGATGTCCCAATTACTAAACTATCAAAGAAAGTGGCACGTCTTGTGCAAATCCAAGCTACTCAGTTTCATCAGCCAGTAGGCCAAACTGGCCTGCACAAAGGTCTTGCCAGTTCGTGGGGCATAGTAGTGCAGGAAGCGCTTCTGCGATCCATGCTGAATGGCGGTGAGGACTTTGCGAACGCCTTCCACCTATGTAGGGTGGAGCGACTCCGAGCAAACTGCAGGGCTGCAAGCAAAAACCGTTACAGAACTCACTCCCCTCTTGGTGCCTGCAATCCATCTTGCACGTGAGACGTGTGCGCCACAACATCTCTGAAAGTCTTTCTCACCCGAACATGTGATAGACGTTACTCAGACCAGTTCTGGTGATACCCTTCCCGCAGCTGCACCTGATGAGGATAGGGTTTCTTGCCGGAACCTACCTCGTACACTTGTCTGATGCGCTGCTCCGTGGCCCAAGACGCATCCCGTGTCATGGCTCTGAGAGGATTGTGGGATACTGTATATGAGGTGTTTTTTCTCTGGTTATTCTCACTGGATCTGGGAAACATCAAACTGGAACAGCGGTGAACAGTTGGCAGTGCATTCAGTTGCAACGTTTGAAACGTTTGCACCGTCTTTCAGGCATGGCATCCAACATCATCCAGCGGCATGACTCAGCTGCGAGTATTGTTCCTCATGCAGCCTCTTCATTGTGCATATTATGCAAATAGGAATCATTGTTACTAAGGAGCCTTTGAAGCCAATGGCACCACAAATGCGGTTGCTGCAATGAAATGAAAGAAAGCGGTCAGTTCGCACGTGCATGGCATGTGCGAAGTGAAACGTGACAGTCCTCTGCATCAACTTCATCAGAGTATGATGAGAATGAGCGAAAGCTAATCACAACTGAATTCAAGAGTATATAATATAGTGTGGCGTGGCAACACTTTCCAGGGACTCTCCAACTACTATATTTACATATATTTACTATATCTCCACATGTGGTGCAGGGAAGTAGTGGCCTTGATCTGGAGAGTCAAGCGCCATCCTGTGCTGAGGAAGCCTGCGACCAGAAAGGCAATTCAATGCAATTCACTGCCCAGCTGTGTTGCCTAAATCTGCCCAGCGCCCAGCTAACATAGCGGAGAAATCATGATAAATCCATTGAATGATATCAACATGAATCAACATGTTGTTCATGTCAAACTGGTCAAGACATGTCAAGACTCTTCACTCCCACTGCTTCAATCCCATCAACCATGTGTGGATGACCGTTGATGCAATGCACCTCCTGTTTTTGCAAGCCACCCCTGAGAAAGACAACATCCATGACCACAATAAGAGTGCGACGGAACAAATCAACTTTTTCGCATGTAAATACAGCAACATACAGCATAAACAACAATTTCCACCGCCCAGAAGGGATTGATGTGGTGTTACTTTGATCACTCGGTTGTTTTTTTTTGTTTTGGAAGACCTGGAATGACGTCATAATGATGTGGATCAAAGTTGAGCCAAGGCAGCCAAGGCACTCCAGCGCTGCTCTGCCTTCAAACGCCTGGGCTCCTGCTTCTTCTCCAAGCGCTCGAGGCGACGCAGAACCCGTTGCCTCTGGTGGCCTTTGGAAAGCAAAACGGAACAAGATGTAGCAAGTGCAGAAAAGCATCACAAACAGTCACAAAGCAAGGAAGGAAACTTGAGAGCAGGCGGAGGCGGACGAAAGGTAGTGTAGTGGGAGAGGAGTGGTGTCAAAATGCTGCGCCCCTAAGATGATACACCAAAAACTTTTTTGCGCAGTCTAAGATGATTTTATCCAGAGCATGACTGCATGATACGGTGTCTTGTGCAGCGTGAAATGATGCACGAAAAGGGGTTTATTTAAAACCCCTTTTTAAGATCCCTTGCAGCAACTGTTATTGAGGCTGAAGCAAACCAATTATGCTGGACTACAGGGACATCTCCCTCATGGAGAGTGTGCCTCTACTGTGGCGGACCGTGACCGCGTCACCCGTGGGAATTGAACCCATGACCATTTTAGAGGGGGGGCCCTTATAATTGATATCTAATACATAACGTCGAGAAGTCTACGTTTTCCACGGGCTGGCCCCCCAATACCCCCTATGATTGTGCTGAAGCACGGAGAACTCAGGTAGCTGACGCTACCTTTCGTGACTTGTGTAGAAAAGTCTGGGAGAAAAGGAGAAAACTGGGAAGGCGGTATGGTACCAACCATGGCCCCATGGCCTGATTCTTCCATGACATCCAGGTAAACTGAACGTAGTTGTCCCCAAGCATCGGCCAGCTCTCCTCCAACGTGTGATGCAGCATGCTGGATGTGATGACTAGCCATAGCACATTGCACAAAGAGTGATGACGACCAAGAAATCCTACGACATTCTACCACTCAAACGCAAAAGAAAAAGCATTGATGTACAGCAAACATTAGTAACTTACAGCACTACTACAGTACAGTGATGTACAGTGTATTGGTTTAGAAGTTTCGAAGTTTATGCAGAAAGATGGACTTGGACAAGACCTGGGCTATGCCGACTCAGCAGGGACAGCTCATTGCAGGCACCCTCGAAGACGGTGAGGCGGGCCTGTCAAGCTGAATTCAAACAAACAGACTTTGAGGGTAGAATCGGGTAGAAAATCAGAGTAGCGAATGCAGGGAACAAAGAAATATCAGCTGCTCAGTAGCTTTGACCGTTTTTTTCATTGCCGCCATCCTGCTCACTCAGTGATTTATGATGATTTATGTCCATTTTGTCACACTACAATTGGACTCACCGGCTTTCATTGTTCACAATCTTCTCATGTTCATCAGTGATGTGGGTTTGTCCGAAACCCGGGATGCCCATAGCTCATCATCATTCTCCCTATCGAAATAGCCTATCAAGTTGACTTAACAAAAAATAAACGGTGTACCCATCATATACCCATCATATACCCATCATATAATCATCATAGATCATCATAGATCCATATTATATCATAAATATATATATATATATCAATATCACATATATATACAGTATAAATATATATATATATATCATATAGTGTTGCTATGTGTTTCTATGTGTTGCTTAGATCCTCCATGGCAAAACTCACAACGGACTTTCGCCGCTCCTTCCGCAGGCGCTGCCAGGCCATGAGGCCGCGCTCCAAGCTGGGCCCCTCCGCCAGGAAGCGCGGCGTCTCCAAGGAGCGCCCGACCTTGCGACACGACACGGCACGATACGTGGGACACGTGGGACACGTGGGACACGTGGGACACGTGGGACACGTCAAAGGGAAAAATATGGAAAAATTGGAAAGATATGGAAAGATACTTAAAGCATACAAGTGGGGTTGAGGAAAATTCAATTGAATATTTTGATGTTTGTTGTTTGTTTGAAACTTGTGATTATTTTCTTGAAATTATCAGTGTCATAGTGTCGTAATGGCTGTTCAGCTTTGCAGTTGGCACTCGGAATGTGCTCACAATCTGCGGGAAAGCTCCACTGTCAAACATCCCTACACTTGTCATCTCAATCTTGGGCAATCCTGGGCGAAGGACCCAGTATCTCGCACCCACTCGGGTCAAGAAGGTCAAGTTCAGCTCCTTTCGACGTCGCACGACTTTATGAATCACACCCGCAGGAGAATCTCTGAGACATCTGTCTCTACTACATTACTACATCGGTTCGTGGCAGCGATATAGGCATGATACAAGTATGATCAGTTGCAAAGACCTGCCACCATTTTGCCCATGTCGCTGTTGCCGTGCTCTCAAAGACACAAATCTGATGCCTTCGCAGTGAAGCCATGTTCATGAAGCTCTGTCATGATGGCTTCTTTGAAGCTCACCTGCCCAGGCCAGTGTCATACAGCTACAGAATGCCAAATTTTGTGCGACTGATGCTTTACCTGGTCTTAAAAATTTGGAAAAAAAAACCTAGGTTTGCGCCCAAAGAGGCATGGAAAAACATGCTTGGAAGGAGAAAAATCCCTGCGCCCAAAGATGGTGAATTTGAGGTTCAATGGAAACTACAAAATTTGTCAAAATAAACTGGTGTTTCCGAAAATCGCTGAACCTAGGCATCCTAGAAACAGTGGAAAGCAATGAACGATTTGCCGGAGCAGGTAGCAGTTCAATCGGCAAAGCAAATGCGAGAATTGATGAAGCGAAAAAATGAAACAATTCCGGTGTTGGCCCGGAATACCTCTCTGCCCACTTGTTCTGCTGCGATGTGCAATTCAATCAACAACACCCTTCGGTTCCATTATCAAAAAAAATGGAAAAACATTGTGTACTTGTTAGTTCTCGAAATCTCGTGTGAAGAAAACTGTTGCACTTTGAGGCATTGTTCCGATTGTCGCGGTGGCATCTCCGTTCTTTCCAGGTTTATCCGGATTTGTTTTGTTGTCATTTGCTTCTTGATATCGACGGTGGCACCATGTGGTGCTATCCTAAATCAAATCGATGTCCACAGTTGTTTTTTCATCATATTTTTTCAATTGTTTTTCCTGTTGTTTTCCTTTTTTTTCCCTAAATTTCTTCCGTATTGGTTTCCTGTGTTCTTCCTAATTTTTGCCATTGTTTTTTCCCAAGTTTCTCCCCTGTTTTCTTCCCTCCGTTCTTCCCTCGTAGTTTCCTCTCATTCCTCCAACATTGCCCTTTCTCCACTATTGTCTGCCCCGTTTTCCCGCTGTTGTCATCCTTGTCTCCTCCCCCCGTTTTCCCCTTATGTTCCTGCTTACTTTCTCCCCTGTGTTTACCCCTGAGTTTTCCCCTTTGTTCTCTTTGGTTTTTTCCCTATTTTCGCGTTATGTTCTTCCTTATTGCTCCTTGCATGTTCCTCAGCATGTTATTTTCTTCCCTATGTGCTTCCCTACGGTGTTTCCTACGCCATTCCGTGTTGCCTTCTCTGTTCTTTGCGCTTCTTTCAAACCTGATCGTCATCCAGCACCAGTGAGAAATCATAAACGTACAAGTAAAGCCTTATCACATTTACAGCAAATACCTGGGCATCTCTGCAGTGCAAGCAAATCATGCCTGATCACCAAGCACTGCCTTACAGTTTGACCAGAAGGAAGCAAATCGCAAATCACAAATTCAATCTGGCATGACCATGATCGAAGTGAAAATGCAAATAGGGTCGGCAAGGCGGTTCTCGGCTTGGCCGCTTGCCGTTTTCGGAATTTACGAGAGAAGCAGGTACAAAGGAAGGCGTCCCTTCCCGCTTCACCAGTTGTGAGTGCGTCTTCGCTGGCCCAGAGCCAATTTGCAACTGCCTGGGCCCCCGTACATGCATATAACATCCCCTTGTGAATTTCAACTGTCACCTACTATAGAGGTACCTGGGTTCCAGTATAAGGGTACTTCTGAAAATCACTCTAAATCAGGAAAAAATCAGATTGCAAGAAATACGTCTCTATAAAATCAAGAAAAGCAGAGCACCACATGGTTACAAATGCCTGCTGGTAAAACCAAATCTCTATAAAATCTAGGGACACGGTTAGAGTTGGAACACCTTTTTCCCCTTAAAGTCATCTACCTGGTCCACTATAAAATCAAGCTTTCCAAAATGGTGATTTTAGAAAATCTTTTGAAACATCTGGACACCCAATACTGGGGTACCTATCTCTGATTTTATTGTGGAGCTGTCTGAAAGGATGTCAATAGAAGCTGGACCTGCGTCCTTGGTTTTATAGAACGGCTTCTTTGGGATGGTTGTGCCTACCATCAATTTCCATAGTTTGCTGCCTCAGGTTCAATTCAAAAAAAATAAGAACACAAATAAGTGAGAAAAAAAAAGGAGAACAATTGCCATTTTGGGACACTTTTTGGCACCGGGATTGTTGAAGCAAAACCTCTCGATGAAATCGAAAAATTAGTCCCTATTTGGGGGCCCTTCAAACCTGAATGCCATTTTAGAATACTGCTGTGCCTCACTATATGGAAAGGCTCAAAGATGTCTGAAGCCTGTAATGACCCCGATTTTGGAGCACAATGCTTTACAAGTTTTTATTGTTCTTATCTTTTAAAGGTTGGGCCTTTGGAGGCGGTCTCTGTGAAATCAAAAAGATTCAAACAAAATATTCCAGAAACTGGACTCCGTGCATATATTTTCCGCCTCCCTGCCTTCTATTCAAACTCCAAGATTTGGTCGGTACATGCCTCAAACATCCTTGCCCCTTCCCATATCGTGAAACACAACAAGATTCCAAAATGGAAAAATCAGGTTTGAAATGGTTTGAATGACGCCCAAATAGAGACTAATTTGTCGATTTTACAGAGAGGTTTTGCTTCAGCGCTGCGCGTGTCGACGTTGCCTTTCCACAGCTTGAAAGTGGGACGGAAATCACTGGGTACCTACATGCATGTACCCGGCTTCAATACGCACCCATTGTCTCTATAAAATAAAAAAGTTCCAGGTCCTGGGCTCTGTTCGTGTGTTTCTGGCCTCCTTGCCTTCTACTTCTAAACTCCAAAATTTGGTCACTACATGCCTCAAACATCCTTGCCCCGTTCCATAGCGTGACAGAGCAGGACTCCATAATGGAACACGTCAGGTTTGAAGGGCCGGGCCCCCAATAGAGACTAATTTGTCGATTTAATAGAAAGGTTTTGCTTCAACACTGCGCGTGTTGACGTTGCCTTTCCACAGATGATTCAGAAATCATTTGGTGGTACTAAGTGCACGCACGTACTCTGCGTCAATGTGGGCCAACTCCCTCTCTCTCTCTCTCCCTCTTTCTAAAATTGCAGTGTGTAACCTCCCCTTATGGGAAGGGCTCCCAAGAGGTATCTGAGACAGTCTCAAACCAGTCTGAAATCCTCTCTGTCTATCCATCTGTCTGTCTATATATATAGAGAGAGAGAGAGATTTTTTTTTTGTTTATCCTCTCTCTCTCTCTCTACATCATATCTATCTATCGATTATACTGTCATCTAAGATGTGGTTCAAGTGCTGCCCGAAACCTCAATAAGTATCATATTCGTCAGATGCTGCGTTGGCAGCTTGTCAGACCCATTCCCCTTGGGCCTTGATAAAAATATTAAGGGGATGCGGCGATCGCTTACAACACCAAATTTGTCTCAAACACTTCCCCTCTATAAAATCATGATCTGCGGGCCCATAAATCAGAACCATGCCAAAAATAGCCTCTCTATAAAGTCAGGTTCCTGGGTCCCCCTGACTTGGCCATAAGCCACATGTTGGCTCACAAATGGTTTACAAATAGCCTTCTATATAATCAAAATCGTATTTTTTTGTCTTTTTTAGACACTTTGTGCACAGACCTCGGCTGTCTAAAATTATCATTCTAAACGATACTTGGGTATACCCATTTCATAAAGGAAATGTAAAGGGGTATCATATAACCTTTGTTGCAGGGCTTCACACACACGGCAAGCCGCATGGGCACAATTTTGACAACAAGAAAGACTGTCCTGGCCTGATCCAAGCATCAATGGTTTTTGCTGCACAAGTAGCTTGCAGAGCTCCTCATTGCGCGCCTTGGTCAGCAAGCTGAACTCGGGTTGTATGAATATGAGCATGAAACGGGTGTGACATTCTGGAAACATGGACGACGCGTCGAATTCTGGACATTAAAAATCTCGAACTCGTGGCAAATTCTGGGAATGCAACCTGGCGAATTCTGAAGATAATCTGCTTCTGCTGAAAAATTCTGAAACGTACTCCTGGATGCTTGTGCGAAACCTGCTTCTGGTAACATGAAGTCCTTGGCAAATTCTGAAGATATTCTGGTATCCCCGGTGGGCGCACCACCAAGCTTCCCCTTGGGAACGCCCCGAAGGGAGAGGATGAAATGAGATGAGGCGAGCCACTTCAAGATTCCAAATAAACGAGGACTATCCCAAGACCACGACCCACAATTTATGCAAGCCTGCGCAATCGAAATGCACTTGGAGATTGCACAAGAGCCACTTCATGTGGAAATTTACAGGTAAGAGGCCGCAGACCAAGACCTGCGAAGTCGAAATGCACATGGACATCTCACAAAAAGTCATTTTATGCGGAAGTTAAAATGAAATTTACCGGTAAAAGGCCGCAGACCAAGAGCAAGCCAAACTCGCGCGGCAGACTTTGCGCGAGTCTGCGCAAGCGAAATGCACATGGACATCTCGCAAGAGCAATTTTAGGGCCATTTGTGCGGAAATTTACCGTTTAAGAGGCCGCAGACCAAGACCGGGCCCCACGTTTCGTGCGAGCCTGCGCAATCGAAATGCACGTGGAGATGTCAAAAGAGCCATCTTATGCGGAAATTTGCAGGTAAGAGGCCGCAGACCAAGACCGTGCCCCATGTTCTGTGTGAGCCTGCAAAGTCGAAATGCACATGGACATCTCACAAAAAGTCATTTTATGCGGAAGTTGAAATGAAATTTACCGGTAAAAGGCCGCAAACCAAGAGGAAGCCAAACTCGCGCGGCAGACTTTGTGCGAGTCTGCGCAGTCGAAATGTACATGGACATCTCGCAAGAGCAATTTTAGTGCCAGTTTGCGCGGAATTTTACAATTTAAGAGGCCGCAGAGCATGACCGCACCCCAAGTTTTGCGTGAGCCTGCAAAATCGAAATGCACATGGACATCTCGCAAAAAGTCATTTTACGCGGAAGTTAAAATGAAATTTACAGGTAAAAGGCCGCAAACCAAGAGGAAGCCAAACTCGCGCGGCAGACTTTGTGCGAGTCTGCGCAGTCGAAATGCACATGGACATTTTGCAAGAGCAATTTTAGGGTCATTTTGTGCGGAAATTTGCAAGTAAAAGGGTGGGAACCCAGAGTGAGCACCTTGATCAAAGACCGGCCTTGGCTCCTGCTGTGGGGAAAATAGTCCTCCACCCTAGTCAGGCGCAAAATTGCTGCGCACCGGGCCCATGTAGACCTTGGCTTGTCATCGGCAATGGTGCAAGCCTTAGGTTAACACAGGTTAATAGACATCGAAACACCAAACCCAGCGAAACACCTACCCTTGGCTGCAGGCACAGGCGTGGCACAAGAACCGCATGATAGGCCAGAACGTGTCCCAGTGCACCTCTACTTTGGAGCGTAGAGGTGTCTTTTGATATGTTGATGCCAGATTGATCTTCAGAGCAACCAGCCATACAGCAATAGCTTCCCATCATAAGTGAAAGATTTCAGTTCTCAATAAGTTGCCCACAGTTCTTAATGGCTCATCAGTCGGCCCAGGAAGTGTGCCGGGCCCTTTCATTTCGATGTAGATATAAGTGTTTATTTGTACCTGGTCATACCCCAGGAACAAGCTACAAAGCACCGGAAGTGTATGGAGCAAAGCTTTGCGCGAGGTGCATCTATGAGTCATGGCAAGTTTTTGGCCACAAATCACAAATCAGAAGTTCAATATGACATGACCATGATCGAAGTGAAAATGCAAGTAGGGTTCGACAAGGCGGTTCTCGGCTTGGCCGCTTGCCATTTACGGACTTTACGAGAAAAGCAGGTACACAGGAGTGCGTCTTCGTTGTTACCAGGGCCAACTTACAACTGCCTGGACCCTCTGCTATCAGAGTTTACTGTTTACGTACATGCATATAACCCTTTGTTGCAGGGCTTTACACAAGCAGCATTTCACATCTTCACAACATGTCAGGCTTTGCAGCTTTCACCATAGGCTTGAGCCAAAATTATACCCATTTTATTCCCTATTTTCCTCCCCATCTTCTTCACTATGTTCTTGTCTTCCTTCAGCTTTTTTCTCCCTATTTCTTCCTCATTTTCTTCCCTAGTTTCTTCCCAACCGTATTTTCCTTCCACTTTTCTTCCGTATTTTCTTCCCTACTTGCTTCCCTTTTTTCCTCCCTATTTTCTTCCCGACTTTCTTCCCGACTTTCTTTCTATTTTCTTCACTATCTTTTCTCCCTATTGTCTTCCTTTGTTTATTCCCTCGTTTCTTCTCTTTTTTCTTTTCCATTTTCTTCCTGATGTTCTTCCCTATTTTCCTTCATGTTTCCTTTCTTATTTCCTTAATTTTCCTTCCCTATGTTTTTTTTCCTATTTTTACTTGTCCTTCTGCCCTATTTCCGTCCATAATTTCCTCCATTTTCCTATGTACCGATGTTCTTCATCCCTTCTTCCTGCGTGTTGTTCTCAAAAGGATGCAGGTTGGAGACGCGGTCTTGATTGCAGCGTGTTGCTCGTGACCAAATACACTCACACACGTCGAGTTTCAATGATTCAACGTATGTATGTACATATTCATATGTATACATGTATACATATGTTATCATATGTTCAAATGCATATCAAAAAGTATGCGAAAAGAAGCACGGATATACATGGATACATTTCAATGTTCATAATATATATACGTGTATATATATAATATGCACATATATGCACTACAAATGGAGCACCTTTGTGGACCCTCGTGGGTTGATAGGGCACATCTCCAATTGTGTGGCACATAACTTTGAAGGGATTCCTTGCCTGAATCTCAGCCGAGGACCCCTCCATCCGTTCTCGCACAGATTGCAGCATCTGCACCAGGAAAGGGATACCGGGATAGCCAACTCGCTATGGAGATATCGCATGATTACACTGCATGGTGTGGTAAACCCAATGCTAAATCTCCCATTGGGGCATAGCTTTTGCATGTTTTCAGTATCCAGTTCTGATAAAAGAATGGGATGGTCTATCCACACTACATTGTACCTTGCATTCTCATCGAACAAAGCCAGAGGAGGAATTGCTTGAAGGGCGCCAAACTCTGGACTGATGTGAGAGAACTGTGTCATCATCTGGCTGTGCGCTTGAAGTTCCTTGATTTGTCAAACCTCTTTGTATGCCATACCATGCCATATTCATATTATCCTATATTAATATGAATGGCCATATTATCATTCATATTATCATATATTATCATATATGATTAATGGTATGGGATCCATATCAATATATCATTCATATTATCATATTATCCATCCACAGTGTTTCTGAAAAGATCCATCGACATCCTATCAGCTCGGCTCCGCTCGGCCTGTTTGTACTTCACAGCGAGGTCCAGATTCGCCGTCCAGCGGGTGCTCAACACGAAAGGCCCCGCTGCACACGTTGCCTCATACGTCGAGCGGCCTCGGGCCACGCAAACTCCACAACTTCAAAATCGGTGTCCAAACAGTTCAGAAATGTTCGAAGCAATTGATTGTTGCTGGTAGGAGCCCCGGCCGGATCTGAATCTTTGATAAATCCCGGTGCCACAACATCTATCCTTGGCAAGCAGTACTCTTGCAAGAAGCACCTGACATTGACCTTCGGCCTTCGGCTTAATTCAAGAATTTATTTGTGTACAGGAGACATGATCAGAACAAAAAGACTTGCTGCTGGGGATCATCGATGGCAGGGCGCTTTCTGCCTACCAGGCCAACACGGGCTGACACAAGCGACATGCTGATGGGAACGCCCCCGGCCTTTCCGAGCTCGGTACCTCCAGTTCTTTGGCTCAAGCCGAGCCTTCCACAGCAAAGGTTCTTTTGATTTCTTTTGCATGTTCAAGAATCAAAATGAGGCAATCGGAGCATCTCTCTAGTGACTTCAATCCCGATGATCGATGCTGACTTACAATACCAGAAGGATGCCCCAGCCGTGCCAGCCGCCCCAAACAAACAAACCAACAAACGCGTAGGTCCGCACAATTAAAAAAAAACATAGGTCATCGAAGTGTCACCACATTTAGCGCCAGTTCTTTGTGCCTTGCCGTACTCCTTCATCACAGTGAAGGATTTCCTTGGTGCAGGGAAGGTCCAGCATCGAATCCAAACCATGTCGATGTACTGGGCAACTGACTGCGCCAGCACCCAGCGCTCCAGCTGCATTTGCTGCCCCTCAAAAGACATAAACTTCGGGGATGCTTCAAATGCCGACTGAACTGAAGATTGATGCTACAATGAGTTGGAATCTGAGCCTGATTTATGTCTGGTTTCGGGTTTACAAGATCAGACGAATGATTCAATGATAGCTGATTTGGCTGCCTCCCAACCTCCTAAAAATTCCAAAATATGGAAAGGTCTGAAAGATCAACCTATTTCCGCATACTGTGCACTTGTATTCCATCTTTGGAAAATGATGTGGTTCTGTCAGGTTCTGTCTGTCTCCGGACCCTTACCTGCGTCAAGCGTGCAATGACAGCACGTCGCTGCTCTGGCTGCAAGCGCTGAAGTAGCAGCGGAAGCCTCAAACGGTGGTGCAAAGGCAGCAAAAGGTCTGCCTGTCGATCCTGTTGGGTGTCTGAAGGAGATTGCTTGGAAATGAAACCTTGTGATTGCCGATGGCTCATGAAAGACTCGGCACAGTGGACAAGACTCTAAGAGTCTAAGCTCAGCTGCCGGTCTCGTACACCTCTTCCACAAGGGCGCTTCGGCAAATGCAACACCTGTGAACTGAGAAGCCGTTGATCTTGATTCTCGATTGGCAGCTGCCCCACCGTGTATATAGAGAGTGCATGAGAGTACTGTGCCTGTGACATGCTGATCTTTGTTGATACACAGGGGCGGGATGGTTCCTCTTCAACAAATGCTGCGCGTCCAAGGATAAAAAGTGGTGGGAAGACAAATGCACTGCTCGCCAGCCTCTCTCTCGAAAGAACCTCAAAGGACTGGAACCAAAAGATAACTCTTCCAAAACATTCCAAACCCATTCTGACCTGTGCCCAAATTGGTTTTTGGAAGGATGCCATCATGTTACATCCTGATAGTTTCTCCCTCTGTGCTGCTCTCAGCCTATCTTTTTTCTTGAGTGGAATGGCATTGCCATGTCAATCTCATGAAGGTAAACAAATGTCCTCATTATGGCGACTTCCACCGTTCCTTGAAAAGCTTCCACGCAGCGCCGAGTGCAGGTCGCAATGGAAGCAACGGGAGGTGAAGCTTGACATGGAAACATGCCCCAAAACACCAGGGAATGCCGCAGAAACTGCACTGGCCAAAATCAAAATGGAGCCACATCCCTTGAGGATTGCCGGCAGCATTCTCCTACCCACCAACCTGCAACACGGCAAAAAAATATAAAAAAATCACAGAGCAAGCGGGCCAAGGATTCTCCAGCCTTCAAGTGGCGGTAGACACTTGGCGCATGCAGGGGCCAGTGGGAATCGAATTCAGAAGCTGTACAATTCCAAATGCATCACTGAAGGGTCAAAGGCCCATAGATGTCAATGGTTGGAAAAACCTGAGCAGGCATTGAATCATGGGGCGACCAGAATCGCAGAACTCAATCTGCATCAATCTGCATCAATCTGCCATGAAAAGACAACGCGTTGTGACCGGGTCAAAGCAGGTGCGTTTGATGCTGAAAAATTCTCATGCCCCGGCCTTCGGTTTTGCGACACCACCTGCACCAGCTGCGGCCAGCGCAGAGTCCAAAGCCTTCTGGGCAGAAGCGGCTTCCACGTAGCTGCCTGTGTGGTAGAAGCCTGACAAGTTGAACATCAAAGGTATAAAAAATGTGAAGATGCAAAGAGGCCATCCAAGACTTGGATGAACAACACCATGTGTATCTATCCAGTTGTCCAACCAAAATAGCAACATGGCTTGTGTTGTCATGCTGTCTCTAATAACTCAGCAGCTGAGGAACCTTGCAGCTGCTGCAGCCAGTCGTCTCCCAGTGCAGACATCTGTTTGAAAGGCATGGCTTCTCCTGGCATCGTGCCGACACCCGGGAAGCGGGTGCCAAAGCCTGTGCCCGTGAGTTTGTAGATGCTATCACCCAACCACTGCTGCATAGAGACCATGACATCCGCACCATAGTCAATGCCGACCTGACAACTTGGCCCAAGTGGACCCTGGCAGCATTTCTGGGCCCACTTTCCGCCAATCCAACTACTGCAGTAGTTCCAAATACAATCTAAATGAAAATCACTTAGCAGTTAGCCAGGTGTAGTTCATAAATGTTTCACACTGTTCTATGTTTCACAATTTTTCACCGAAAAAAAACGCAAAGGTCTCCGAGATCCGCCAAGCTGCATCGAAGCGTCGGCCCTTCATGGGCATTGGCGCACTCTGACGTCCACGCCCAAACGCATTGAGACTTACCTCTGTTCTGGCGAAGCCATCCGCGAGGAATACTGGGCCACCAGGACGGGTGCAGACTGGCCCTGCCCAATGCCAGGTCGGAAATTCAGATGCATAATACTACACTATTGCCACAGCATTCCCAATTCTCTTAGCAACAGATTATGGCAAATACCATGGTAGGCTTATGGCGAGCTACCAAGGTATGTAGTTTCCTGCACCCAGCCTGAGGCAATATTCATCCCCGCAGACACAATGAGTTGTACATCTACCCGCTCCCAGGGCTTCAATTCTTTTTCACAAAGTTCACCCATGGCATGGTCCAAGCAAATCTCCAAGCCAATGCGAAGTCCACCAATTTTCAGCAAGCCACTTGGCAATTCCACGTCGTGGCCAAAGCCTAACTCTTCGAGCAAATGGCTGGGTAAGTGCTGATAGACACAGCCGTTGGAGCGGGGATGCTCCTTGCAGAAGCTGTGGGAGCGGCCAGGTGGAGCAGGAACCATGCGACTGTGCTCTGGCCGCATCTGCAGGAAGTCGATGCCACTGATGAAGTGTTTAAACCTGCGCTTAACATCGGCTGCATTGGGCAAGTGACTCACAACAGAACGCCTCTATATTTGCATATGTTTATGTTTTTAATAATATTTATAATATATATATATATGTGTGTGTGTGTGTCATAATCCAATATAATCCATATATATATATCCATATAATTAAAACAAAAGGACACCATAGAGGGTGTGTCATGCAAGCAATCTTGGCACGGCTTCTGGGCGAGATACCTGAGATATGTGAGGTTGGTGCCGCCAACATGGACAGGTGCAAAATTGTAGTAGCTGATATTCTCGTAAGGCCGTTCTGACATTTCGACATATCGCTGATCAGCGATTTGGGCCATCACAACTGTTCCATCCACAATCAACCAATGCTTGAAGCGCTCATGTGTAAAGCGGTGAGAAATCCAGTGGGCAGTTGGATGCAAGACCTTTTCGACTCCACGGTGGATTCGGTACGCTCCCTGCTTGCCACGCCAATAGAACTCGGGTAACATGAAGATTTTCAGGGTCGCTGGGGAACGATCCCAATGGTCCGAAGCATACAAGCGCTCAACTGCTTCGAACATGATGTTCAGCCGTTTCTCAACATCCTCTTTTACCTTAGTACTGCCCAAGTAACATTGATCTAGATCATCACCGATGTCGAAGCAGCCATCCACTTCAGTTCCTGGAGCTGTAAATAAGTTGAAGCCAAAATACTGAACAGCTGCATATCTCTGCCCATCTACTAAGACCACGCGGTCAGCTTTCTCAAAGTACTCTAGGAGATCCCTCGAATATGGAATCATCCAAATCAAGGCCACGAATACCAAAACTAGCAGACTTACTGGCGCCGGTTTCCATCTCAAACACCTTTGAGGAACCTGAGGTTTCCTATGTTTGGTCTCTTGATAGTCTTGATGGTCTTGATGGTCTTGATGGTCTTGGTCTTGAAACCGAGGCTTTCGGATCTCTCGGCGGGATTCAAGGGACTCGAGGGACGCTTCGGGGGACGACTCGGACTTGGGACGCCATGGCCGCGAAAGCCGTGGCGCCCGTTTCCTCTCTGCCGCGACTTCGGGGTCGTAGCCGTCGTAGCTGTCGTAACGGTCGTAGTCTGCAAGAAGCGGTTCTCCAGGAAAGGTAAATCTCATGGCCGGCCCTCACCAACTTCAAAGTTCTGAGCCAAACTTTACGGCTGTGGCTGTGCACATCTGAACTGTGCGTTCATCGCTATCAGCGCGTTGCATGTCCCGAAAAGAAATCAAGCTATCCCTGAAGTCCAGAAACACTTCTCCAACCATATATTTCCATATATTTCCTATCATTTCCTGTATGTCAGTATGATGAGATATTATTGATGAGTGTATGATCAGAATGTGCATTCCAAGCAGCCGCTTCTCGATGAACCCATTGCCATGTCGATCAGCTTGGAGAAGCGTTTTCGGCTGTTGCATTAGACAACAACAACCTGAAAGATCTGAAAGCTGGGAAATCTGCCATCGAATCCAACTCTGCAATCTGGCAGAGTAAACTGAGGCAGAGGCAACAGGGTCAACAACCCCAACACCAACCTCGGACATCGCGGTCAAAGGCATTGTGTAGGATTGCATCTGGACGTTTCCAGGGTCGTGCAGCTTGCGGCAAATAAAATAAATAAAGAATGGCTGAGACCGACTGCGAACGAGGCGCAAGAACACGGATCTCGAAGTGGTGGCGCACATCACCGAGCTTTGGCAAACCTGAGCCATGAACTGTGACATATTGTGACATGAAGATAAGGGAATGAGGGAATGAGCTTTGAATGGATCTCGCATTAGGATGCATTGGGCAGGAGATCCTGAAAATACTGAGGATCGGGCAAGTGTTGTTGGCGATGTCAGCGATCAGTGCCATGGTTGCAGCGTGTCTGAGACAAATCACCTTTTCAAGTGCAACCCCAGTCATCAACCGCAAGCAATGCAACCTATCACCACTGGATACCACTGGCAGGGCCCACAACACACCGGCGACATCCGACAACCTGCGACGTCCTGCGACGTCCTGCAACAAAGGCGCTTGATGAAAGCAGGCGCAGCAGCACCCACAGCTTGGAGCTGGAGCCAAATGGCAACGGCAAAACATCCAGGGATTTGTTTCGTTCGCGAAAAGTGATCCACTGGAAGAACAAAACAATAGTTGGGTTAGTTGGGTTAGTTGGGTTAGTTGGGTGGAACCAAGGCTCTTCTATGATTTCCCCAAACTTAGCTATTGACATCTATTGGCACTTCATGTCTATGTGGGATTGGTTCCATGGATGAGGCCCGCACTGCCATTCGCCCAAGACCTAAGCACAGACGTATGAAATTGTTCGAAAGCGTGCTGGGCATGCTGGGTTGTTAATAACCAATGGAATGTTAATAACAATTATAGTTGATATACCATTGGTTGTTAATAACTGCTATTAACTGTTAATACCAACCAACCAATGGAATCAAAATATAGTGAATTATCATGAGATAGGTGTTGACAAAGTGATGAAATTGAGATATCATGAATCACCTTTGCTGCGTCGTAGGGTGAAACTTCCCCGTCGTGGCAGCTAGGATGCCAACCACCACCTGCAACCCACGGGCAGAGCCCATCTCCCACCTCAAATGTTCGAAAGAATGGAGAAAAAATAAGAGGGGAAGAGAAAAACATAGAAAAACCTTGTGACTAAGTGTGATGTATGGTGATATATGGTGATGATTGGTGATGTAGTGTCAAATGCTCACGTATGGTGCATTCGTGGCTGACATGTGCCGTCGACCTTCCGTTTTAGGCTCCAGCTGTTTCAGGATGACCTCGACGGATCCATGAGCTTTTCCTCGACGTGCAGCCTGTCGCCAATCTGCAAACACCTCGCGGGCCGCAGATTCGGTCCCGACTCCCTGCAGTGAGTCAAGCCGCTACCAAAACAGTATCATATGTATTTCATATGTATTTCATATGTATCATGGATTATCATGGGACAATATGGAAAAGATTGGAAAAGTATAGGCATGGACAACACTTATAAGGGGCCCTGGCTCTCTTCACGACAAGGGCTGTTGGAGGGATCAAAAATAGTCTGAAAACCCTGGGTCTGGAGACTGTTGATGGAGAAATCCAGGGATACCCCTAGCCAAGAAATCGCTAAAGCTCACATTTTGACCTGAGGCTATGAACCACTCCGCGCATCGCATCCACTTTGCTAAGAAAGTAGCGCTTGACCTGTTGCCTTGGGCGATGGGCTATAGATGGCTATAGACTGTCACAATATTCACAACCACTTGATTGGTTTTTACAATCGCTGCATCCTGTGACATCAAAGTTTCCATTTTTCATGCAGCAGTGGCGGCGGACATGAGCTTTTTGTTCGGGTCTGCATAATGCATCGGGGGTCTTGCCCGCAGAGGGGCACTTTCTCCTCACGCTTTGTGGCTGCAGAAATAATCGAATTTCACCATGCTGCAGCGGCTGTGGCAAGGAATCATTTGGGTGCCAAGTCTGAGAACCAGCTGTCAAATCTGTCAGCTGTCTGAACTATCTACAAAATCGCTCCCTCAAGAGTCGAAGACGTCAATATCATCAATTGACGCCAGCCTTCTCCAAATAGTTCAAGATCTCCTGAACGGAGTTGATGCTGTCAGCATCTGCATCTGGGATCACATGGTTAAACTCATCTTCCACCTCCAGCAGGACCTCCACCTTGTCGATTTCATCAAACTTCAACTCATCCCATTTGGTCCCCGTGGAGACTGCTGAGTCTAAAGCCTTCAAGGCCTCTTCACGGTTCTCAGTTCCACTGTCGTCTCTCAAGAGATCATCTTTTCTCGCCTTCATGTACCTCTCGACTGCCGCAATGACACGCTGCGGGCGCTCGGTACTGAAACCCCGCGACCAACGAGAGACCGCTGGATGCGTCATGGGACGTGGCGCATGCGCAGCAAAGGCAACTCCACGAGTCAAGGATGTCATGGATGCCATCGAGAATGTCATTGATTGGCTCAGGCGCGTTCGCAATGCCATGGCCATAGCTTGTCGACAAAGACAGAGTCGACAAAGACAAACAAAGCGTGCACCCTTGGATACTAACCATGAGCCAAGATGAGTGCAGAAGTTGTCACATGTCGCGCAAGTGGTTCCTTTTGCAAAGCAATGCATCTATTTCCAAGGCAACCACACTGCCATGCGACTAAATTCAGCTTACCCACTGCACAAACTCAAACTTTGACACCTTGCTCATGATGTGAGCACCATGATCCCCCTGAGGAGCGTGCTCCATAGCTAGGCGGGCGCGAGTGCGTCCTTGCAAATACAGCTCAAGCCATGGTTCCAACAAGGTCTGTCATATGTTCAATAACAGCTGCAATAAGGCATAAACAGGGTCAAGCAAGAAATTGTGCGATGCCGTTTTCGGGATTGGCTATGTCAAAGAACTGCGGCGGTGTTTCCTCTGTTTTTGGCTGCGTAGCGGCTCCATGCGGAGATTGCGCAGGCCTCAGCATGAGGGAATCTCTCATATTTGCTGTGTTTGGGCTGGAGCAGAACAACAAGCGAGGATTCATCCAACACGGTGTTCATACCCTGGCTATGAAGTAAGCCGTCGGGTTTTGATACAGTATATATATATATATAATATTGTGTTCATAATCAAGTGAACGAATGCTCCGTGCATTCTCTCTTCGGGTTTGAGCATCTGTGCAGTTTTAAAAGCCTGTCAGACTGATAGTCCGTACAATAAAATAGCAAAGCCCAAGATATATAAAGCAACGTGTTATACGTGTTGCACAAAGTAGGCAATGTGTCACGGTAGGAAGGGTTTACATTCAAACGAATGTAGACGAAGAGGCATGTTCAAACAACTCTCTGTCCAACTAATGTACTCCAAAACATCCAAAAACGAAACAAACATGTGTCATGATGATAATGTATGATAATGATTGATAATTGATAATGGTGATAATGATAACATTATAAACATGTCATGTGATAAATGATGATAAATGATTGATAAATGATGATAATGATTATGTTTCCATAATGTTTCCATAATGTTTCCATTTTGGTTTGGCTTCTTCCTAAGCAGCCAAACCCTCAAGCCCTCCGAGATCTCCGAGCTTCGCGCAGCCACTCCCTGGGGCCCAGGTCGCCGCCAGGTGTGTAGCCTCGGTTTGGAAAGTCTTTGGAAAGTCTTGGGATCGCCGGGATGTGGCAATTCATGTGTCATTCAGATGAAATTCAGAGATTTTGGAACAAAAAATGGAAGAAATGCATAAGAAATGCCTAAGAAATGCCATAAGAAATGCCTGGAAAATTCCTAATCCCTGAAAATTGAAGGACTATTTCAAGTCAATACCCTGCTCAAACACAATAGAGCAGTTAGTGGAACAGTGGCAAAAGGCGATTGATATCGATTGATCAAGAAAGATAAGAAAGATTGAGACTCTGGCAACATGTTGACAGCCTGATGCGCTCTATCTCGTCTGGCCTTCACAAGCACTGCTGCCAAATGTCTCACTTTGAACTGTCTAAACACAATGTGCCAACCCATTTGGCAGTGTGTTCTCCAGCCACGCAGTCAAACACTCACTGCGATTCATTGTGCTTACTTGCGACCGGACCGACTTTTTGCGTTCATCCAGGAGCCGCTTCCACCTCGGCACAGAACGTCGAAGATTTGCCACAAACATTCTCCCCGCGCCAAAATATGCAAATGGCACGGCGATAGTTCTGTCAATACATAATCTTATCACTGCAAATGGTATCTGCGATGCAGTCAGGCTCCGCACAGTGTCAAGATCTCTGCAAGAAGTCCTCCAGTTTCGAGAGAGTGATCAGCAAATACAAGAATTCTGGTTCGATCTCTCTCTCTCTCTCTAGCTGCTTCCAAGCCCCAACTGCTGCGGAGGAGAGTTGATGGGCGGAGAGAAAGGTCTAGATTGAACTTTAAGACTGACAGAACATGATAGATCATGATAGATCATGATAGATCATGATAGATATACGTAGATATACTATGATTGTCTATAATAGACCCTGGATCAAGTGATACAGGGCAAAGACAACGGACCAATCTGCGAAAATCTGCGATTTTACTTGGTTGAGACTCTCGGCACCGCCAAGTCCTACTGTATCTCCACGAGCCCAACGCTGGATCATGAGCTCCACCCCGTTCTTGGCCCTGTCCTCAGCACGGCAAAATCAGAAGCGTGGCGCCCAAGTCTCTCGTACCAAAAATTACACAAAATCATTGCTGTCATTGCATGGTATATGATGATATGATATATAGATATATATATATATGATATATAGATGCCGATAGATGCTGATTGATACTGATAGATACTGATAGATTTGTTGCAAGCCTAAACGGCCAATACTGGCCGCCTGGCCAGATCAAAGGAAGATGGCATGCTTTTGTGATGGCTATGTTGGGCAACAAATGCCATGCTCAAAATGTTCGGCTTCCACCCCGACCTTCTTCATCAGGGCCTTCCACCTCAAAAACGGGAGTCCAGGATGGGCCAATCAATGGTCCAAAAACCAAATGTATCCGAAAATCTGAATCTGGCACAAAGCCACATGCTAGAAATCTTCTTTGAGAGGTGCAGCAAGTTCTGGTTCTGCTCAGGTTCACAGCGGTTCACGGCATAAGGTCAGGGCAGGGCAAAAGTCTCTGATGACAGCCCCCGCTCGTTGCCAAGGACAAACCTGCCGCTGTTGGTCTCATGATTCTGGTCGAAGGGGCCGAAGGGCCGAAGGGGTATCCGGTATCACTTCGATTACAGAGCATCGATATAATCGATATAACATCGATGAATATCTTGAACCGAACTTGAACCCCTGCATATCATATCTTCATGATTCTTCATGTCAGTTCAACGGCCACATTTTTTCAAGCCAAATGGCGAGGCAAACTCTTGGAGTGAAACGAAGAGACGACAAACTCTGCATCTGTCGACTTTAAGCCCGGGACTGACCAGCTGCGGCATCTGTTCTTTCAGCCAACAGCCGTTCTTCACAAGAGATTGCGCCCCCATCAAAAAAAGACACAGCTGGAACCACACGGCCTGTACTGGCCCAAAAATCTCAAAACACCAGGAAGATGCACTGGTCTGAACTTAACATGGTTTGATATGGTTTGATCATGTTGTTTGGCACTGGTCGAGGTGCAAGCTGAAGAAACACGATCAAGCTATTTAGTGGCAGGCCTACTGTATTGGCTACGGGAGCCTATGGGAGCCCTACTCATCTGGCTGATAAGTTGGAGATGGCCTGCTTTCTGGGGAGCTTGAGGCGCTTGACGCCTTTCTCCGTTTCTTGCGCCGAGGTATGGTTGAGGAAGAGGACGATGAGGACGAAGAACTGGAAATCTCTTCCCGCTCAAACCGCGCGTAGGATGGAGACCGTCGCGCCTTCCTTGGAAACCGAGACCGAGACAGCACACGAGTCGTCTGACCATCTTCCAACCCTATTCTAACCATTTTTTACCGCAATCCTCTCGAGGCCGAACTGTGGGGTGACCTGTGGAGAAGGTTTGTTTCACCATGGTTTCGCCAAGCATCTGCAAAGGTCGGTTGAACTCTTCAGGATACATCCACCGTGCTGGACTAAGACTCGGTGACCCCTGCCGTTCGATGTTTGCCTCTGGGGGTAAGTAGACGCCACCAGCGCGGCTACGCCATGCACCCCTGCGAGTTGGCCACATTGCGCCGTTGGTGCCTCAGATTATCTCAGATTGCTAAACAGCCAAACTATCAGAGCTGTCAGAGTTGCAGTTGACAGAGACAAGAAAACTCTGCAGAAGTCTAGTGACTAGTGTCTTCGACCTACCCTCGCCAACAAGGTGGAAGTTAGAAGATGTTAGAAGCTAGCATGAGATGACTTTCTTTCCATGGGATCATGTCATGTCTTCCCTCGGCAAGATTCGTAAACGGCAGGGTGACGGAGAGCGTCGCAGGTAGCCCAAATGGTCCCAATCGGGCTCGTCCAAAGCTATCTAGGCAGGGACCAAGGATGGCAAGGGCTCACAAATGGATGCCGAGAAATTCAACAATCATCACATCCAAAATGATTAAAGTATCCTAAAGGTCCTAAATTCAGTTTCCGAGCAGTTCAGTATGGAGCCCTGCAGCTAGGTAAAAGATGGTAAAAGTTCACGGCATTCATTTCAGAAACACTGCCATGAGAATCCAATCAAAGTTGTTCATACTTTTTTGGGATCTGTTTGGATCCGTTTGAACCTGGGAAATCTGATGCTCTTCATCCAGCCGCAGCTTCCGCAGCAAGGCATAGGCTCTCATGTCGTAGGCGGCGTTCAGAGGATTCAGCGGGTCATTCGGCACCGGCTGCGGCGGCTGCGGCGGCTGTGTGCCTTCGCCGTCGCCCGGCACCGTCGCGCCTTCAGCGCCAGCCTCGGCGGCTTCGGCGGTTTCGCCTGCCGCTGCCTTTGACCCTTTCTTGGCCTCTTTCTTCAACCTGCAAGGCGCTGCAAGGCGCTGCAAGGCGCTGCAAGGACAAGAATTCACAATTTTCTGAGCTGGCCACTTGCAATCATGATGCAATCATGTAGAATTCCTTCTGAGTTACTCAGCGCAAAGCAAAAAATGACGGAAAAATATATGAAAAACATGTCGGCTGAGATGGAAAGTGTGGCCAAACATTTGTGACAACCTTAGTTGCCCCAATAGGACGTCGCTGCATGTCGCTGCGTCCCTCTATCCTGGCCTCTCGAGCTCATCGAGCTCCTTCACGAGCTGCTCCAGCGTGCGCAACGGTCGTGGACCGTCGGATGTTGGATCCGCCGCTGCATCTGTCCTGTCGTTCACGTCAATCACCGTGGCCATTGCAGCCTTTGCAGCTGCGTATTCTCGGCTTTGGGCCTCTGCAGCCTGGTCAACACAAACGAATCGTTTGAGGATGGCGAAGCATCTGAAGAAACCGGTGTGCTTCTGACAAACCCACATCATGCATCATCATGCACGGTTCATATTGTGTGCCCGTGAACTCGAATTCAAAAGACTAATTACGTGCAGTAGTGACTAAAGCCAAACAGTGATTGTTAAAGCATGTTAAAGCGGCTGAAAGGCAAACTGTAAAGATGCTAAAGGCATTTAAAGGCCTCAATGAGTTGGCCGATTGCATCTTGCCAGCCATCTGCTGCCGCGATTTCCTGTCTCAATCGCTCGTGCTCTTCCCGTTTCAACTGCCTTTGCTCTCGGCGCATCTGCCTGGCCATTTTTCGCTGCATCTTCATTTCCTCGGCCGAAAGACTTACATGGACTACTTGTACACTACATTCGCATGACTTCACATGACTGCACCCAACGTCTACCTGATCGCGTTCATGCTCTGTGAATTGTACGCAAGAGAAAACGGACGTGATGGAATGTGGAAGAAGGTCCGCAGAAACAGATCTAAATTTGAAGAGCCTTGCAGAACACTGAAAAAGAAAAGTGTGCAAAGTCCTGCAAATCACAGAGCCAGGCATCCAAAGCTTTGGCCTCAAGGCTTCCAGGCTCAGGAGCAGAGGTTTGTCTGTTTCTTGCATCTTTGTTGCTTCGGGAGTCTCCAGCTTCTGGCTCCTCAGGATCTTTTTCTCCGGTTCTTTCCCTTCTTTCCTTTTCCTCTCGCCTTTCCTTCTCCTTTCTTTCTCTCCTTTCTCTTCTTTCTCTCTTTCTCTCCTTCTTTTCTTTCTTATCCTTCTTGTACAACTTCACTTTCTCATCTTTCTCTTCGGGCTTGTCTATGCCCCTTACCTCAGCGACAATGGGATCTATCTGGTTCTCCATGAGAGGCGGTGATTTTTCTTCAGCCACTTTGGCGATGCTTGGGCGAGTCTTCTCTGCACCTTTCTCCTGGCGCTCCGTGCGCTCCGTGCGCTCATTTCCATCTTTCGACCCTCCCACGGGTTCTATACTTTTTCCTTCTCCTTTACCTTCAAATCTCTCAGATCTCTCCTCTTTTTTGTGTTTTCGTTCCTTCTTCTGCTTTCGTTCTTCTCTGCGTTCCTTCTTTTCTCTTTCCCGCTGCTTTCTTTCAGCAAGCTCCGTCAGAAACTCTTCGTCCAGGTCAAGGGACGCCGATGCCGGCTTCACTTCAGCAGAGGGTTTACGAGATGTTGCTACGATGCCTTTCGATCTCGTTCCTCGTAGGTCACCATTGGTCCTGGCAACATGGACAAACGAGGCAAGTAAAAGGAGTAAAAAGGGGCACCAAAAATCAAAACAAATTTCGCAGGAACATTTATTACATAGTGTTACATAGAACTTTTGACACCCGGAGCCATTTTCCCGTCCCATCTAGTGACTCTAGTCTTCTGCTCATCAGCTGCTTAGGCAATCTGCAGTTTCTCCTCCTGGAGATCTGGATTTGAACTTCTGGTAGCTTCCTGGCCCATTGTGCCGCCTCCAGCTCAGCCTGGCTGGACTCAGGTCGCTTGAACCGCACTGGACCCCAGGGGCCAAGACTGAAAATCACTTCGGTGGAGAGATGGAATCATGTTTAACATTGTCCAACCATATTTGGCGAGGTGTTCATGTTTAACCATGTTTAGTCACCTCTAGTTGGCAGCAGTTGGATCAAGTGGATGACAGCACTGCGTGCCTCAGTGAAGCCAACGCTGCTGCCTGCACGGGCTGCACGACGTGCTTGACAGCGTGCCTGAGCGATCTCCTCATGGCGCTTGATGAATTTCGACATTGCATGGCGCCCAATGCATCCGACGCAGTTCCAGCTTGACTTCTCAACTTGTTAAGTCATGTTAGATCTATGCTGTCCGTATCACTCTGCATCTTTTCATGCTGCAATCTTGTAGCTTTGTTCTGCTTTGTTGCTGTCAAAGAGAGTTGGTTGTCATGTGCGATGATGGTTCAAATTGCTCTAGGCGCAGGTGATTCTGAAGCAAGCAAAGCATTTTGGTTTCCAAATGATGGGGCTGCATGCTTACCATGTTGGTCCATTTTGTACCTGCATTGAGCTCCTGAAGTTTACCTGTTTTGACCTGCAGTTGAAGGCCAAATGGCAACACCAATGCAAGCAAGAGTCTGTTCCTCCAGGACCCCGTTCGCCCGATTGTTCTCTGCATAACATGTAACATGCGTGACTGACATGCTCAGGACGGTGGGGCCAAGAATGACCTCGAGCAAAGCTAGGCTGCCACACTTCTGCATTGCCAGGTGTACGGCTTCTTGGCTCTTCCTCAGCACCGTAGAAGCACCAATCGAACACTGCCAGGTATTTGATGCCGGAAGCCACAAGAATAAAATCATGCGGAAACACCATGAATCCGGTGCAACACCCGAGGCTGCGGCTTCTTCAGGCGCTCCTTCCGAACTGCCTGGGTCTTTAAGATTGGAGAAAGAGGACACAAGAGTTCAGTTACCTCATGTAACCTCCAACATTTAGATGCTGGGTTGCCAAACATCAACCTCTTCTCTCCAGAGTTTGAAGAAGCTGCCCAGAAGCCCCACCTCAATGTACCACAGGTGGTTCGGAAAGGGACAAAAATCAAGAGCACAAAAATCTGCCATATCCAAAAAGACTTCAAAGCCAAAAACAGAAATGCGCTCCGTGGAAATGGTGTTCTTCTTTCTGATGCGTACAGTTCATGAGAGGTCAGCCTATTCTGACACCCTGAGTCGAACACGCCAGTCTTGGATTCCCATGCCAATAAGAAGCGTTTGATTGAAACGTCCTGCACTCCAAACATGTCCAGGGTTTTAGTTTGCAAAGGATGCAAAGGCACATAGGTTGAAAATATATCATGCGAGACCGAAGAGACCTGATATAGCACACTTGCAATCGGGATCTTGTTCATTAGGCACATGCACACAATACAGACAATACAGAGAGAGAGAGAGAGGGAGGGACGAATGTAATCGATGTAATCGATGTAATCGATTTGTGTGTGCACGTGTGCCTTTGGGCAAAAGGATGATCCCTCCAAGGTCACGATAGGTCACGGTCCTGCTGCTTGCGCTTCGCAGCAAGCCGGTGCCACCTCCACAAGATCCACAAGCAGAACGACATCATGAGAATCATGAGATTTGAATGGGAAAACATGGGAAAACAAAGCACATTTGACATGGCTGAAGTGAATCAAAGGCCAAGTCTGAGGGTCTGGCTGGTCCAAGCATTCATGGAGGAGCCCGCTCACGTTGCCCCGTTCCCACCTTGGGAGTTTGAGGCACACATTGTGCTCGTGACTTCGCAAGAAAGGAAACCACTGGAACACTGATTGCAAAAAATGTCAAAAATCAAATCAAATCAAATTAAGTCAAATTACTTAAAAACAACTCCGGATTTTTGGATGCGAAAAACAGGCAAGTTCGTTCTAAGACTGGCCTGCAACCTATTTCCCAAGGGCCCCTGCTTTTGCAGCGCCAGTTCGACGGCTTCACGGCTTTGCCTCGTTTGACACAACAGCTATGGGGCGTGGCATGGCGTGGCGCTTTCAGCTAATATCTTTCCGCGCTTGGGTCGTGACTTCTTTCTGCGCTCGTTGGAGTTGGCCTGGAAGCACAATCCCAAGCGTACCAAGCGTCGAATCTCCAATGCTTTCACCAAGCTCTCAGCTCTTTCTCCTGTGGTTTGAAGGTTCGAGAGCTTGGGCCCCGTGCCGCGGCAGTTTGGCGCCAGACTGCCAAGAAAGTGGCGCGAAGGGCTACCTCAGCAAGAAGCTTGCGTGCCCTCAGAGACTGAAGAACCATTTCTAAAAAATCGTCAAGCTATGACAAGCCTATTTGGACGGAAAGGCTGTCTGGATCTTCTTGAATATTCTGATGTTCTGATGTTCTGATGTTCTGATCTCCGTTATTGATACGATCATATACGATCCCAACATCCAAGAATGAGCACTGCCACAGCAAGCGAGTCTTGAGCTCTTGAGCCCCGGACTCCGGCCTTGCTCTCCCACGCTATCAGGCATCGATCCAGCAACTTGGCCTCAAGGACCCAAAGGACCGAAAGGATTCCAAAGGGACATGCTTCGCCCAGGGCTGCCAGTACCAGGAACCGTCAGATGAAGCACAGGAAGTCTTGAAATGTCTTGAATAAGGCATCTGTGAGTCATGATGCACTCCAGCAAAACGTCGAGCCTTCTGACGACCTTTGGTGCTGGAATGATGCCACCTTAAAAGACGGCTCCCAAATCACGACACTTCATGAAAACAAGTATAGAAAACAGATGATAACGGATGAAAACGATAAAAAAATAGCGAGAACATGCGAGAACACGTCATTTTGAAAGTGGCAACATCAGCGATTGTCTCCAACCTCTTGAGTGGTCAAGGCAGATTCTTCTCGAGGGCGGTGCTGGATCACAATCTCATGGAGAAGGCCTTGAACATTGCCTCGCTCCCACCTCAAGACGCATGGTGTCTTTCAAAGAAGCTATGGCTTTCGATGATTCCAATTGATTTTCGTTAAAAGTCACCGCTTGGACTTCAAATGATTCTTCTCTCCCTCTCTCTCTCTCTCTCTATCTCTCTCTCTCTCTCTCGCTTCAGGTCTTTGCACGTCCATGCCATCCTTCCATGAATGTTGCATGGGCTTGAGGCACCATGCTTCTGCAATGCGAGCTGAACAGCTTCTCGACCACGCCTCCCGGCGTTGACATTTGATCATGGTATGCACACGGTTGACATTTGGATTCATGTGGCATGTCAGGATGCGATTTCGTCATGTTGTCCTCCATTTGGCCAATGCCGCGCAATCCCCCGATCATGACATGCCAAGACTGAAGTCACATGGACTCAAAATAGTATTTGCGGCCCCGACTGCTTCGCATGTCTCTTCGATGATTCCTGGTGTCTGAAGCAGCATTTCCAAAGAAGCCAAGCACATGCTACATCTCAAGTGGTTGTCCACCTTGAGCACTTTCTCGTTGTGTACACTGGCCAGACATGACCGGGCTATGTGGAGCAGGGGAAACACGGCCAACGCACTATCGCTTGGGCCCCGTGCCGCGGCAGTTTGGCGCCAGACTGCCAAGAAAGTGGCGCGAAGGGCTACCTCAGCAAGAAGCTTGCGTGCCCTCAGAGACTGAAGAACCATTTTAAAAAAAATCGTCAAGCTATGACAAGCCTATTTGGACGGAAAGGCTGTCTGGATCTTCTTGAATATTCTGATGTTCTGATGTTCTGATGTTCTGATCTACGTTATGGATGATACGATCATATACGATCCCAACATCCAAGAATGAGCACTGCCACAGCAAGCGAGTCTTGAGCTCTTGAGCCCCGGACTCCGGCCTTGCTCTCCCACGCTATCAGGCATCGATCCAGCAACTTGGCCTCAAGGACCCAAAGGACCGAAAGGATTCCAAAGGGACATGCTTCGCCCAGGGCTGCCAGTACCAGGAACCCATTGGAAATGATCAATGATAGATATGATAGGAAAACAAATCAAGAAAAAAAGGCACCAAGAATATGGCGTGGTATTGAGACATGGCCAGAGCTGGAAGAATCAAAATGACCCAACATAGGCTCTATGAAATCTTCCAACTGGTTCAGCACTAAAGTTTCCCGCCTTTTGACGGCCCTTGGCGCTGGCATGATGCCACCTCAGAAAACAGAACACATGGGACACATTGTGACAGAGCGCCGTCGAAGATTTCTGGGGCATCCTTCCACCAATCAAGTCCATGGAGTCCATCGCTCAATCCAAGAGCTCTGCGTGCGGACAATTTCCTGCAGGAGGCCTTCAACATTGCCTCGTTCCCACCTCAAGGTGCTCCAGCCACTTTTGTGACTTTCTCCATCTTTTTCTTACAACATGTTCCAAAACATCGCGGCCTCCACTTTCTACATGCACTTTTCGGAGGTGGTGCTGGGATGCCGACTTGGCCAACGCCACCTGCACAGCTTCTCTTCCCCGCCTAGGCCGAAACATGATCCCCACGCTGTGACGTTAACTGGAGATCTTTGCGTCCGAGTTCAGCCGAAACGAAGGCTTCAGAGACAATTCACGCTCAAATTCCTTCTGGAAACAGACTGACAATCCATGAGGGCAAAGATCCGAATTGGATCGAATTGGTATGTAATGTCAATACTAATAATTCGGCACATGACACCTCGTCAATTTTCCTTCCGGCATACTCCGGTATACTTACAGTAATACTTACAGTAGTATTAGTATACCCTCTGGTAAACTAACATAACTATGGAAAATCACCATTTTCAATGGGTAAATCCACTATAAATGGTCAATTTCAATAGCTATGTAACAAATTACCAGAGGGTACTTCAATGTTCCCTGTCGGGCCATCCGCGCTGGGCTATCGCACTCCTTGGCTTGCTGGCGGGCATTCGCCTCGTGGCGCCGCTAATCTGAATCGCAGAACATGTCCAAAGGGGCTCCGAGCAATGCGGAAATTTATGGAAATTTGGTCAAATTTGGTCAAATTTATGGAAATTTTTGGTCAAGTCATGTCAAATCTAGGTCTAAAACCTGAAACCTAGGGTCACTTTTGAGCATTCAAACTTCAAGGCAGCACTTTGGATGAGTCTGCTTGAGGCAGAACAAATGCATTGCATGTCCTGGCTATATGAAGCCAAAACCGGTATGCAGTTTCGACCCAGCCAGTTTCTCACAAAAGAGGCCAGAAAGATAAATGCCTGTCTCTTGGATACATCATGATACATCATGATACCAATCCATAGGACACCAGTGAAACGTCCCTGGCAGAGGTCCCAAGGATCAAAAAACTGCCCATGTAAAAGGAAACCTATTGTGGCTGAATTCCTTCGACATTCTGTTGCCATCGCCTAGGCATCCTATGACCTATGTTTTTGTGACCATTTCCCATTTCAACTCCAATGGAAGCTGTCTCTGCCATGCACCTGTGCCAGTCGGCGCCACGCAGCATGGCAGGTATGAAGCAGTCCAACCTGATTTGGCACACAGCTGATTCTCGTGGATGCAGTGACTACAGTGAGGGAAGCTAAGGGACAAGCTAAGAAGTACCGGTGTAAATTGTAAAATGCTTAAGGCAGTTCATTTCATGCTTTTGTCTTTTGTAGATGTTTCAGGTGGTTGATTGGAAGGAGGATTCGGAAAATGCCAAGCCACTCGTCTATAATTACAGCATTTACTCACTTACCTCATCGACAATAAAACAGGCCGTGCATTGTTCCATGTACAGACCCGACATTGTTGTTTCAACCATGAAAAATGGACCGTCTTTCACTTGAGGCCAAATCCTCTACAACACACAGACAGAACGTGTCATGACACGTCATATGTTGATCTGCTTTAGAAACTCTGGATCCTTTTAGGGCAGCAATCACATGCAATCATAAATCACGACCGTAGCTGTTGAAGCTTCCCAAATTCCTCCAACTTCTTGCAAGCGTGTGCTAAGCTACTAAGACTGGGCCGACGAGCTTCAGCTTCCATCTCCCAGGATACTAAGAAGTTGCTCATCATGGCAGCCTGAAATATCTGAAATTCACAAGTTTTCCGCAGTGGGCAACGATGGCAACGCTAAACTCAGGTCATCTCAGGTCTCAGTCGTTGGCTTTACGGCCCCGGACCACGGCCAACTTATGCCACCTGAGCGTTTTACAAATCGCTCGGTCAGCGAAGTGCTCTGCGCGAATCTCAGCTGCGGGCTCAGTGATGGCTTCGTGCAACAGGCCTTTCTGGTCACCACGCTCCCACCTTGCTGCGCTTGTTTCATTTCATTGCTAAGTTTGGCTCATACCCGTCTTTCAGAAAAAACCAGCAGCATTGCACAAACGCCATGCCAAAATATCCAAAATATCCCCTGCCGTCCCATGTGCGACTTAAGTTCTTGAAATCTTTGATGACATTCGACTGGATGACTGCGAGCTGTGGTGAGTTCTGAGGTTTTTTCTTTTCCAAAGCAAGCTTCACGGCCTCCTTTCCATGCCTCACGGAAATGGTGGTAGACATGGAACTTGCATCGAAAGTCTTTGGCACGTGGCATCGTGTTGAGCTGTTGCTGGACTGAAGAGGCGCCAACTCACGATTCCGGTGGATTGAAATGGCCTAAGCACGTACAAACTCATCAAACTCCAAGCACTTCTTAGTTTGGAGAATTGTAGGTAATTCCAACCACTTGCACTAAAGTCACTAAAGTTTGTGGGTCAAACACTCTCCCGACGAGAAGTCACAGTAAGAGATAGCCTCATTGATCCATGATCCAATCGTCCACCAAAATCTCCCCACACCAAACAATTGAGCCAATGACATCGACTAAGCGTTTCCATGCAGCCGTGCACGTTTTGAGGATGCCAACCTTAAATCCCAAGGTCTTGGTCATTCAAAGGTGTACAGAACTTGTACAGAATCGAAAGGACGAAAAGCGCTTTGTTCGCTCTTGACCCTCTGGGCATCTCTGGGGTAACGGCTCCAGTCTCCTCCTCCCACGCAACAAGGCTCTTCTTCACCAGATCTACCTGAAAGGATTGCCAGCTGCCAGTGCTGATGAGTGCTGCCTATGGCCCAGGAAACCTCCTCGTGAGTTCATGAAGACTAAACAACTGAACATGTTATCGATCTATCTATCTATCTATCTATCTCTATCTATCTATCTATCTATCTATCTATCTATCTTATGTTATCTTATCTTATCTATAAAACTATCTATCTATCTATCTATCTACCTATCTATCTATCTATCTATCTACCTATCTATCTTATCTTATCTTATCTATATACCTATCTATCTATCTATCTACCTATCTATCTATCTTATCTTATCTTATCTTATCTATATACCTATCTATATTATATGTATATTGAAGACCCATGACACCTACTCTTGGCAAGGACAAAAGCAAGACTGAAAGCAGCTGCAGGCTTTGCAGATGTTTTGCCCGTCTCAGGCCAAGCAAACCTCTCTGGGCTCTCTGAATCCATCTTCAATATAAATGATACTGTGCAAGTTGATTTTCAAACCCTGTTTTTGAGTTAATTGTCTTCAATGCAGCAAAACGGAAACTGTCACATAAGCATATGCAAAATGCCTTGCCTAGCCTAAGCCAATCAGAAAGGTACTCAGGATAGCACTTTTTGCCGTCGTTCCACTGAGGCTTTATACCACCTTGTGTTGAAGTGAAGCTCAAGAGTGTCCAAGACGAATTCTCAGGACTGCAAACTCCGCGCCCCCGTGGCAAAGCACTATCCGGCTATCCCATCATTCTATAATCATCTGAATCATCTGTAATCCATGCTTAGTCCAGTGAAATCAGCCAGGATTGCCCCCAATTTGCAGCAATTTGCTACAGGATCCCCATGGGATTCCATCGATTTCCATTGAACTCCGGTGCCAGGCGGCTCTCGCACCACTTCGCGGACAAGCCCTCGCAAGTTTCCCAGCAGGAACCTCAACGCTTTGGCAGCTGGCTAAGCGGCTATGCATATTGCATTTTCAAGTCTAAGAGTCTTAGCTGACTCTAAGATAGTCTAAGAATTTCTTAGATTTGTCTTGGTACATCTTGGTGCTCAATTGCTTTTCAGCTGCTTTCCAGGTCTTTCTAGTCTCTACCCAGATTTGGCATTTTTTGAGCAGTAGACTTCTCCACGGCCAGCTTCACATTTTCCTTCCCGTGCCTCGGGATTACTTCGTTGCCACATGGACGCCCCATGTTCAGACTGAGGCATCCTATGCATCCTGTGGACCATGGACCTGAGCTTATCACTCCATCAAGCGCTTTCGCGCTGAAGCCTCGAAGCACCATTGAGAAGACAAAAGGGTCATATGATGTCAAATGATGTCAAATGTACATGTTTTGTGCCATGAACTCCATACCACAATCATAATATGTCAAGCGCTGTTGGCCCATCCCGTATCACTCTAAGACTGCGTCGTCTGCTACCTTCTTCCACGCCACATAGCAAGTGTGTGCAATGCCCACCTGCCATCACTTCAAAGGTTGTAGAAGGATGCCATCCATGGTAGAGTTCGCATCAATGAGGCTCTTTAATTCAACTCCACGACACGATGAAACTCGATGACTTCAGTTTGTTGCAGTTTTTGTCCGCTTTGTCTTCTCAGTGACCAGTTTGATCCACCCCTGTCCAGTGCCTTAGCTTGCTCTTCCCATTTCACCAAGTAGTTGCTCATCAGCCAAGCCTCAGGAGTTAGATTTGAAGTCAAACCGAGATGAATCAAAATGGCACATGGTGGATTCATCACAAGCTTCGGCAGCAAAACACTGCATGGTGTAAACGCCAATGAGTCGTGGACATGGCGGTTACGCTTCACAAAACGCTTGTGCCACCTTAGCCAAGGCAGAAGAGTTGACTCATGACTCGGCTCACTTTTTTGTTTCACAACGTAAGTTGACTGCAGAATCATGCAGAATTCAAATGGAAATCAAGGATTCCACGGCTATCTTGAATCCATATGAACCCATATGAATCCACATGAATTCCATTGAATATCTCTCAGTTCTCAAGGATTCCAAGGATTCCAAGATCAAGACAACCGCAATATCTCGTGTAAAAGGCCTTGGGTCGCACCACGAGTCCACCTCAGAAACGGCAAAAATGAAGTCTCGAAATCTCCAACTTGAACACTGCGATATCGCAATAAAATGATTATTATAATGATTCATATAATGATAAATATAATGATTTATGTAATGGCTGATATAATTTTGAATTTATTGACTAATATGATAAATAACATGATTCATAGAATGATGAATATTTTTTAATGATTCTTTTACTGACTTATATAATGACTAATATAATGATTAATATACTGATTAATATCATGATTCATATAATGATAAATATAATGATTTATCTAATGAGTCATTTAATGACTTATATAATGACTAATATAATGATTACTATAATGATTAATGTGATGATTAATAAAATGATTAATTTCATGATTAAAATAGTTGTGATTTTGATGATTGATGTAATGATTAAATTAATGGTTTATATAATGATTTATATAATGATTAATTTAATGAATATATAAATGAAAACAACGCGTAATGTAATGATTAATTTTATGATTAATATAATGTTGAATATATAGTGATTAATGAAATGATTAAAATCATGACTATTATAATGATGAACATAATAATTTATATTATGATTAATTTAATGACTTAAATAATGACTAATATCATGATAATATTTATATAATAATTAATTGAATGATTAATGAAATGATTAATATGATGATTAATATAATATAATGATGATTTCAATGATTGATATAATGATTAATTTCATGGTTATTATCATGACTATTTTAATGATTAATGTAACAATAAATAAAATGGCTAACATAATGACTAATATAATGATTATATATGTATGTTTCATGATTAATAACATGATTAATATAATGATTAATTTAATGACAAATACAATGACTAGTATAATGAATATTAAAATGATTAGTACAATGACTAATATAATGACTAATATGATCCATATCATGATGAATAAAATGATGAATACCATGACTAGTAAAAAGATTAATTCAATGACTAGTATAATGAATAATATAATGATTAATCTGAATGACTAATATAATGGTTAATAAAATGACTAATATAATGATTTTTAATATGACTAAAATAATGATTATACATATGATGATTCATTTAATGGTTAATTTAATGGGTAGTATAATTTTCTGTACAATGACTTAAATAATGATTCATTCCATGATAAATATAATGATTCATTTCATGATTCATTTAATGACTAATAAAATGATAAATATAATGATTTATGTAATGGATTTATTGACTAATATAACGATTAATATCATGATTAATGAATGATAAATAGAATGATATAATTGGTTCATAGAATGATAACTATAGTGATTAAGTTGAATGATTCTTTAAATGGTTTATAAAGTGACTATTATAATGTTTTTACATACATTTAATGCTTAATATAATGATTAATATCATGAGTCCTATCATGATATATATCATGATTAATCTAATGATTCATTTCATGACTTATATAATGAATATTACAATGATTAATATTATGATTAATGTAATGACTGATATAATTCTGAATTTAGTGACTAATATAACAAAATCAGGACTTTCACAACCTCGCCCCCCATGACTACCCGCTCTCTAAAAATATATACAGTAATTATATAAATGTATAATTATATAGTAAGTATATGTATAATATATATAATTATACATATATACATAGTTACATATAAAGATAGCTATATACTAGAAAAAACAATTTGCACAAACATCAGGCCTTTTTTTCCAGAAAGAAAGCAGATACGCTATCAAATACATTCATGTAAGGACCTGCTTCCGCTTCGCCAAGGTCCAAAGGTCCCAACTTCTCCAGAGCAAGCTGCACCGCTTCGCGGCGTTGCCTTGGTCATGCGATCACTTGTTTCATCATTGTATACATAGGTAGATAGATAGATAGATAGGATAGGATAGGATAGGATAAGATTAGATTTAGATTAGATTAGATTAGATATGATTAGATTAGATTAGATAGATAGATAGATAGGTAGGTAGGTAGATAGATAGATAGATAGATAAGATACGATAAGATAAGATTAGATTAGATTAGATTAAGATAAGATAAGATAAGATAAGATTAGATAGATAGATAGATAGATAGATAAATAGATAGGTAGGTAGATAGATAGACAGGTAGATAAGATACGATAAGATAAGATAAGATTAGATTAGATTGGATTAAGGTAAGATAAGATAGATAGATAGATAGATAGATCTATATAGATATAGATATTTATATATTATATATATATATATATACAGTATATCATTTCGATCATTTGTCTCCAGCGCCTTTTTTTGTTTCAGCCAAGCCCACATCAAGCCCTTTCTCAGTCTTTCTCACAGCAAAATCCGGCACTGGGCTGTCGGCTCCTTGCGATGTTTCCTGGCCTGATCCTTGGCCACGCCACTCCATGCATCCATGTAGGAGCTCAGGAGTCCGGCCTCGGAAGTACCACCCACCCCTGACATGGTCCAAGTATGTCACAGTTACAATGTCAGACAGGCTGTAATAGACTTGGCACAAAAATGACAGTGAAACTATGTGAAACTGGTAGAAAAGACTGCCAAAGAAGAACTGATAACACAGATTACAGAATCCAAATGCCTGTGGCAGAGTCTCCTATGAAACTACACTCAATCAGTAGCACGTTTTTGGATCTTTCCGCATTTCTGCCATGCTTTGACAGGAATTTGAGTTGAAACAATTGGGAGATACAACTATGCCACTATGCAACAGCGAACTTTGAATGGCATTGGCATTGGCTAGGCCGCTGTTTCTTTGTGCTGTACAGAATCACCTGAAGAGCCATGTGATCGTGTTGATGGTGCTGCTCACAATCCCTTCCGGCTCCAAGGGCTCATGACGAATCACTGCAGGTGTATCTGCAGCTTCCTGCAGGACATTTCTGAATATCTTCGAGTGCCAAGCTGCAGCATACGTGACACGTCTCCAATGGTCCACAAACCCTCAACATGTATCAATCTCATTCAACCTCTACAGGCTCTGTAAACTGTGTGAATGTGGTGTGAATGTTTCGGTTGCTGTACGGCGTGGACAGCGTGGACGTCCTCTACTTTCAGCACCACGGAACTGAAGCTCACACGCTGGCGCTTTTCCTCTGGTGCAGCGGCCTGCGCCTCAAACTCCGTACCTAGGAGCCAGGGGAGTTTCACAGAATATATACTAAGCATATAAATACTGTAGATATACAGTAGAATTTCAATCGAATATAAGTTATAAAAGTTTGAGAATGTAAAATAAAAATAATAAAATATACATAATAATATATGATAATATATATATATATAATAAGATATAAGTTTGCAACCTGGAAGCCGCTGGAACCCTGAAAGCAACGCATCCTGTGTCCAACAAACGTTCCTTGCGATATGCTATGAGCATCCGAGCGTCCAAAGATTGCGCCGTCCACCTGCGAGTTGGTGAAAGGATCTGACTAAAGTGCTTTAAAAGTTCATTGCAAGAGAGACTTGGAAGAACTTGGTCGTCCAAAGTTCCATGGCTTCAAACTTGGCTTCTGATGTGATGTGATTGATACTGTTGCCAGCCGTCTACACATTCCTCTCCCAGAACCTTACATATCTTACATTCATTGCCTAACCTACATTGTTCCGACAGTGTTCTCAGGGTCTCCCGCCTTCTTGGACAGAAAGGTCTTGGAAGTGAAGGGTTGTCTCTGGTTCCCGCCCAAGGTCCATTCGAGCCTCGGGCTTGGAGCTCTGGAAGGCACAGCAAAGCTGCACACTGCACAGCTAATGGATCAAATTCATTGCAGCACGGTAACTTCTCGTAGTCAAACAGGGACTGGGCAATCTTTCTCCATTGGGATACAGATGTCACCAAGGTCACATTACTCCGGCCCTTGGAAAACAGAGAGCTTGTGGCATCGCTAGCACAACTTGATCACAATATCTGGCGTATACGCATCGAATATGCATATATATATGTGTGTGTGTGCATATATATATATATATGTGTGTGTGTGTGCACATTTATCTATGTATGTATATATATATATATTGTTTTGTATGTTACAATGCAGCATGTCACGTATCTAGTCAAAACAGCTCAAGCACGAGTGACCTGAGGCTGTGACCTTTGGGGCTATCGGGAATGTGAGGCATGAAGAGCATCGCATCTTCTGCCAAGCATGGTAGAAAAAGCAGAGTCGTGCAGGCGGACGATACAGGAAGATGTCCCCAAAAACATCTGGATAGTGCTCCTGCGGGACAGACTGCAAAATGACTAGAGTGCTATTTCAGTCCTCAAAGTATTGCAACTCTGCATTGTTTTCACATGCCAAAGAAAACGGTCAAACGCACTCACTTCCCAAGCAAAGCCGCGCTGCATGATGCTGCATGTGCTTTTACCCCTAAGCATCCTTGAACCAGAATAGCTGGTGAAAAGATCGCCCAGCCTTAAACCCCCTTTCAAACTTTATGCTTTACTTCCAAAATCTGTCTGAACTCTTTGCACTTGCCTTGCACTTGGTTTACACAGTTTACATCAGTTTACACCTCTATGATCCTTTAACATGTTATACCTTTGAAATCCTTTGAACCTTTGTACCTTTACATCAGATCCGTGGCGTTCCCATCAGCCCTCCTGGAAAATACGCATTGCTTCCAGCAGTGTCCGCAATGGCGGCCTGCGACATTGATGACATGGCACCATCGAGGTCTAAACTCTCGAGATCTCTCGAGGCATGGCTCGGCCAATCAGATCCCCTTCCAGATCCCCTTCCGCATCTTTCACGAACAGCTTGTATCAAGATTGCAGCATCAAATGATCCATGTTGATCCATTTTGCGGATGCTTTCGCACAGGGGCCATGCCTGTGTGATGGTGAATATCCTTAGATTTCAAGTGCAGAGACAGAACTGATCCTCTTGCATTGGACTCACTGTCATCAACCTCCACGTGCGACTCTTCAGTCTTTTAAGCAGTTGAAGCCCTGCTGCTCCTACTTCACTGTTAATGATCTGTTAGTGTTACTATTTTGCTGCCGCTTTTGGCCCACTCTCTCGGTTCATAGCCAGGCACCATTGAAATCCACTAGCACCGTGGCGCAGTCAGCATCAGCAGTTCCATCAACTTCCTATGTGTTGTTGAGTGGCTCTAGTCCCTAGAAGGTGTTTCAACAGTTTCAACCTCTCTACATCTACTGATCTACAGGCAGAACACATAGCCAAGTTCTTTTGATGTCGCAGATCTGTTGGAGTGTTCATTGAGTTTTCCAGTCCATGTTGAGCGTTCGTCTAGTGTTTTGGCATGTTTTGGCACTAGCAAGGTGTACTCTCAAGCTGGCCTTCTCTTGTAGACTCTCCTCCTTTCGGCGCAGCACGGCTATGAGACGCTCCATCACATAGATGACCTCACAGTCACAGAATGTCACAGACTGTCACAGAGGGCCAAAGGAAAGGACGCAGAAAAGGTTGGGCCGGTTGGGCCAAGCCCGATACGGGCAGCAACAGATAGACTGACTCACAATCCTGCAGTGCATATGAGAGTTTGTGTGTGTGTGAATGTCTACGCGCGTCGGTGACTATGATATCTTGTGACAAGTTGCATAGTTGATCGTCTCTTGGAAATGTCCACTGTCCTCACAAAGAGAAACTTCAGATCACGGATCGAAGACATTGGATGGCCTTTCAGTTGAATTCCAAAACCAGGAGGTTTGATGAGGTTTTGCCAAGCTGCCTCGTGATGGAATTTTACATACACGATGGGACGGCCACGTTTGTCAAAGCCTGTGCGTCTCGGGCCAGCATGCCACAAAAGCAACCCATTGGCTGCAAATGGCAACAGCAAAGCATCGCGCGCTGAGGCAAAGTTTAGCCACATGTCATCTGAAGAAACGAAAAAATGAAGAAATACAATGAAATACAACTGTATTGTTTTTCGGCCGTCATGTGACATGCGAGTTTGCCGTTACATTTGTGATTGTTTGTGTTGATATTAATGTGGTCATTGGTTTGTGTGTGTGTGTGGGTGCCCGCGCGTCTACACTGTTTGCTTTGAAATTGAGTAAACCCAGCCTCTCAAATAGAAGCGCCCGAGGGCACACTCCCGCACAATGGGGGCGGAGCAACGTCCCATCTGGGTGTCGCCAAGTGGAGGGATATGCTCCTTGTGCAACGAGCTATGTGTGATATGAGTTTGGATTTTGAACGGACTTTGGGACATGGTCCGCAAACCGCATGCATTTTGGCGGCTGATGATAACCACGGGCAATTGAAAGAACCTATGTTAAGCAGCACCATCCCATTCCCCATCCGCAATCTCCTTGCGCCAACGAGCTGTGGCACACACTGCGGCTGCGGCCTGCATCAAAGCATGCATATAGTTTGTATATAGGAACCATGGGACGAGACCCGTGCAGGAAACACACAAGGACGCTGGCCATTGCTTGCAAGTATCAGACATTACCAAGACCTCTTTCAAAGGAATCAATAGCGTCCGATCATTGGGGCCACTAGTGGCAGTTGCCTTGTCGACATCCCATTCGTGTGCCCGGAGGTAGCGAAGCAGTGTGGAAGCTTCAATGAAATAGTCCATGCCTTCCTGCCAGCACAAACAAAACGGACTGGCAAATCGACATCCGCATCGCCTTCCCATATAATGTACAGATATCTATATATATGCATACATGTTGTTGATATTTTATCCTGCAACAGTCAGCCCACTTTTCATCTTCGAGGCTATGCATGGAGTTCCCCCACCTCCTCGCACAGTGACAACTGCTTGGCCAATTGCCGCAACCAGTGGCGTTTCTGCGATGGAAGGCGCAGCACTCGCCTCAATTCGTTCCATCTGGTCGAACCCATGTCAAATCCATGTCGAAGTCATGTCAGAATCCGTGTTGAACAGCAAATTTTGCCTTCTTGAAGAAAATAAACGAGCAGAACGGGCATATCAACCAGCAAAAGGGCTATATAGGCTATATAGGTTTCATTTTTCAAACTTTCTCCCAAGTCTCCAATGACGATAGACGTGCAGAAACTCCACATACTCAAAGCCATGGTCGGCTTGCAAAGCATTGAGCTCCTGCGGGCTTAGTCGCAACTGCTCCGAATATTCTAAGCCTCGGCGCGAACCAGTCAAAGCCTTGCGAAGTTCAGCATCATTTGTCCAATATTTGTTTCCTAGTGGTTTACCTTGCTGTTTTGCGAATCTGACATTTCTTTTTCGGTTTTTGCGAAATATATTTTAGAAAATGAAGCCAGAAAACATCAAAAACTCCCTCAAAAGCCACCAGCCCCAATTAAGGGGCAGGTATGAGCGTTTGCTATGTTCTATTTGGTTTTTTTTGCCCCTGTTTCTGCTTATCAATCCGTCTATTCTTGTCTGCCTTTCTATTGATTAATGTGCAATCAGGGATACAAAGTGCGTTTATAAATACAATGTGCAACATGTGTAGGTATAAATATATAAAGAACGTACGTAGGTTTAGGTAAACTTTGTGGGGCGTATTGGGTGTAGATAGATTTATAGGATGTTATCAAGGTTTTCCTAAAATTATATTGTTGGATTGGATCTTGCCTGTCTTAAAAAACACTATCATGTCATATCATTGTGTTTTCTCAGTTCCCATTGATGTTTTACTCGTTGTCGCCGCATACTGCCAAGAAACCACAGAAGCTACAAGAACAAGAAGCCAAAAACAACAAAAGAAAAAAAACAAGAAACTACGGAGCCGAGAAGAAGACACAATGCACAAAAGGCAGGATTCCAAAGCCACAAAAGCATACAAAAGCCACAAAGCCAGACTGGAAAACAAAAAACAAATCCCAAAAATTATCCCGGCAAAAGACCCCAAACAGGGTGGGGGAGTGGGACATGGACATCCGTTCCGTAGAACAGAGAGATGCTTTGATAATTTTGATAACCTGAACCGCCCCAAGCGTTTTGAATGCCAGATTCTGAACAGCTAGCCACCAAGGCGAACCACCTTGAAATCACAGCATGAATTTGATTTCTACAAAATATCGTCAAAGTTTGAACCAAGGTCATATCTCAATCCACTTGAGTGCAAACACGGCTTTTGTTGCTGCAGCTTAGGTGCCGAAAACACCCTCACCACTGTGTGTGTTTAAAAATATGTGAGAGCAAAAGGGCTCATCATCACCTCAGGCAAGAGCCAGCTGCGAAACTGCTGCAAACACTGCAATAGCACTCTTCTGTCGAGAAACTTGGAAAAAATGTTAACATGCACTGCCTAAAATCCTCGTAATCGCTCGGCAAGTGCTGCTTGTGTGTGTGAGAGTGAGTGTATGCAGGGCTTGGTTTCCGCTGGGTCACAGCCCCCGAAGGAGTTCTCTAGGGCAGACAGGTCAAAGTGCTGCTCCATAGTCTGGGATGTCTCCTCGGTTCCCTTCCCCAAAGCATCACCAGGTCATTTCCATGAACCTATCGCAAACCATAAGGAAACCATCGAACAAATGGTTTTTCTGCTTTGGGCCTTTAAACTTGCATGCCTCTTGTGGAACCGTTGCGTATCCCAAACAGAGCTCCGCTTCTGGGCGGGGTTCTGTTCAATTATTTGGTCCATTTGGTTTTCCCTGCTGGGTGGTGTAGCAAGATGTTTGTGTGGCAATGTGCCCTTCTGCGCAGTTTGAAGGCAATTCCAATGGCCGTTTGGAGCTGGCCATTAAGCATATTCTCAATCCAATCCGTCTATCTCCAAGCATCTTCAGACACAAAGTTGAACTTGGCCAGTGTCACCTCACCAAATTGAGACCGCAATTTGAAGAGCTTCTGGCATTTTCCAGAACGTTGGAGTAACCAAAGTCCAACCATTGCCCCTGAGTCACTCATGTTTGTGGGCTCACGGGGGCAAAACGCCAAGGCACAGGATCCAAAAAAGCGCTAGCTGCTGTGAAAAAACTGTGCAGAAGCCACGGCGTATTTACAAAGAAAGCGCTTCCAAGTCGTTCTGGATAATGATCCTGGTGACTTGACGTTGTGGCGGTTTCAAAAACTGCTTCCAAATGCTTTGAGAAATCATTTTCACGACCCAAACGCATCAAAGGAGGACCAGATAAAACACGAGTACCAAATACAGCGAAGCATGACCTATTAACAATCTATATGCTGTTAATCCCTATTCATCACTACTAATCACTGGTACCCACTATCAATTGCTTTTTAATTGCTGCACTCTTAATTCCTATCACTACTGTTCATCTATGTATCTATCTATCTATCTATCTATCTATCTATTCATGGTATAGGACGAGGTGATCCTGCATGACCACCATGAGGTCTCGGACGGTCAAGGGCACCAAACTGCCAAGTCCAACTCCCTGGAAGTCCACCAGCAGCACGAATTTTCGAGCGACCGGATCCTCTGGCGGAACCCTCAATTGCCCAAGCTTGGCCTGTTTCTCCACACATGCAATGGCCTGAGTGACTGAGACATGCACAGGGCACAGAGATTTTACAAACCTTGAGGGGCCCATGGTGGCCCATGGTGGCCCATGGTGGCCCATGGTGGCCCATGGTGGCCCATGGTGGCCCATGGTGGCCCATGGTGGCCCATGGCTAGTGAGATTCTAAAAATTTGCCGATGCATCGATGCATCAAAGGCACTCTCTCAACGCAATAGACTAAATATTTCACCGCCGCAGGCTCTGCATTGAAACCTTCTCTGCCAGGTTTCAGGTACAAAGCAGGCCGCCCCAGCTTGTCCTCAGATGAGCCCGATGTCCACATTGTGACATGGTAAGAAAATGTAAGAAATATGTGGCAAGCGTATGTTAATGAATTAATGAACCATAACCCTGCGAAACCCCAACGTAATCATAGATGTTGACATGAAAGTGGCTCTCGTTCAGGGTGGGGATGGGAAAATGCAACGTTGCGATAAAGTTGCGATAAAACGTTCAACAAACGCTTTGCGGATAACAACGTGCACACCGCGAGTACTCTTGCTGTTCAAGCATCGTAGCCTCGTACATAGATGTTTCCAAAGCTCGCCTCTTGAGCAATCTCGTCCATGCTTTCCGTGAAAATCTTGGAGAAGCCAAAGTCCTTGCATCACTGAACTGTTACTGCCTGTCACACAAAAATCAGATGAGAAACTCTCAGCCTACTGCTGAAGCAGCACAAATCAAAGCGCAAATCATTGAATCATAGCCATTGGTTGAGCTGCTCTGCGCCAGGTGCCGGTTTTTCTAATTAAAGCTTCCGCCAAATCCAGGTCCCAATTCCTCGGCAACCATCCGTGACCATCCATCTGATCATCGTTCCAAAGATGTGTCCAAGCATGTCAAGAAAAAATGAACACCGCCCGGCCTCGCACGAAGATACCGAACCAATGCCAAGGCGTCATCATAAAGACCTTCACCCTCCGCACCATCCGCACCATCGATCTTCGTCTTCCTCAAGCGCTCTGCCAGCTGCTCCACAGCAGCCTTCTGTGCTTCCTGCAAGGCATTCAGTACATTCAGTTACAGTGTGTTACACTTCCTCTCCCCACAACTATTTTCGAGATAACTTCACCGCAAACATCCAACAACCTTTGGCATGATCATCTAACACTATCTCAAACATACTCTTCACGAAGTGCAACCATCCAATTCTAGAGCTTTCTCTATATAATTGTGGCCTCATGACTTTTAAGTGAGTCCTTTAAGCCATCTAGCTGGCCGCCAGCGCCATTGGTTTCGAGCATCACTCAGGAGATTCTTGGAGCTGCTGGTAAAGGTATATAAATATTATAAATATAATTATAAATATTATAAATGTGCTAAATCAGGAAGCTGGGTGATGTGGAGCGTGTGATTCGCGCCACTTGGCTTCCTACATTCCGGAAATCTCTGCTGATTTGACGAGTCTTGTCCATTCAGCTTCAGTCATAACCACTGTGACTAGAAATGCTTTTTTGAAAATGACCGTGAAAACCTCGGTCAATACTCTTGAGCAAAATCCGAATCATCCTAAGATGTTGCGCCCGTGTTACTGACAGTACCCTGCATGCTTCCTTGGATGGTCAGAAAGCTTTTCATTGAATGTTGATTGAATATGTCCAAAGGTTGCCCCGGAATGTTCTTACCATCGACATCTGAACCTAACCTCTGAGGTGCGGGGCTTTCTGGCCTCGCTCCCACCTCATGCCACCAACAGCCAGTCCCCTCTGTCCAGTAGGTTGCGCATGACAATTACAATACATTTACAAATTTACTCTTGGCTCTGATTTTCTCATATCTTCTCTGACTGCGTATAGAGGGCAGGGCTTCTGACAGTCTTGACCGTGACTCCAACTTCAAGTGCAGCATAGAAAATGGTACTGCAAGGTTTGTCTCAAATACATCTGTCACGAGAAATTGGAGGCACTCCCAAGGCTGTGTCACACTCATCTGTGGCCCCCTGCTGTGCCACAAGCAGTGAGATCTGGGCGTGCGCCCTGGCCTTTCTCTTCGCCTTCGGGTCAAGAACAGTAGCAAACCATCCCCAGGTCGCAAGTCACTTGACGTCAACTGATTCCAACACTTTGCCTTCAACTCATCTTGTCGCTTCTGCGTCAGCAGTTGCCGCCATTCTGCCATGTAGGACGCCTTAGACTGGTATAGTTTTTTGGTGATTTAGAGACTTACAGTAAGAGGTTTCATAGCAGGACTCTGAAAAATCACTTCCATATTCTTTCACTTGCTGTCTCCGAAGCTCAAATGTTGGCTGGGCATGGCTGGGCAGCTTGCCATTAGGCCTTTGGTGCCTCCAAGCCATTGTCTGCTCAGAACGCCTTTGGGCAGCGAAGCAAATAGTCTACAGCCTTACCACACCTTCTGTTGAACCCTTCTCTTCTCCCTGGGTCAAGTACCCACGGCAGCTTTTGCTCGCCGATGTGCTCTGATGACATCACGCCTGAAGATACAAAGCATCAAAGAAAGGAATGTAAAGTAACTTAACTGATCTGACCAAAAAAGAACGGTTCTTTGATTGGTATTTCATCTTTCGTGCGCATGACAATCCCAAAGTGCACTTCTGTTTGAGGTCTGAGCCAAGCATGGAATGATGGACCTGGTCTGCCACTCAAGGCCTTGCGCCTCAGCTGCACCAAAAATGAGAATTAATATTATATAATTAGTTTCAGGAAAACAAGAAACAATATAAAACACAACAATCTATGCCGATCTTTGCAAACTCTGAGGTGTTGACCCCCAGCTCATCACTGCCTGGACGCTTCGCTGCACGATGTGTTCGAAACGAGGCAGGTGACATTGAAACGAAAATGCCGCTGGATGCCTTGTCAAGTGCTGTGAGCCGCCCACGCCGGCGGCTGCCGGCCTACAGGCTTCACAAGTCGTAAAAAATGTTGACAGGGACAAGTGTATGTCAAAATTCTGAGGCTTCGGGCCGACCTTTTTGGTCATTTCTACTTTTAGCCATCCCGTTTCTGACTCATGACCATCAAACCTTATCAAAAGGTCCCACACATCACACGGTGGCACGCGTCGACACTGCCTTTGCCAACTCCAGCCACGTGGTTGCGATGCTGCGAAGCTGGCGGGCGACTTGCTCTTTGGAGTTCTTTGGCAACTGGGCAGGGGAAGAGGCAGCTCTATAAAATTATAGACGCAGTTGTAAGCATTTGTGGGTATAGGGACTTCACTGCATCTCAAATGATGCGCCAGCGCACAAGTCATCATGAGGCATTATCAGGTTTATCTTTCCATCACTATAGAGGAGTTATATATGTAAATCACAAGCCGGGCAGCTACTTCCAAGTGACAGACTATTGCTGAGATTTGCACCCAGCTAGCCATAACTTGTTGGACAGCGTTTTTCTTCAATTTCCTGGCTTCTTCCTGCGCGCACGGGAAGTAGTCCCAACTAGTCCCAACTAGTCCCAGCTACGTCGCAAAAAGATGCGGCCTGGGTTCTAAGGGCCGAACTGCCCAGTGATCCAAAGCCTGCGCTTTTGCTGTTTCAGCACCTGCAGGCCGCATCTCAACTATATATAATATATAATAATATATATATATATATTATATATATATATATTATAATATAGTGTCATCAGTGTCATCTATAATTGTCCAAACAACTTGTCAAGGTAGGAAAGCAAACAAAAGCAAGGCATGGTTGTGAGTCATAACATCTCATTGCTCTTCAAGCCCTGACTGAGTTTTTCTTGGGAAATGACGGACACGCCGCTCACGCTCTTCTTTGAGACCTTCGAAATGGTTTCAGAAAGTCACTCAGAAACACAAAATTGGCAAAGGCCACAGCGTGGTCGGACATCTGGCGCTGTCTTGGTGCTCGGCGTTCTTCATACAGCTGCCTCTCCTGGACGTTGAAATATGTTGCGATAGGTCTCCGAGTCTCCACTCTCAGTGACTCACTGGGAGGTCTGCTTTGATGATTTTGATGTCTCCACGGCCTGCACAAACCGAGCTTCTGCTCTTTCTTCAGCTTGAGTTTCCTCGGCAAACTCGAGTCATTACTCACCTATTAACAGCACGAAGCCGCGAAGCCCAAAGGAAACCATGGTGACATCGAAATGTGTCAGAATTGCTAAAGGGACCCAAAAGAAAGCTTGGACGGAAAGTGCCATCAATAGCCTCGTGAACGGAAAAACTCGTGGATGGGAAAATCTAATCTAACTTAATGGCCAAAACCTTCACCCCTTTGCTTTCGAGGAACCTTGCGCTTTTCAGAAACCCGGGATGGTTTTTTTCTCCACAGCACTCCATGCTTTTCAGAAACCCTGTCTGGATATGCTCAACATGATACCCACACCCGAGGCCGAGACCGCCAGCTGTAAAGAATCTCTAAACTCCCTTTCCAGGCCTAGGCATCACAAGTCTCATGAGCACACCCAACAACCAAGGATTTGGGTCATCTATGGGTCATCTATGGGTCATCTATGGGTCATCTTGGGAAAATGGTTTAATATGTTTTAATCAGGTCTGGCTGAGTTCTGGCTGAGTTCTGGCTGTGGAACTTCCAAATCTTCCAAGGCCACATGAGGTGGAGACGTTCACGCATCTGTCTTTCTTCTTTCATGCGCGCCTCCCAGAGCTGCCGCTCCTGCGACACGGATGTCGCAGCAAAGGCTGTGGTTCTTTCGGTTCTTTCGGTTCTTTACGGTTTGCGGAGGAAAGTCAATCTTGTTGAATGCTGTTCAATACACCAACAGTCCAAACAATGTCGGTTGCATTTGCCCACATCCTTGAGATGCTTTCTGATGGCTTCTTCCTCGGCCTGCTAGATGGGTCATGCCAGCTGTCGAAAGCGAAACATGATTAACATCTTGAGAAGGACCTTCACTATTGATAAAGCCTGTGTGTGTGCATGAATGCGCGTGTGCACGTACATATTATGCGCCCACATATGCATTTTGCTCATATTGGCAGTTGTTTCTTTGAGTTTACCCCACAAATGTTGATGGCATGTTGATGGGTCAATCCCACCTCTGCTGCAACTTCCGCAGCTTCTCTTGCAGATAGACTGGCTGTGGTGTCCAGCACACCTCATCAGCAAAAAATATATGAAACAATTTGCAGAGCTGTGGTATGCAATGGTGCGGTGACGAGATGATGCAATGGAAAATGAAATCTGTGAATGAAGGAAGAAACATGAGCAAACTGGCATAGAACCATATAGAACCATATAGAACCATATAGAACCATATAGAACCATATAGAACCATATAGAACCATATAGAACCATATAGAACCATCATATCATGATCAAATTCCCCCTGTTTTGGGAAACGTCCAGAACAAAAAAATCCTCAGGATCTCCAATGCGCAGCACAAGTCTAGTTCCTGCATACCGATATGTCTGGGTTCAACACGTCGTTGCTCCAACCTACAGGCAGCATATCGTTGGAGAAGTGGAAAACCACTTGCGGCATCTCGTCATATCACTTCCTCACCTCTCGAGTTCATCTTCAAAGCCTCGTTGCTCCTGTTCTCTACGCGCCCACATGCTAATGACCCAGGCTGCCACCGTTCCTTCCAAATAAAATGAAAGGCCCTCAATTAGAAAACCGTCTTACATAGACCTCCACATATATTGTTTGAAACAAAAGTTGCGCGTGTCTTCGTACGATGTGCAAGAATGGCGAAAAACCATGGATATGGTGATATGGATGTCTTCTCGAAAAATCCGCGCGAAAAGGAGTGACAAGACTGGCATAGTTCCCGGATGTTCCCAGATTCCCAGCACCCAAAATCTGTGGACTCCTCTTCCAGCCGCCTCCTCGCCTGTGAACGGTGAATGACTCACGGCCCATGGCCGCCATGGCCCATCAACGTTTCAGCGCTGTGAGCTCCAGACCTTTTCAGCGGCTGTCGAGAGCTCCTCACATTGTCGGTCCCAGCCCTGGCACTGTGGATCTCAGCCATGGGGCCATGGGGCCATGGATTTGACATCGGTTTGAGCTACAGTTTGCTACAGGAAATCTAGTGAGATGGATTTGTGAGTAGTTGAGACATGTTGAGACTTTCTACGATTCTACGGGGCATCTTGATTTCTCAATGTGAAAAGGAAAAGCTGTTCATATCTCTTCATACTATCACCTCAAAGATGAGCCAGAAATCCCAAGCATCTGTGCCTCTTTTGCTCGAGCAAACAAGTCCTTCGTGGCCTCAACTAAAAACTCACTGGCAGAGTTCCTGCGACATAAGGTGACTCGATTTCTGGCTGAGTTCCCAACACATTGCCGCCACGCACTGAACATGACCTCAGGAACCCACACAAGGAGGACGTGACGGACGTGGAATGCGTGGAAATCTCGAGCCAACAGTCCAACAGGAGTCCAACAGTTCAGTTGCTTCGAAACTGTGTGCTCGACGTGCATCACTCCAGCACTTACTCGCTGTGCAACCGCATCGCTGCACGCCCTGGCTCAGGGTAAGCAAACTGGAAATGTGAATTTGGAGTTGTGAAGGAAAGGTTGCCTTTATCGACCATACTTTTTCCTGTGACTCAGGAGTCTAGGTCGAGCAGTAGTATTAGAATGTATTAGATACATCATACACCTGATATTGTGCCTGATGAGACGCTCGATCCTCTTTTCCATCGCAGCATCTTGATGTGCGACACGTCGAGCCAATTCCTGCACCGTTACTCGTGAATGCTGCTGGGGAACAAACATGTCATGGGTACAGGTTGAGATAGGGACAAAATCCAGGGAGCCTGTCTGAATTGACATTGTTATCAGTTTGGGGAAAGCCAATTTCCTCGCACAAATCCTGCCCTGAGCATGCACAAACAGATCAGGAAACAAACAAACTAACTAACTAACTAACTAACGAACTAAGAAAAATTGCTATATTTTCCATGAGAAATAGAGACGAGTGGATACATATATACGTGATTATACGTGCACATAGGAAGCCACAACCATTTCCTGTTGACCCTCACCTCATCCGTCATGGCTGCACGGCGCATTGGCGGGGAGCCCATCTGAGTCACAGCTTCAGAAATCTTAGTCGTAGAATGTCGTAGGGCAAAGCGAAAGGATGCGAAAGGCACAAAGTCATATTAAAATTAAAATATATATTAACTACAGTAGATAGTACTCCAAAAAGACACGAAGAATCCTCCAAAAAGTTTCAAGAACTCTCTTTCTTGATTCTTTTGAGGCGTTTTCTGCAAGCTGTGTCAACACTTGGACTCCCATCTCTGATTCCAGCCTCGTTGACCCGAGGCGGGCTACCAGCCGAATGCACCGGACTGACCTGACAACATGAAATGCTTCAGATCAAAGGATTGAACTTCAGGCGGGCTCCAACAGCGGAACGGCTGCAATGGCTGAGGTGTGAGCAGCGTCCACGTACATAGCCCGGACCTATCAGAACCATCAGAACCAAATCATGGGCATCTGTTTGCTGCTACAGATAAGGCTGAGTGGGCGACGACCGCGTCAGCCTGAGCCAGCTAGAAAATGATCCACAGCAAGTTGAAATATGTTGAAATGAGGAGAACTTATGAGTTGATACTCAGAACCACCAGTTCATGCAAGAGGATGCAAAAGGGCCAAACATGTTTTGGAGATTTCAGAGCTACAAACCATTGGAGCCAGAGTGGTCTGAGGATCCTACCAGGCAAAGGCTTTCACGCACGTCCAGGCTGTAGCTTCTGTCCCGGTCAAAATGCCGATAGATTTCGTACAGCTGCTCCTGAGCCCAGAACCAGTTCAAAATCTCTTCCTCATGAAATCTGCCTGAGGTTTCTGCTTCAACCTGGATACATCGGTTTCTTTCTTGTTTTTCGTTATCTTTTTTTAGCAAAATGGAAGCCACGTAGTTCCACACTCTCGAGCCATCTCCTCAGACGGGACGACCAAATTGTAGTGCTGTAAGACCTGACGCCAACATTTCTCAAGCTGAACTGACCAATGAACGCCATTGCTGATCATGCTGCACCGGCTGCACCTGACTAATGAACCGGCGGATCTCGCCCTCGTTCCAGGTCAGCTTACCGTTCCTAGAATACCACTGGACAATGGAGGTTCCAAGTGCACCCGACGCTTTGACGTCAAACAGCCAAAACCCAACTTACGCAAAATGACGAACAGCAAAAAAAAACACAAATGTCTATTTGCAACTTGCAACCACCCACAGCTGCCTGTCCGAATCGCATTGCCTGAAGAGCCTCATTGCTTCCTCCAACGACATCACAAAATGCACAGCATAGATCGTGAAGGGGTTAGAAAAAATGTCAATAGCGTTTGAGTTTGTTTTTCTTTATTTGTGTTTGATCTTTTTGTGCCAGTGTTTGCTGGCTGCATCTGTTCCTTTTCAATGATCGTTTTGAATAGTTGCACGCATAATTTGTGTGACAGGAGTGCCAGTGTTTCACCGGGTGGTGTGGTTTACGAGCACAGCTCGGATCACAACTGCAAGAACAAGTCACAAAAGGGTGACACTGTCAAAGTCAAAGGGAAATAACGCGAGAATCCCATGCAATCCCGTCTGAAAAATCAAACAACAAAGATTCAACTTCAACAAGGTAGATATTACATAACCACTGACACATCGTTAACTCATCAACCCCCTATACAACCAATTTCCTGTTCTTTCTGGGGAGTATAGGAGCAGTTACTGCGGCATGTCTGAGGCAGATTGTTTGAGGGCAGTCCTTCAAAAGCTCGCCGCTTTCAATGGCCACGATCATCCTGGCAAAATCTCTCGGCTCACAATGACTCCAAATCTCACGCCGATCTCAAGCTATCTCAACGACTACCGTGTGACCGCCAACACTTCCTGGCCGCCTGGCCTCTGCCTGTGACGGGCATTCTGCAAGAGGACTGGCTTGATGTGAGCGGCCAGCAGGTGGAGGTTCACTGGCCTTAGCAGTTCGACACACAAAACTTGAAGCCATCTGAAGCCATCTGAAGCCATCTGAAGCCATCTGAAGCCTCTCAAGATTCTCAAGTTTGACATCTTTCAATACGTTGCTTGGCCACCAGCTCACTGCCGTAGCTGACCTCTGCCAGTGTCCAACTTCAGCTACTTGCTGCACTGGAGGAGTGATGGCCAAGAAGTAAATGTCATCAGTCATCCGCTTTTTCATCCGCTTTTTCTGATGGGCGCAGCTACAACTGTGAACCCGAACATGCTGCATCACTAAAGCTCCAAAATCTATCTGAGTACTGCTGCCTCAACACCAAGTGAAGGCGGCTGAAATGAAGACAGCCATTCCTCTGCCAGAGAGTACCTCAGGTGCTGGGAAGAAGTGATACTTGGCACAGAATACTCCTACCACGGCGCACGACGAGGTCTGGGGAGATTGCTTCGGATAGCCCTGAAACGTGGATTGCGAGTGTCTGGACGTTTGGCATTGGGTTGAAATAAAATGAAATAAACATCATATACATTATCTATATATATATATATATCTGTGTGTGTGTTCCACGCAAGGATTTCGGGGATTTCCCTCATGATTTTTAAATCGTTGTCAAAGTTTCCACATCCATTCTTCATGGACCCCGCCTGCGCTGGAGACTGTGCCAGAATGATGGCCCCTTGGTGCAGCGATGGCGCGATGGCTTCGGCACCTGGTGATCCTGGTGGATTCGGGCTCCGACGAGCCAAGGCATCAACCAGACAAAGGCCCTCTCGTGGTTCCAAACCTTTGGCGTGACGTCATAGTAATGTCATCTGTCTCCATTGGACTTTTTTTCGGATCACAAATCATGGACAGGTGGAGACACAAGAGATTCTGGGGAGCGTTGAGCCTGTCTTGATGGATGGTGAGTTCAAGCTTTCGAGCCATTATCTACTGGGTCACTTTGTTGCTAAGTCTGCGTGGCTCAAGCCTGCGTCCAAATGAATCAGGGAGTTACTGATGAAACCCTGGACATAATATCTTCATATCTTGAATTATATTAATAAGTATCATTATATGGTGTTTCTATGCTTTTCTAAGGTACCAGCGGCCGTTGCGATTGGAGTCAAATGCCTGAAACCTCATCATGGAATCAAAAATGGCACGCAGAAATCTCCAACGAAGAAGCATGGCGTAGAGTCCTTCTGGCATCTGAGGCGAGGACAAACTTCTGATCTGTTCCTTCACTACTCCAAGTTGCAGCTGAGGCAAACTAAAACATATATAAACATATGATATCTACATATATATTTTTTCTCATATATCTACATATATCTACATATCGTTTTAGTCGTCGTTATCGTCCTCATCATCATAGTCACCACCACCGTCACCATCACGGCCACCACCACCACCACCATCATCATCACCATTGTCGTCGTCATCATCATCTTCTTCATCATCATCATCGTCATCATCATGATCATGCACATATATCTACATAGCTATGAGTCAATACCTATACATACCATTTTTAGTGGGATGAACATCCGTTTACCAGCTATTTTGATGTTCACCAGGGGTACAAGGTTTTGACACACTGCCACATTGACATTGACTATATAAATATGGTCAAACGTGATTCCAGTGTTCAAAAGTCATTCGTTGTCCTGGGCTGGAGGCACCAAACCTTGCTGCTCGAAGACCTGCAGGATGACATGTGAACTGGTGGTCGTTCACGCCTTCTTTCACATGGCTCACATGGGGAGTAACTTTGTTAGGACATGAAAATAGATGAAACTCCCAAATGATCCTTAATTCATTGGCCGGGTTTTATTCATTCCAGGGCTTACACAATTGCACTGTCATGCCTTGATTTGTGCCATCACGCTGGGGCACTGATCCTTGGCATGTGAAATGATGATGAATGAAGGCGGACCTTCGAAATGAAGACGTAGACCTCTCCGTGCTCCCAGGTCAAGTACCCTTTCCTGGCCCAGAAACATGCAAACTAAGAAGGCAAAAACGAAGCAGATCGAAGCATACGGTTGCGTCGGTTGTGTGTCAGTTCGGTCATCAAATCGCCTCTCCCTGTCGCAATGCTGGAAGATCTCCAGTGCGCCCTGGCAGAGCTTCTTATCATCAAACGCGAAAAGCGTTCCCTTGCGCTGTGTACCAGAAGCTGAAAAGACTCCAACGCTGTATAGGGTGGGAATGGCTTTTTCACTTCTGCAGTCTTATGCAAGGGCTCTTTGGCCTATGGTACCATGAAAGCTCACATTGGAGCTTCAACAACTGGCATTCAACATTTCACCCAAACTCTGTCCATTTTCTGTGCATCACACCTCAAGATCCTGGGATGTCCATCATGGTTTCTATCATTTCTATCGATGTCTCATGTCTATCCGAGTCTATCCGTCTATCCCAACCGAGGGCTCGGTTCTGCCGCGGCGCGCAGGGTGCGACGCCGGAGGCCCTCAAGGCTCGAGCTGCGGCCCTCGCCGTCCGTGCGGTCCGTGCGGTCGCTGTCGCGGCTGCCGTCGCGGCGCCGCAGATCCAAGCGCCGCAGCCGCGAGGCGCGGGCACCGCGGCGTCGCGGCTCCGGGGCCGACTGCCGCAGCACCTGCAGCCGCAAATGGAGAGATCCAGCAGAGCGAACGCAGAGACCCGAACGATTTCGTGGAAGTTGGAGAAGTTCGTCAGCGGCCACGAGTTCCGGAGATGCCAACGGCACGAAGGCACCACAAAAACTGGCACTGAGACGTTCTGACAGATTTCCTCGAGGAGCCCAAAGACTTCCATGCAGATTATAGCTGCCTGGTTCCCGAGGTAGATCCACGAAGGTGTAGCCTTCTAAGAATTGCCGCTCCCAGCCATCCACTCGTAGTACTTGGAAGACCAGTCTTGGTGGGACAGGATCATCCGTCAATGTCGTTATGTCTGCTTCTTTGTTGTCCAAATGAAGCTCCAAGGGGTGATTGAAAACATAGCTACGTTTTGCCGTGTATGATCCACAGAGAGAAGCACAGTGTGTGCAAATCATCTCTCCGTTCCATGGTTGGGCTTCGAAACCTGTTGGGACCTCATCATCCACGGAGGTATCTGCAACATCCCATCCTCTTCGTGGCAAGGCGACTTGGCAGGTGGCATAGTAGTAAGGTCGCCAGAATAAACTCGACAACGACACTGGCTTTGAGGAGCGGAAGAGAGCATCGCGCAGGAAATCTGGTCGTGAACTCTGTGCACTCTGTGGACCATCTGATCCATCTGGCTCGTAAGAGACGATCTCACCCACGTAGGTGTATCTGGCTGGGCGGGCCATAGCAATGCCAAGCGGCACCGTCACTTGAAGTGAGACATGGGTCTTGGCCTCATGGCGACACCAGGGTCACTTTGAGGTCAAGGAGCCGGCTTGATAGTACAGAGCCAAGCAGCTATGGGATAACATACATGACACAAGATACATCAAGATACCAAACAAGTTGAACTCATCAACGGAGACCCTTCACAGTTTCAGCATCTTCAACCATGTTACAGTGTTACAGCTCAGGTCGTCAGCTTTGAATGTCCTTTCTTCGTTCAAAAAAAAACAACACAGCCATGGCCATGGCCATCATTCGGCCTTTAGCAACGACATGTTTTCCAGTGAAGACTTGATCCTGCCATTTCAACGCAGCGGCACGAAATGCCAAGTACCTCTTTGCAAACTTTGCCCCCAAAAAAAAGTTTGAAAGCAGCTGAAATTCTGAATGTGAAAGTATGTTTTAGGCTAAAAGTTATTCCAAATCTGTTCCTGTGGCATAAACATGCATTTTTCCAAATTCAGTGATGTCCTCTGTATGTTGTTCGCATTGGCATCGGCCGTGTGAGTGAAGTGCCCTGAAAAGTTGGTAATGTCCAGGGGCCTGAGGCCACAACTTCTTTGTGAAAGGCATCACAAGTCGCTGTGTAAAGCTAATCAGGCTAGGGATATGTTTCCCACACCGGACTCAATGTTGGCAGTCTTTCATGTTGACTGTGACCTATCCTGGTTGGGGCTCTTCTTTTTCTCAGCACCTTTGAAAGATTTTGAGAGTGCATTGGTGGGGGGAAATGGTTTCATTGACTCCGTTTCGTGCCATTGGGTACCTACTGATCCTTTTTGCTAGATGAGGAAACCTGTGTTGTCGTTGCAGAACTTTGAGTGTGTGTGTGTGTGTGCTGTTCTTGCCTCTTGTTGCCTCTTGTTGCCTCTTGTTTCTTCTGCCTCTGAAGGCTTCAACCTTGTGATCTTTGCGCATGGCACTATGCGGGATATGGTTGTGGATGGCCTCAACTCAAAAAGGCAAAGGCTCACATTACACAAGCCAGCATCCTTCCATCGAATGACTGCGGTGTGGACCAGTCCAATGCGCAGCGCACTCAGCAAAATGCACCCAAGATCTGCAGAACCTATCATATGTATACATATCACATATGTGTATATATATATATATATCAAAAATCATCAAAACATCCGGCATTTGTTTTGCTAAGGTAGCGACGGAGCTCCGGGTGTGTAAGCCAGGCGAGTCTGTGAAAGAAGCGGCACCTGGCCCGTCTATGACATGTTTTGAACAACCTGTGGACTGTGTATCGAACAAAGTTGAAGGGATCGCCTGGTAGCTATTGATCCACTCCTGTGCAAGCCGAATCCTCACATCACATTGCATGGATAGGGAAGGCCGAAGGCTTGTGAATAGCACGTTTCCCCAATATCTTATGCTTCACAGTGTTCAAGGAGCCTCCACCTTTTGCTTTCTGAGAGTGGCGCAAAAATGCCGTCGTGCAGTGCGATGAGCTTTTATCCATTTACATACTTCTGCACCGATGTAATGCCGATGTATTGCCAATGCATATGCTGTAAATGTTCTGCGGTTTGCATCATGGAGCCAGGAGAAAAAATCACTAGCTCTTTGTAAGAACTGAGGCAGGAACCCCCTGCCGGGTGGCAAAACTGGAGCCTGGTGCTTGTCCGCTTAGACATCAGACGAGTGCATGATCCAAGTACCACATGCTCTCCTGGTCTGATGCTGGGAGGATGTCTAGCTGAGTCTAGCTATTCTCCGTGTGGTCCAAACGGCTCTCGCCAAAACAGTCCAAGGCTGGTTGAGCTTCTCACGCCACTCGGAACAGGAAGAGCCTTGCAAAGGATCAAGGCGTACATTGTGCAGAGTTCGGGTGTGCACACATACTTGCATATAATTATACATATATATATACAGCAAACTGTATACAGCTAGATTAGGTACTTGAAGTCAAGCACAAGGATCACAACTGCATGGATGAGTCCTTTTCCTGCTGAGTTTCTGGACTTCTTTGATCCAGGTCACAAGTTGCACGCTCTGCGCTACGGTGCAGCACTAAACGTTCCTGTCCGCCACACAGCGGAAACCTATGGTTCCAGCGCGATCCAATGAAGGAGCCTCAGAGCAACGAAAGAAGGGAAAGAAAGACGTGAAACAAGAATAGTGGGGTGACACCAGCATGACACCATTGAATAGTGGGGTGCGACCTCTGACCCTGAGCCTGCCTTCCACTTCAGCCTAGACACCATCAAAAGGTATTTGGCGTGAACGGTCAAGCGATATAAACTGGGATAGTCCTTTGGTGCACGATGCTGAGCAATACAAAATGGAACTTCCACTTGATTGCTGGTTGTGGCAATGGATTGCAGTAGCATTTGTTGGAAAATCCGTTCGCCACGTCTCCTTGGGGCCGAAGAAGTGCTCCCCCGTCCACTTGGCATTCCAGGCTCCTAGGAGAGTGCATGTGAAATTAAGTGGTGCCACATCATACTACTTTTGGGGGGAGGACAAAGCTGCTAAAGCTGCGGTCTCAACTGGGCCACAGCTTCAGACCAGAATTAGTTGATACAAAAAAAATGGTGCAGTTAACCAGAACTCAGAAGTGCATCTTCTCATATATTGTATATCTTTATATCTTTATATCTATGCAAAAACTGTACAGCCGAGGAACCTGCTGCCGCATGGCCTGGGAAATACCACGGCTGGTAGCGAGGACTTGCCACGTCTCCCTGGTGGCTGTTCGGCTGGAAGACTGAACCGCCTGAGGCGAAGCACCGCGATTTTTCTGTGACCAGGCGCACTAAAAATGTGGGAAGAACCCCAAAGGATCCCAAAGGCCCATTTGGGCCCTAAAAAATCTAAAAATGCTCGAAGCTTAACTAGCAGAACTAGTGACATCATTAGAAAATTGGGAGGGTGAAGTCACAGTGAAGACAGAACAGGCAGACGCCACTGCTATCTACTTCAGTCAAGGTTCCTCTTAGGATGGACGAGCGGGTGTGCTCGTCTCGGAAAGTGTCCTCACTGACAAGCAAAGCGTGACCCAGGAAATGATTGTCCATGGCCCATTGCCAATCCACGTCATACCATATCAATCCATATCATTCAGCTGTCAAAACTAGTGCCAAGGTGAGAGCATGGTTACAATTCAAGCTTGGAAGACTGCTTGGCGAAATCCCTGATACGGAGGTGCTCAATTTGGGTCAAGCTGCAGAAGTCCATTGCCAAACGAGGCCGACTAAATCTTGGACACCATCTTTGCTGGCCCCCTGTGGAAAGCCCCCGACGTCACCTGGTCATGGTGGCGAGCATGCTACGTGTTGCAGCCTTGCCCCCACCTTGCACCCTCTCCGATGACTCTCTGCTGGTCGTCATACATATCATATATATATATACACAGTATATACATTTGAAATGAAACACACATGATGCGAAATGTATGGTCCTTAGACGCAATCAGACCAGTTCTTGGAATAGTTTGTCATCAATGCCCAGGGGCTCAGGTGAAAGACGCTGGCGTTCGCTTGCGGTCGAGGCATGGCTTCAGGCCACCACCATTTGCCCCAAGGATAGGAACGATCAGGATCGCCACCCTACCAGGTGCTCAAGTTCAACAACGGTGAGCGACGCTGCTCATCGGCTACATGTTATTCTCACAACGTAGGCCATGCTGGTGTAGCTTTGCAATGCTTTACATAGGGCTATTTTTGGTTCTGACTAAACACCAACCTGAGCAACATACTGCCACTCCCATTCTCGGGGAAGCCGCTTGCCATAATGTGAGCCTCAAAGAATCTGGTGAAACATGGCGAAAACTGCACATTTTGCACACAGAAGGCTCTTCATAAACCCCCTAGAAATCAAGCACCTGTTGACATCTCCAGAACTTCAAAAGAAATTTGCGCCAAATTGCCATGACATGCCTCACATGCCTGACATGCCTGACGTGCCATGTCTTCAAATGTCAAGTTATTCCAAGTTGCAATACTGCACAGCGTCCCAGTGACTCACCTTGGAGGCAACACATCCGTACACGACACCAGAACATACACGGCATGTGTCTATGGATACTTTATGCATCTTGTTATGCATCTCTTTATGCATCTTTATGCTACAATATGCTACATATGTGGCAACTTATGTGGCATTTTCCGTCTAATGGCAGCCAGCGACAAAAACCACTGGCTCTTTCGCAATACTCGGAGGCATTGTGCACGGCCACTTGCAATTCCAGTGCTTCAAGAAGTTCCCGGAATCTCCCTGAGTTTGCAGGACGTCAACATTGGGCATCCCAAAGCCATTGCGATACCTTACCATCTCCACATCGATACCTTTCCTTCGGCAGCCAGTTGAAAACTTTGCCAAGCTGCCGGAGTGTAGGAAGACTCCTTCAGAAAATTCGCAAACATCTCGTTCGTGACCGGAAACCTTGAACCATCGGCATATGTGATCACAAATTGATTTATTCACAGCACGGCGATACCTTCGTAAAAGAATCAAGACAAAATATCACAAAGAAAGACATGTGCTGACAGGACACTTGTCAACCCACAGGTTATTGATGCTGACGTTGTATGCCGCGTGGTATTTCACTGGCACCACTTCCCATGGATACCTGGGGTAAAAAGTTGGCCGCGTGTCACTGCTACTGCGAAGAAGTGACATGTTGCTGTAAGACCGGACCACTCTCACAACCATCTTGTCAGACGATGCCAGACTGTTAACCATATCTGCCATATCACTTATACCCACATATGTCACATCTCTGTGGACCGCTTCTTTAGCTCGAAAGTTTGGGAGTCATACCAGCCTCAAGCCAAGAAACTGCACGTCCACACCGAGTGTGACAAATCTTTGCCCCCCACGGTACGTGTCTTCGATTTCTGAGCCTACCACCTTATGCAAAGCCACCAAGGCTGAGCACCTACCCTTTCAAAGTCACAACGAAGGGACAGAACTCTTGTATGACAAAAACAAAGCCATCACAACAAACGGGCAAAACATCACGGATTGCACTATGATGTCCCATAACCATCTGCGACCTATGTGCAATCTGCGTAAAAAATCGCCGCGAAGGGGCTCGGAATTCGAAGGCCTTCGAACCGTTCACGGGGACCATGCCACTGGAGTTTGATAACGTGCCATCGCCGGTGGGAAAGTGATTGCTTTGCTTCAAAGGCGCGACCTGCCAAGTTGTGATCCAAGCCATCCAAAGACTGTCGCCCAGTGGCCCTGCTTAGAACATTGCTACCCTGCGGATCCCTACGGCGCTACGGTAACACCACCACTGCTGCTGTTGGCCTTGTCAGCAAAGGATGCCAAAGGCTTTGCCTGCAGCCAGCGATGAGAGGCTTCGTAGGTCCAGCATCAAAGGGCTTTGTGCTAGTGAGCTTAGTGAGCTCTTTGTCTGATGGGTTGAAGCGGTTGAAGGGAGTGGACAAAATCCATGTTGATGCTCGGGCTGGTTTTTGCTGATATGAGGGAATGCTATTGACAAAATGTGTTGGTTGGTTGACTCACTTCTGGAGTTATTCTCGAACGGATTGGCGGACGTCGGGCGACCAGAAAAAACTTTGAAAAACCCATAGGGTAAATTACTATAACTTGTTTGCTCCAGCTGCTCATCAGCGATGCTCCCATAAAGATCTTTCTTTCCACCTTTCAACCGAGCAGCTGTTGCCGTACCCATGTCCCGCAGCACCATGAGCTGGCTCGGGGTAATCTTGCCCTCCCCTTAGGTCTTTCACAAATGATGCATCTTGCCAACAAAATGCCCGCACATCCTTTGTTTCTCCAATTGATATGCAGCTTTTTCTCCGTGGATATCTTCGTTTTTCCAGTGGTAATTTAACATAGCTATGGAAAATAACCATTTTTAATGGGAAAATCCACTATAAATGGTGATTTTCCATAGCTATTTTGACATAACCAGAGGGTAAGTTGTGCCATGGCTCGAACTTTCAGAATGGCGCCGATGCCCGCAGCCTCCAGCCGCACTCGTAGTGAGACTGTCTTCCTGAGTCATCAAGTCTTGACGGCCGTGTGACCAGAGAAAATGATGAAAATGCTCTGGCTATGCATGATGTACCACTTCCCAACATACTTCACAAGGAAATTTAAGGAATTTTCGTGGACCTCATACTTCACCCGCTTCAAGTACACTGCGCTAACCCTTGTTGGCTCTCCCCATGGCTTGCTGCCGGAGTGCGCTCTGTGGAGACGATCAAGGCAAGACTTCACGAGACCTTCGAAGTGGGATGAAGAAGGCCCTAATCCATGTTCTATACTATGGATATCTATGGATTATGATCATTATATACTATGGATTCTGAATGATTATGATCATTATATGATTACTACGTATGATATATGATACTGCAGTGCAGTGGGATACACATGATAATTATATGATTCCTACTGGCATGCTGCGGGGGTTGCTGTGAAGCCAAGATTTTTCTTTTTCGCGACTTCGTTGCTTCAACCTGTACTGGCTGGCTGCATGAGTTTGAAAATTCCGGAGTATAATCAACACAAGTCACCCTGCCAAAATGACAACCAAGGTGCATTCCGGACTACGATGGATTCGAACATCTTCTCCATGATACCTGGGTGGAGAGAGACATCTTGATCTTCCAGCCTTGACCAAGACATTTTTCCAAGGAACATGTCGTAGAAGCTGAAGTGTTCAGATTGAGGCACATTCAGCGCCCAGTCCTTGCAGGTTGTAGCCGATTCATTGCTTTCATTGCTTCAGACTCACATGCTATGAGACTTGCACCTGGGAACGGACAATTTTACATATCATACCTTTCCATGCCTTTCCCATGCCATTCCAATTCTTCGGACGTGCAATTCCCGATCCTGAGTACCAGCCGTCTCTGTCCCGGTGTTGATGATCAGAAACAGTTCTTTGTCTGCACCAACCTCAGCCACTAAGCACATTGAAAAAGGATTTCCAGCGCATCGGCTCGAAGCCCTCGGTTTTGTTGAGCTCAGCACAAACTTGGAGACATAGACATGTTCCCCAGCAGGCGTCAGCTTCTTTACCGGATAGAACGGCAGCCAGCTCACGGCAGGATCCTTGGTATACTGACTGCAAGTCTGGCCAAATGGGTCAGCCAGTGCTAGCACTTATAAAGCTGAGGTGGCCAGGTGGCCATAGCATTTGCAGTGCCCAGGTCTAAGGCAGCCAAGATGCTGACAAAAACGAGTGAAAATGTCGCAAAATCATCATGGATCTCTTGAGGAGTTCGCCATCCCGCGGATTTATTCCATTCCTTGGGTGGCCATGCTGTTTGTTGCTTCTATGACTTCTGTGATTGTGAATTGCCATGATTTAGGCCGGACAGAGTCCATCACAGTCCCAAAAAGCCAAGCTGCCAAATTCCAAAGATATTCTCCCATGCAGTGTAGCCAATGGCATTGAAGTATGCTGTCCTTGGCCGCACAACGCTCAATAAAAAATGATAGCCACGTTTCGAGACACACAAAAATCCAAGGCAATGATTCAGTCGATTCAGCGAGGATCAGTATTTCTTGTGAGCGCTGTGTTGACCACCTGCCACAGACCTTGAGATTTCACGCAAGAGTGGTTCGAACCGGCCAACACAATGCAAGGGGAACAACAAGCAGCAAGGTGCAACAGGCAAGTAATGCAGCCCATGTTGCGTGGGGCATTGACCGCCGCACAATCCATTTCTGAAGTGAGACCAAAGGCACAAAGGGCACCCGTTCCTCACTGGCACATGTTGATCATGTAGCAGAACCTCAATTATTATTACCCTCTGGTAAACTAACATAACTATGGAAAATCACCATGTTTAATGGGAAAATCCACTATAAATATCTATAAATGGTCATTTTCAATAGTTATTTTGACATAACCAGAGGCTATTTCTTGAAATTTCCAGCCTTGTTGCAACGAGCATGTTTTCTAGCTTCAGCATGGTGTCGGAACATCCAACCACAGGAGGACACTGGGCCAGTGAATAGAGCCAGCCTTGGGCAGTCGTATTCCTTAGTGACAGGTAGTCACATTTACCCGCACCAAGGTGAAATTGCTGACAATCAGAGAATTTTTTCTCATTTTATCTCAATTCAGGGACAGGAAACACCTCTTTTGATCAACTGATATGTTCTTCAAACTGCTATTTTTTAAAAAAAACGTGCTCTACAATCCTAAGTGGTCCGTTCACTTTCGGATGATCATGTGTGGTGGAATAGTGCTTCTATTTTCCGGAGCAAGCTGAACTTCCTGTGCCTCCGACCAAGTGGCAAGAGAAAAAGGCCATTGTAGAGTCCAAGCTCTGGTTCGATGATAGCATGTGGGATGCCCGCCTGGTCAGGCACTGTTGCCGGTGCGGGTTACCCGAGTTCAAGTTATATTCAGCCATGCGGCCTTCCCATGCCAGCCATGCATCTAAATTTCTGAATCTCTTGTTGGGTGGCAGAACCTTCATGTTCCCAGCAGCTGATGGAATCAGACAAGAAAAGACAGCAAATTCCCAGCCCTCCTTCTGTGCCGCACTGTAGAATGCAGTCACCGGCATCTCCTGAGGACATAGATGGACATAGCGGCATAGCGGCATCACTTGATATCACTTGGAATTGCAGTACTGAGCGGATTCCGATGGATTCTGCTGGCCTCTGGCGTTGCATCAAACATTTTGCATCATTTTGCCACCAAAGGTCAGGTTTGCTTTGGGACGGCGGCACGACGAAAGGGCCAAGGGAGTCCATGGTATCCAGGTTCAAACCATCAGCACCAGCCTTCGCCAAGAGTGCTCCATATCCTCACATCTGAACAAACGTGAAATCGCATGAAATCGCAAAAAAAAGTTGGGAGAGCCGGAAAGCTCCAAAAAGTTGCCAAATGCGTCACATCCAATTTGCCAATCATGTCAATCATGTCAATTTCGTGAGTGCCCTGATGTGGTCAAGTAGCTAGCAGGATCATCTTGACCCAAGCCATTTGTGGAAATGTCCCATGGCCTCTCAGTCCCAAACGAACAATGACAACCAAGTTTGGTCATTACAGCTCTGATTCAACCAATGCAACACGTTGCAAACCGCAACGTCGTTGAGGAAAATGCAAACAGCACTAAGGTCCAGTCTTGTAGGGAAGCCTTGAAGCAGTAGCGGAGTTTTCAAACCAGTTGCATCACAAAAACTGCTGAACAAAGCGCTTTCTGCAACTTTCGGCAAGTGACTGCACCATGACGGACGGATCCGCTTCTTTCAGTGCCTCGGCTGGACTGACTCGATGAACTCGTTACTGCGGTTTGGCTCGTTGATGCCAAGAAACATCTACAGCTGCCCGCAAACCACCGGGCAATGCTTCCATCAAGTCCACATTGCTGCGTGTGTCCACCTGGGGTTTGAGTTTCACAACTCCCTGTGATTTGGGGAACTCCGCTGATCGAACATGGCAACGAGAAAAACCACCATTTATGAATGATTGTCCCATTAAAAGCTCCATGTATAGGGGGTGTCCCGTTATCACGTTTGATTGCCGGAGGGTATATCAAACATGAGAATCCATGACAATCAATGAGGCCTCCATTGGCTGCGGTTTGTTTGATGTGGCACCAAGTTTGCGGGCCATTACAATGGCTCAACATCCGCAATCTGGGTGGTTGAGCACTCTATCTATCTAAATATAATATATATATATATTATTGTTATTATCCTATCTGATATTATATTATCTAGTATTATCTTATATTATCTTATATTATCTTATATTCTAGTCTATTCCATTCTATTATATAAAGTATCTATAGTATATTATATATATAATATATATAGTATATATGATATAGAGAGAGAGAGAGAGTTGGCCAAATTTGTCGGTCGGTTGATGCCAATTCATGGAGCCATGCCCACATAATTTCATAGAAAAAAAAAAACGCCGTGATTGAAGCTAACAAAACTGTGCGATACATCAGGAACCCTGATACCCAGATCGAGCTTGTGAATCGCCATGTGAAACTCTAATCGCCAACCTTTGGCTGAGTGGCTCCGAGGTTTGGATAGCCGGCCCACAGGAGCACTTGATCAACACCGCCAAATCGCTGCTTGAGATCTTTCAGGTAACCAGTCTCAGCTTCGCTGCATTTTCCAATTGTCTTGCCACATGCAGCTACAACCCTTCAGTCTCATTGCGAAGGTTCCAAGTTGTTCTGTTTCTATGGTTTGGGCCTGTTGCATTATGAAAAGTTTACACCTGGGTTACATCGATCTTCGTTTCTGCGCATTCAAATTACTCCGGGGCTATGAGCAGCTATGCGGCCTTGCATATGGGGGGTGATCCACCCACAGCGCAACAACTTTTAATTTGGTCGAGGTTCTGCGGTCCAAGTATGCCTTACTGGTTCATATAGAAATCGATCATGGACCATTGTTTGAACCTCAGATGACTCAGATGCTTCGACACAAAATCGCCGCAGATACACCACAGGCCGTGGTAGGCACTTGATCTTCATCTGGGAAAGAGCCGCACATATTTACCGTCTAAATCATCTAAGGAGAAACAGAGAAGCAAACTTCTTGCCAGCTCAGTGGCCGTGACATAGGCTGCGCTACTTCGCAGAAACTCAGGTGACTCAAAATCACCTCGCGGGAAGCTTTCCATGGAAAGTGTCGACATCTGTGAAAAATGCACACTGTAGGGCCCGCAGGGTTTTCCCGTTTTCCCTCTGGATGATTGCCTGAATCTCTGGCCCAGTGCAGGGCTGACAGCTTTTGCTGCAAGTTGTGCAAGCTCAGGATCCAAGCTCCCCAATCATCTTGGTTCTCTGGGCCACTGACACCTCAAGGGCAAAAGAATTGACACGCCTACACTAACTTCAAGAAACTATTCAAGACTAATATTGTTCCAAAACTCTTGACTCTGGTGCTTCCTGTGGTTCGGAAGTTCGGGTGCTTCCAATCTTGATCCTGTGGCAGCTTCCAGTTTCCCACCTTCGTGAAAATAGTCTGCCGCCTTTGGCAGACCACTTGGTGCACAGCCTTGACCGCACCAGCCCACGCATGTCTCGAAGCTTGCCTGGGACCGGCGAGAGAACTAGTGAACCTGACCCTGGGGTTTACACGGTCATGAAGTTCGTTCACACTCCCAGGAACCTTGCCAGAGACCTTGCATATACACAATCAAACTAAGCTCTGTCAAGATCTGTCAAGATCTGTCAAGATCTGTCAAGATCTGTCAAGATGCCTTTTGCCGGAAGAGATCATCTTCACCTGGGAGGCAACTCCGCAAGCAACGGCTACATGAGGCATTGAAGTGCTGAGCTCCAGCGGTCAGCCAAGGTTGAAGCGCCTCCAAGCGTTCCAAGCAAACATCGATGTGTCTGCTGTGCCATGCAGAGATTAGATGAATTAGAGATCAGCACTTGCATGTCGTTGAAATAATGTCACCTACTGTACTGGACTGTACTGTTGCCTATCTACACCCGTGTCAAGACATCTGAATTTCTAGTACAGTACAGTACACTTGGCTTGGTGGTTCGTTATGGTTCGTTGCCTTGTTCACGGATAGCTCAAGAGAATCCGGAGGTGCTCGCGCAGAGTGAGTTTCTCCGTCACCTTTGCCATGCATTTGGTCTGGGAGAAAATTGTGAGATCCATGTGGCCCATGCCACATCCTCATCTCAAACCCCGGCAAACTCCCCCGAAGATACGCTGTCTAAAGACAGATTCAGGAGTTGGATGCCTTCCCAATCTCTCCAATCACGAGCCACTAGAGACTGAGATCTGCAGAGCATGAAGAGCTTGGGAGCTGCCAACTCCTCACAGATCCGTACCACACCCACCACAACCCCAAGCTGATGATGCTGAGGCAATAGAACTCTACATCTTTACAGTGTCAAGTCCTGCTGAAGCCTTTCTGTCCACAAGTAGAGTTCTTAAAACTTCACTGTAACAACGTTCATCATGTTTCCTCTCTCATTATACGTTCAACTTCTACCTGTGGGTTTTATTTTACAGGGGGGTGTAATAGCATCCATCGCAAAACCAAAACATCCTTGCCAGCCATGTTGGCGCAGATCGCAGCAGGTTCGATTTCTGAAATTGCATCAGATTGTATCATAAATTATCATAATATATGATACAATCATGATATATCAACGTTATCAACAGGTTCGAATTGCTGTTGCACCGCCAAAAAAATGAGCTCCTGCTTCATCCAGCTCCAGGACCTCGTAAAATGCTGCAACTCCGAGCGGCAGCGCGAACCACCGCATGGCTCGCAATGCTCATGGCTCTACGGTTTCGATGTTTTCAAAAGGCTTCGGAAAAGCAATCTGCCAGAGGGATCAGCTGTTTATAACTCCAATAACTATGGTTTTTGTTGGTGATATATCGAACTAGCTAATGGGATTATAAACCAACTTATAACTGGGGGGCACCACCTTGTAGATGCTTCGTGATGTTTCTAGATGTTTCAAATGTTTCAATATGTTTCAACCCCAAGCCAACGACCCTTTGCAAAGAACTTGAAAGTTGCAAAGGAATCGAACCGGAAATGTCAAGTTACAAACCGCCCCAAACACCATGCTCTGCCGAGTTTGTACCAGACCAATCCGGACCACAACGCCTGAGTTGCCAGTTGCGCCAATGGAGGTGCCTCAGTTCTCAGTCATCTCCCTTGCAGCGCAACAGCTCACAATCCATTCCCCGAAATATTAGTTGTACCTCGATGTACCTCCCACAAATATCCACTGGAATCTACAATGCTTCGGAATATGGAATAATAATGCGATTTAATTATGTTAGCATTGCATCTCTTAGAATCTATTCATGTGCATCCAGGCCCTTGGAGTAAGCTATGGAAGGTGTGACATCTTGTGATGGGAAAATCTTTCGGACACCAAGGCCGACTGGAGGTTGTCTGAGTCGATCACCACCGACGGCCGCTGCTGTGGTGCCGGCATCGTGGCCGAGAGCCTTGGGCCAGAGCCACCACGCGCCTGGGCGACCACTGTCGTCCAAGCTGCAGGAGCGACGATGAATTCTGAAAGACAAAGACAGACAAACAAAGTATAAAATGTATATAAAATGTATATAGGAATGTATAGTGGTACCAATCATGTACAAGCTACAACAAAGATCAACAAAGTACAGGCGTACCAAGATGTCCCAGGGTAAACCGGCCTCAAATTTGATGCTGAAAGCCGCTCGAACAATCGCCTCGCAGGGGGAGAAGTAGCCCAAAGGGATGAACATTTCAAACATTGACCGATTTGACCGGTACTTGTAACGGGCAGAATGAGCTCAAACTCAGCACCCCCTTTGTGATGAAAGCCTCGACAAGTCTCAAGCATTCGGACCTGCAGTGTGCACTGTGAGAGAGCATCAAAACGATATCATGAAGGCTCAGAATTGCAATCTACCCAAAAGGGCAGTAGAGGCAAATGAATATGCAGTCAGCATAAGGGAAGCAGGTAGCAGCTAGCATTGTGAAAAGCCATCACAACAGAACAAGATGGATTCCAGTCAGCTTTAAGGGATTTAAGATGATTTAAGTAGAAACAGTCAGATGTCATTCTTATTCATTTTTCTATCACATGAGGTAAGATCACAAAATCTTGAGGTTCTTGCAGCGACAAGCTACCGCTCTTGTCCTGCACAGCAACAAACAATGCTGGCGAGGGCTCTCACACAGTCAATGCTGGCGAAGCTAGTCAGCTAGTCATTCTCAAATTCTCAAGGAACGGTTCGAATTATATTATATAAGTGTGATTATTCTCAAGGAACGGTTCGAATTATATAAGTGTGATTAAGTGTGCAAAAGAAATTGAGACAATTCTGCCATGTCAGGAAGCAATTGCAACATAATCAACATTGTTTCAACATCTAATCCGGTCTGAGACTGTCCCGGTCGAAGGCCGAATAGAGCTGGAACACCTGGGGTCAAGACACCGACAATTCCAAAGAGATTCGGTCACCCGATTTCGAAACATTCGAAACCCCACGTGCCTGGCCCTCCGGTGGTGCATGTAGACCAAATTGTGCCAAGACCTGCAAATTGTGCCTATTTGCGCATCACTGTTTTAGTCAGTCCGCAACTGTGGTCATGACATGTCATGACATGATGACTGCCGAGATTTATCTGTCAAGGGAGGGCACGAGGCAAAGCCATCGTGATGTCCAAAAAGGCCGACTCCAGCCTGTATAATGAAGTCGCGAATTTCACCACTGTTCCAGGTAATTTTGCCTGAGCCAATCTGGACCGGGCACTTGCTGCTGAACAACATTTGTAACAAAGTCAATATGAAAATATCGTCACACAAACGTCCAAACAGATGTGTTATTATGTGATCATATACAACGCATGAGTCGACGTAGTATGCATGTTTAGTGTATGGCACGTCTGTCTATACATACTGCGTGCATGGTTCAACTGCGCAGAAAATGGTTACCGGAGTGGTTGGAAAGTTGCTAAGTTGACAAATGAGGAAACTATGGGTGTGTCTGAAAATAGTGTACCCCTACACCCAATGGTTAATGATCATTATCCCTATTAAATGGCTATTTCATTGGGGGTATACCCCATTTTCAGACATACCCAAATGAGGAAACTATGAGGAAACCGAGCTCGGTACCTACTCCTTCCCGGTCGATCTTCCTGGACGGCTCCCGGGAAGCATGATCGAAATGTGTCATTTTCCGATCTCTGAACCCCACCTGAAGATTTCGGTGGACACTCTGTTAAAGGAGCCATCTTCCACGCACTGGACCTGCAGACCATGCAGACCCCGGTTCACCTTTCGAAATCGTAAGAAATCTTTGCAGGCTTGGTTTTCAGATCGCAAAGGTCTAAGAAATCAAATAATGATCTGACTGGTGCTGGCCAGGCAGGGATCAGGGAGAAAACAGAAAGAAAATCCCGTGAAGAAACGAGCGTCATAAATATCTGGTCGAAGCAGCTTCCAAGCCCAAAATCCATCAATATTCCCAGTCGCACCATGCGGGGACGGCGTTCCACAATCTCTTGGGTGCTCAGCCATCTGGCCTCAACGAGCATACATCGGAATGACATCGGAATGACATCGGAATGACATCGGAATGACATCGGAATGAACATGTTGAAATCAAGGCATGCACCAGGCACCATTGGTCGATCATGAACCACCCAGGCTGAGAGCAGAGCATCAGTCGGTCGAGCATGTGGGCCTCTCAGCATGGTCTGAGATGATGCCTGCAATGGAGTAGAACCTGCAAGGGTCGGGCCAACAGGGTTTGGCGCAGCATCCAACATTCATGTACCCTCTGGTGAACTAACATAGCGATTGAAAATGGCCATTTATAGTGGATTTTCCCATCAAAAATGGTGATTTTCCATTGCTATGTTAGTTCACCAGAGGGTACAGGCATTGAACGTCAGTTCCCAGACTGCTCAGCTGCCACTTTGCAGCCCAAAGTTACAAGACTGTCCACAGTCAACCCGGAGCTTGGCATTTCTCTCATTTGATAGATGCGGTCGCGAAATCCCAGCCAGCGTGTGTATCCTGCCTTGGTCCCAGGAAGCTGTTGGGTGAGGGCATTGCAATGTAAACATGTATGATGTGTTATATGTATTAATATGCGTTTCCATGCGTATCTATATACACATAGACAGGCCGACAGCTTCAATCTTCACAACTGCTTTGACCTCTAAGTCGTGATGGCATCACCGTCGCACTGCCACCAAGTGGCCAAGGGCTATGGCTCTTTCCGGCCGCACAGGCAACGCGGCAGCTTGGCGGCAATGATGCCGGGCAGCCCAGACCAGCCTTTTGCAGCTGAAGGGGGAAGAAGTCGCAAGCTGCCAAGTTGCATCCAGTCACATTGGATCAACTCCGTCGAAAATGGGACTATTAACCATCGAATTGGTTCTTAAGTCTTTGCATTCTTTGTTTCCGTTTCCATCAGCTTTGAATTTCCATGAATTTCCAAAAGCTCATGTGTTGCAACCCGCAGCCCCGTCCTCCTGAAGTTTCGTCAGCAGCGTGTCAAAGGCACCCGCTTCGCCAGCCACAGCCAAAACACATGGGCAGCCTTCGGGTAGTGCAGCTACCCAGGCCTGAAAAGAGAAACCAAGAACCACCCAAAAAAAAGCCTTCGGAACAGTGGCATGAGACAAATATCGATTTTAGCAACTGGAGTCATGAATGAAAAAGAAAACTCATTCAGTGAGGAAAAACTACAAGGTTGGCATTGATCTTTATTTTTGAAAGATCAACTGGGGTGTATTTTAGGGTTTTTCTTGGGTATTTCATTGTATTACCACAGAGGACTCAAGAACCCATTGAGTCTCTCAGGAATGTCCAGTGACCAAGACCACATACATCATACACCCGCATTCCAACATGCCACAAATGCAGCCAGCACCTGCATCTCTTCAAGAGATGATGGGTCAAGACTTTTCACTCGAACTTCGGCGCCTGGTATCTTTCGCAAGGGCCATGAGGCCAAGCATGAAACAGCAAGGCCGTGCATCAGAAACCAAAAAAGAAGCCAGACCATATCCTATAAGAGCACCAAACTTGCAACACTTCTTATGAAAGTGATGCAAACATCTGCAAACAGCAAACAGCAAAGAATCTCTTGGGCTTCTGAGCACACTTTATGCATCACTTACCGAGAAGTGCCTTGAAGAGCGGCCAAATAGACACCGGGAGTCCTGGACTGCAGCAGCATCCGGCTGCCAAAGGTCAGGAGCACCTGCCGTTACAGAAACTGATGGATTGTAGATGGTTAATAACTGGTTAATAATACTTACCATTATTAACCATCATTAACCATCATTAACCATTATTAACCATCATTAACCATTAGATACCATCTGGTTATGACTAACATAGCCATGGTATAGATGGCCCATAGAAATAGATGGTTTACCTATTAAAAATGGTGATTTTCCATGGCGAACTGTTAAATAACCAGAGGGTAGATGTCAATGATGTCAATGTCTTCAGATCTCAACTCCCAAAATGTCCAAAGTTCAAAGCTGCATCGTTTTCGTCCATGATGCGAAGGTTCCTACCCTGCATCACAGGGTTGGATCCTTGTAAGGAAGTGTGGGGTTACATTCTTGCCATCAACCCTAAACAACAAACAGGCAAGAAGTGCGCAAGTTGATACAAGTTGCAAACCCAAACTGGTTTGCGGATGCGCATGGTAAATATTTACATAAAGAAAAGATGAAACACAAAATGTTTTTTTTCACGTCTCAAAGGCTCATGGGCCATCTATCAATTGTGGACGGTGCTCCATGGCTTTCGCCGTCATTTTTGGATCTCGACCTCCTGGAATTGCATGAACTTCTCTTTGAACTCCTAATCGATCGCGTAAGGGAAGTCCTCTTTGAATTCCTGGGTTGAAGTAAGGGTTCTAGTTCTCGGCAATGAGTTTTGACTGTTATCAAGACCTCAGGCGGAAACAAGTGGCAAGATTGATTGAGCTGGTGAGTTTCCAAGACGGCAAGCAATGGCAATAAACATAGTGAGCGTTAACAGGCTTGCAAAATGGAAAACGCATCTCCCGCACCAAGGCACATGAGCACTTCCATGAACATGCTGGAGAACCTGCATGGTCCCAGACATAGTCCCGTCTCGACCATCCATTCGCATTGGCATTTCGGAAAAGGAGAAAAGGCCCAGAGACAAGGGCTCTCCATTCGCTTCAGACAGGTTGGCTTCCCTTTGAAGTCGCTTTAGAAGTTCGACTGTGGAAGTTTGAAACATGTCCTGAAGCATCACACCAACTGCTTCTTGTAGGCCGGCGGAGGCTGCACAAACCTTTGCATCGTCTACATCAATGACCAGGAACATCTGACGACTGTTTGGTATCAACGGGACATCTATCGGGGCACTTTCAATACTGCAACTTGCACACGAGACGGACCGCAAGATAGTGTGCTCGGCGTCGCTACTGTGCTCGCCGTCGAAATCATCACCAGATTCACGAAGTCCAATGATGTATTGCTCACCCTGAGTGCTCCAGTGCTTGATCATAAGAGCTTCGATGCCAATCTTGTAGCCATAGTTGTCCAGGAGGCAAGTGTGAAAAGCATTTACTAAGTGCCCGGTCTGCTCCAATGCAGAGTTTGATGCTGACGCCAACGCTTCTGTCTCTTTGAAGGTATCCAGAATTCCCTGCATTCGTTTCGCCTTAAGGGGTCGTCTTCATGTGAGAAAGACAGAAGGAAAAGAAAACATGTGCAGCTTTCGATCTTGTTCGAACACTATGGATTCAACATCATTCAACACTACAGAAGGCCGTTGTGAATGCTTTAGCATGCTGTAGCCGTCTTTGAGTGTGCCTCCAACGGAATCATAAAATCCAGGAGGCTGGCACCTTCTACATTCTGATTCCCCAGTGATAAGAAGGCGGCGAGGCTTTGTGAGTTGTTGACTAAACAGCAGTCACTGTCTGTGGTGACAACTGCATCACAAAGAAAGTGCAGAAGTGCCGATTTTGTGCTGCACTGCGCAGCTGCATTATCGCCGTTCATCTTCAGCTGCGCACAGAACATCAGCATGGATCGAATGGCCAAGCTCAGGCTAAAGGTTGTGACGAAAATGACAAGCTCGACCCAAATGACGGAAATGGCAGAAAAGGAGCTTGAAGAAGCAATCCCTATGCCGCTCATGCCCTGTGATTCGCTGCGGAAAATCACGAGGCCCAGGAAAGCAAAGTTACTGAGGAAGACCAACGAGATGCAATTGCACATCACTAGAGCTGGAATCCGGAAGAAAAGCAAAATGATGGACATTGGCAGAACGTCTTCAGACGAGGTATGCCAAGGAGAGAGGTATGAAGCTGCGAGAATTGTGAAGATCACAAACCACATCTTGAGAGTGACTGCAGCTCTCAATGTCTTCTTGTGAAACTCCCATAGTCCGCTTGTCAGAACTAGGCACGTCACCAAGATCGTCCAAGCAGATGCCTCCGATATCCACAAAGGCCATGAAGATGCAAGGCAAATTTGTACCATTCCCAGGGCAAAGAGGTTCACTGACATAGTCACATAAATGCACTGCCGTGCAATGCTCAATCTGAGGTCATCAACCTGCTTTTCAAGCACGTTGCTGCCACAAGACAAAATCCTCCTGCGCAGGCCGCACAGGGGAATTAAGTTACACCTAGGCTTACGCAACAGTCCTTGTCATAAACCCCATGGCCAAATTCCTACATGAGAAACCTACGTCGTACCTAAAGACCTACATTTCTCAAAGTTACGAAACTTTCAGCTGATTTCAACTCCCTCCTGAGTCGGTTCCAGTGCTGAATCATCTGGTCCAGCCAATTGGCCGTGCACTGCGCCATGCACATATTGATGAGGAGAAAGAGCTGCAGTCCTCAGCACGGCACGAAATGTCTCCCACTTGCGTTTCCCAGCTTTGTTTTTCTCCACGCACCCTGGTCACCTGGAATCACGCAGCCTTTCCAACCTCCAGCCTTGCAAACTCAAAACAATCCAAAACGATTCAAAACACGGGGAAACTAGCCACGGCCATGGATCCCACAGAGAACATCAAGAAGCACCATTTTGCTTCTGGAATCATAGGCTCAGGCAGCTGAGGCAGCTGAGGCAGTGCGTTGAGGGAACTTGCAGGTTCTTTGAGCCACAGCCAGGGAGGATCTGTTCTCGCCATCTGCCAACAATATGATTACAGTAATATGTAACAAAATCATACAAGATCAAGGAGAAATAAAATGAAACTAGAGACGACTCTAGACCACACTCGGGTTTCCGTTCCCCGCCTGTGGGCCATCCGCCAACCTCAGGGCTATGTCGGCTATGTCGGCTATGTCGGCTATGTCGGCTATGTCGGCTATGTCGGCTATGTCGGCTATGTCGGCTATGGCACATGGCCGCACGGCGGCGATGAGAGGAATTACGGGATGATTCGTTTCGAGCAAGACACCAACTGCACGAAGAGCTGAGCCGTTTCGAAGGTGCAGAAGCCACCCACCAACCGTTGCCTCAAGGGATCAAATGTGATCTGCGTTGTTTTCAGTGGAAACTCCAACGCATTGAGAGACTTAGGCGCATAATATCCCAAAGTTAGGGATGACTTTGGATTAAAATGAGATGAAAAGCACCAAATGGTCTTCTTGGAGACTTGAAATTTGTTCACAGTTCCAATGCGGCAGGGGGAGCCAAAGCACCTGAAGTTTCCGGTGGACCAGCACCAACAATCACTAGAATCACTAGAACTATGACCAGAACTACGAAACTGAAACGAGTTTCCAGCATGTTGGCCTTTGCATCTCTTTTCATGATTTCTGGACCGTGGATAAATCCGCCCACACCGCTTTGGCGGTGAAGGCGTGCTTATTGGGGGGCAAAACAGCAACACTAAATGCTCAATGACATTTGTTAATATAGCAGTCGCTATATCAGCTTTAGCTGGGGGGGGGGGCAAAAACGGTTTCGCACCGAGACCAGAATACGGTGGTGTTTTCGACATTTTTCGAGGATTTTTGGGTGTCTGAGCGCAAGAGGGTATTGAAATGGAATTTTGGGTCATTTTGGTAGCTTTCCGGCAATGGAAAAACGGCCAAAAATGAAAAAAAAACATTGTACATAGCAAGATTTTGCAGGGTTTTTGGATGCCAGAGCATTGAAAACACTGCAAAAACAAGTGTTTTGGACTGACGTTATAGCAAAAAACGTGTAAATTACCGTATGCTTGACTGGAAACATTACAAAAACACTGTCAAAAGCAATGTTTTGGAAGGATTTACTGCCTTTATGGCAAAAAACGTGTAAATTACCGTCTGTTTGACTGGAAACATTGGAAAAACACTGTCAAAAACAATGTTTTGGAAGGATTTCTTATATATATGTTGGAGTTGGCTACCGGCATTGGAACATGGAAAAATTGAAGAAAACACTGTAAATAGCGGTATTTTCAACGGTTGGGGAGATAAGGGAATTGGAAGCATTGTCGAACATGATGTTTTCGACCGGTTTTATGGCGACAAAAGTGTAAAGTACCGTGCTTTGAAGGAAACCATTGCAAAAACATGGAAACACATTCAAAGAACACGGGATTTGGGGGACTATCTAGGCGTCGTTGTCTAGCTATTTGAAATTCCGCAGCTTGGAGAGCCTCCAAGGGAGGGAAAAGTGAAAATTCCATAGCTTGGGAAGCTGTCACGGGGGAAAAGTGAAAATTCCCTAGCTTGGGAAGCCCCCACGGGGGGGAAAAGGGGGGGAAAAGTGAAAATTCCCTAGCTTGGGGAGCCCCCACGGGGGGGAAAAGTGAAAATTCCCTAGCTTGGGAAGCCCCCACGGGGGGAAAATTCCCTAGCTTGGGGAGCCCCCACGGGGGGGAAAAGTGAAAATTCCCTAGCTTGGGGAGCCCCCACGGGGGGGAAAAGTGAAAATTCCCTAGCTTGGGGAGCCCCCACGGGGGGAAAGTTAAAATTCTTAGCTTGGGGAGCCCCCACGGGGGAAAACCACCCTTAGCCCCTCTCACGGACCGAAATAAACCTGCGGTGTGGGCGGCCACCCCACGCGAAGCGGGGTGAATAGAAAATAAAGTCGGGAATGATTTCAATTAAGAATGAATACAATATGATGAATGATTAAAGGCAACAAATATAATGTGGGTTGTTTCCACCATCGTGGGCAATAGGTCCATTAGGAAGATCCTTTAAACCTCTGCGCGAACCGGTTTCAACCACGTTGCTCCAATTCCAATCTTTGGTGGCTGAAGCATCCTGGCATAGATTGTGAATTGAAGCGTGTTTGAGGCGTGTTTGAGGCGTGTTTGAGGCGTGTTTGTATTGTGTCCGAAAGTGAGCACGAGACTGTAGCATCAAGAATCGAAGCAATGAACAAAAAAACTTCAAATGAACAAAGCCATCAAATGATTTTGAAGAAGTTGGAGCAAAAAGTTCTGCAGCCACTGAGGCTGTTCCAAAATCCAGGGGAGGACCAGCAGGTCAAAGCTTTGAAGAGAAACAGAACAACGACTTGGAAACTTTGAACAGCAAAGGATAAAGGAGCCACAGCCATAACTGGAGTTTAACAAAGTTCAGCACGACCAAAAACACCCCATGTTTTTGCAGGTTGTAGCAACAACTCAATGACAAGCCCGCCTGGGGCCGCACTGATGCAACTGTTTCAGCAAGCTGTGGATCTCCAAGTTCTGCTGCAAGTGCTCGGTACGCCTGCCACTGGTCCATCACTGGTCCCATATGGTCCCATGTTTCACAGGTGTTCCGTTTCAACCTCTGTCTGGCACATATAATGGACACAGTGGTTTATTTTTTGTTTTAGAAAGTCAAACACCAGGATCAAAAATTGAAAAGAGACCTTGAGGCTGGTAACACCATTGCTTCGTGGCACAGCTGGATGCTCGGGCTATGCCAATCTCAGCTTTAAAGGAGTTCAACAGGTCTCAGTCCTTGTGGGCCGCATGCATCACTTCGTCATTTTCGAGATGGTTGGCCAGTTGTTTGGTTCTGTTCATACTCATCCCATGATTTTCACCGCCTCTTCCCAGAGCTTCAAGGAGTGCCTAGTCACCTGACGTGGAAAACTCGGGTAACTTCTGCCGTGGAATCCCAGCGGAGCAGCGCTGCGGAGCGCCGTGCCGTCCGTGCCGTCCGTGCCGTCTGTGCCGTGCCTGCTCTGCACCCAGCACCGCACTCTCGGGCACATGCACCTCCTCGCCCAGTACTCGATGCCAGGTGACTTCCTGCAACGTCATTACTCGATTCACTCGATGTTGGTTTTTGAATTGGTCATTTGTCATTTTGAATTGACTTCCTGTGCGCTGAATAAATATTATACGCATCATCTATACGCCTATACGCTATGAATCGAAGTAATTCAAAGCGATTTCTCCATGATTCTGTGGAAATTTGTTGTTTGGATGGTTGACTCTTTCAGACGGGTCCTCCGCATCCTCTGCTTGGTCTTCTTGCTTGTCCTTGACAACCTTCCCCCCTATTCGCTTCTCCCATCCAAGAGCTTTGAAGAGCTTCCCTTCAGAACCTGGTCGTTTTCACAATGTGGTGCAACGGCAATGGATCTATGAGTGACTTACCTTTTGGAACCTTTTGGATCACTCTGTCACTCTGCCTTTCTTTGGCTGGGAAATGCTCGGAATTGATTGTTGATGTGGCCTTGGAATACTCTAAGACTGTCACAAACCAGACCGGAACGATCTCCTTCCCGGTCAATCGCATCAGAATCCTCTCGAGCATTTGGTGAGTTGGTGAGAATCTGTCAGTGTGGTTGAAACAGAAAAGACATAACAGCTATGAACAGCTATGAACAGCTTGACTCCCATGATTCTCATGTCTGGTGACCTGGTGATGTCTTCCAAAAAGTATGCCCCAGCTCCTTGAGGACCCAAGCTCGATAGCCATTGAACTTCACCAGAACCTCCTTGAGCCACTCCTGCTCCCGGAACATGTTCTGCTCGACAGGATACCGATGATACCAATGACCAAATCGCCTCCTCACTGAAGGTGGCATAGAAGGGATCCAAGAGTCGTGCCCACGGCTTTGGATCACTGGAGTAGTGGAAAATCTTCACCTTTTCTGGACCTCATCATCTGCATATCATATGCATATCATATGCATATCTGCATGTCATATGTATTTATTAAATTTTATTCATATGTTCTGTTATCAATTGCTATCAATTGCTATCTAAAATCTGCCAGCCACTCCCTGCTGGCACATCAATTCGCAGCAATCTGAGGCCGCAGCATCCGAAGAACCTGGAGCGATCGGCCGATTCGACACATTCGGGGCTCAGCGCCTCAAGGCCCAGCTGCCCAGCTGCCCAGCTACGACATGCGCCGAGCTACGACATGCCAAGCTCGTTGCCACGAGCGTTTTGTACAGGAAATGTCGCTATCGGTTTTTTGGGATCCTATGAGGTTCGTCCAATTCAGTATACCATTATTATATATATACCATTATTAGATGATTAAATAATTATGATGTCGATAGCTTTCCAATACAAATGACATTGAGTTCTGAGAGTTCTGAGGCTAGGGGCATAGTACATCTGATGCAGCTGAAAGTTGTAGGCCACGTCAATGTGGCTCCAGTCCCTTGCGAAATATCCTGTAGCGGCTTGCGGCTGGGCACTCGGCTGGACACTGATAGCTTTTCACAGCTGCTACCAAGACGCTGGACAGATAATCCTGCTCCGGGCCGTTCCCTCTGATGTGCTCCGGATGCCTTTCATCTGCAACCTCCACAGATCAGCAGCAACAGCAACAACTCATGGTAAAGTCATATTATTTGCACTTATTTGATTCTTTGATATTCTTTTCGATCCGGTTTGCGATCTTAGAATGCTGACTTTGTGCTTCAGTGACCTTCAACCACATGATCCACATGATCCACAGCCCACAGTGCCTCTGCCAAGGTTTGCTCCAGGGTTTGCAGGTCAGGCTTCAGAAGCATCACACCCGCATTGATGCCACTCCTCAGATGTTTCAGATGTTTCAGGCAGGGTGACATATTGTGACAGCAAATGCCACTACATTAGTCATCATTAATCATTAGTCACTACATGCAATTACTTCATTCCACATATCAGCTACCCTGCCTGAGACGACACTTTTCAACGAACTACTCACACCTAAGAAACTGTGTCCTAAATGCCGTCATGCTCATTTTGAGCAACCGCAGATGCGTGCCTAATGCGAATTAGATAAAGGCTGCAGTGATATGAAGTGCCTATCTCCTGGAGCATACCAATGATGGATCATGAGGCAACTCAGGATGATTTCGATATGCTCCTGGCCCAGGAGTGACTGCTTCAAACTCAGCAGGCAATCTGGCTCTCTGCCTTGCTGTTCCAAAGCTGAACTTTGGGGCACGGAATTTCATGAACTTTTCAGCATCTGAAACTGTGACTTCATAATCTCCAGGACCTGGAACTGGAACGATACTGGGCAAAGTCCGATCTTCTTTGCGACGCGGTGTGATGGTAAGCTTGCCACGTCCGAAAGCTTCGGGTAGATTGTAGGAGCCAGGCCCTGGAGCTTTTTGTCTTGCTCGCGGTGCCTCCCGTCTGGGTGTACATGAAATCTTGGCATCTGCACCGATTCGGTTGGACCCTTGATGTCCCTGCTTTGCATCGTAAGACCCGGGGCCGGGCGTCTTGTTGATGTGACGAGTTTGCCGGGTATTTGTACCAAAGCCAAAGCTTGGAACAGTGCGATGTCGCGAGCTAAAGTCCGTCTTGTTCATGTAGCTTCCAGGTCCAGGCATCTTGTTCTTGCTCTTTCCCTCCACAAACTTGGCGGCGAAGCTGAATTGAGGAGGTGCTGACACCGTTGATAGCCCTTGAAAGGCCTTGTCACTTGAACTGGTCCTGGTGTCAGTCGTGTCATTCACGTCATTTCCATCTGTCATCTCTGGCTCACGAGCATTTTGCTCCAGTGGCCTTTCGGTTGGTCCAACCTCTGCTGGTGGGCCCTCCATGAGATCTCCTTCCATGGTGTTCAACATGGCTCCGACAGTTGAGGCTCAATCAAAGTTTTCAAAATATAAGCTATCTCTAACAAAAACTAGGCAGCTTCAACAGTCCGTTGCAAGAACTAAAATAGCTGAAGCTAATTACATGATGTCTTGTGTGTGCAAGTGTATGTGCAGGTGTTTGAGAACAAGTTGCCTGTTGTGAATGGTGCATCTGCGGAGCTATCTCAAACGACCAAGAGCCTGCCCTCTCAGGACAAACTGCCATTGAGCCAAGTGATATCATCAAAGGATGGAATTGAAAAACTTGTGACACTGACACTGTCGGGAACGGTCTTCCTCTCCATGAACGCATGCATGCGTCCAGACCATCCAGTCAACGCTACACACAACTACACGGGTGTCTGCCGCAACGATCTGCCAAGGCTCGCTTGACCCCAACCGTACGAGCCAGAGCGTGCTCCACCAAAGAAGAAGCTGCCTCAAGGAAACAAGGCGAGACAAAGACGGAGCGAGACAAGGCTCAAACACTACAGCGATCCGTTTCAAGGATCACTTGAGATCTGAGCACAGCGCCATTCATGCGCTCACCATGGGTGTAGCCGCTCCAAGGACCACGGCCCATGGCTGCTGGAGCAGGCAACTGGAACAAGTCGTCGATGTTGCTGCAAACCTCATCAAATGTCAACAGTGGCAATGCTTCTCCTAGCACCTTACAGGATCTTATCATTCTGCAACCCAGTGACTAATAAGTCCGCATCCATAAGCAGAACCTTCTCATACTCGATCAGACCAAAGACCCTGCCAAATCTCATGTTGATGTTTCTCTATAAGAACTACCAACCACCAAAATCATGAGCGATGTACATATACATATGGAAATACATGGCCGCGCCTCAGCTTCGTGAACCTCAGTGAATGGATAAATCCGCGCAGTAGCAGTCACAAGTTGGCAGCGGCAAATGAACAAAAAAGATTCAACATGGCAACAAACGACAAGAAGGATCATGACAACTAGTATGCCAATCTGCTGCAAATGTCGCATCTTTTTCTCGCAGGTCTTTCGGGTCCCCTCCACATTCACTGGTCTTGGTGACAAATGGTGACAAATGGTCTAGTTCAGCAGAATTCCATCGTACTTGGTCTGGAACCACTTCATGCCATCCTCTTTCTTGAGCTTGTGGGCACAACCGACCTTGCCAACCTTCAGCTTGCGATTCTTCACACGGCTGCCGGGGCGGGACAAATGCACGTAGAAATCCATGCCGTAGATACCAGTTCCAGGGTCGTATTTGATGCCCAGGTCGATGTGCTCCTTGGCGCGACGGTTGAAACAGCTGGACTCACGAAAAAGCGATGGTCTCCCCTTTCCCGAGAAGGAAGATATCCAGATTATCCAGGCATTTTCAAGAACAAGAGTGGAAATAACATCAACCTCTCTCACTGAGGCGACCTGTTCACCAGTCATTCGATGTCATTCGAATGTATTGAATCAGAAATCAATTGAACATTGAAAATATTGCAATCACGGAATGTTTCACGCCGGGAACCAGTTTTGCCCAATGTAAATGAGACAAGCCACGGTGATTCCGAAGCCGAAGCTGCCGTTTCTGGCGAAATTCTTCTTCCGAAGCTCGTACTCCTTCACCTTGAGCCCCTTCTCCAAGATCTCCTGGAGCAAGAGGTGCACAGTTCGTTGATGCCCTGAAGAGCTTACATTACCTATGCCCTATGCTACAGTATCTATGCCTAGGCAATCTGTGGCGGCTCTTCCCGGTTCAAACGAGAAAATGTGCAACAACGTGACAAACATGTGCAAACACTACGTGATAAGTCAAGACATGATGGAGATAAAATTGGAGAGATAGTGCGCGTTGTTTAGCGCCCGTATCGCCACATGCTATGGACAGTGGTGCGAAGTGGTGCCAGATACTGTGGACACGGTCCTCAGCCTTCTCCCCGCGCACGGTCACGTGGCAGGCGATTTTTTCGTTGCGGCGCACGCTCCACTGACGGATCGTCATGCGAGCCTTCGAAAAGACCGGCTGCTGCTCCGTCAGCTGCTCCTGAAGCCCAGAAGTTGAGCGGAAAACCCGGCGGGAAACAGATGGAAAAAACATTAAAAAACTGTTGCAACTTGCTTTGGCCAAAAAAATGAAAAGGCTATAGGCGTGAATCATGCACCACCAAAAGCAGGCCACCATTGGAACTGAAACATGAGGAAACATCGACAGCTCTCAGCATCGCTCCAGGACTTTTGCAGCTCGTGTGAGGCGGTCACCGCTCTCGCCCACACTGATGTTCAACACGAGCTTCTCAACCCGGATTTGGCGCATCGGATTCCTAGGCAGGAGGATACAGGCGCCAAGCGCATACCAAAATACAAAGTACAAACAGAAATAGTTCAATTGACTTAAGAAATTTAAGAATGTGAACGGAAATTAACTAGCAACTAGCCCGAAAAAATCGAGTCACTCGGATTTGTCAGCCATGGCGAATGGGACCGACTCTAAGAGTTTCTTCCTGCGTGTTCCGCTTGAGCCAAGACAATTTCCGTGAAGGCTGCATGTGCACTGCGCTTTTCTGACGAAATCGATGCATGGGATTTTGTTTTCAAGTGCTCAGTGAAGGTCACTTCCCCCCCTTGGATTTGCCAAGGAGCACATCTAAGAAGCGTCCCTCTTTGCTGGTGTACAAACTTGACACCGCTTCCGCATACTCCACCTGCAAGGTCTGACACCAACGACCCGCCGGAGCCGCCGACTTGGCGTGTCTCGCCTGGCGTGGCAGCCATCCAGCAGAGGCCAGTAGTTCGACAGCCTCATATCTCGGTGCTACCCAGTGACATTGATACTGGATTATATGGGGATGGGTCAAAACCCTATCCCCCTGGTGAACCCCAAAATAGCTGGTAAATGGATGTTCATCCCAATAAAAATGGTATGTATAGGTATTGATCCATAGCCATATAAGAAATTATATAACTACAAATATTGGCTATGTCAGCTATGTATTCCCAGTTGTGTTGGCCATGATACAACTATTCCATTGGGGTATTACATCCTATTACATACTACATTCACGGTCTTGTTTTCGCGAAGAAACTACCCTTCTAAATCACCAAACGGTATTAGAACACAAGGTCAAAATGATGTTGAAGTGTGATGGAAGATTCACGTGGGGGAGTTGCTTGGGCTCGCGGCGCATGTACATGTTTTGTGCGCATGTTCTGCACAACCTGCATTAAATTTATGACAAAAGTGACTATCTGCAATACCCAACCCAAAATAAACTAGACGACGGATGGCCCGAGAGCGTAGAGGAGCAGAGTCTTCTGTTGTTAGTATGGAGACACTATATTACAAGATAATATGATAAAGATGTATTATAGGCAGACGAGAAGAGTAGTATCAAGACAATCTATGACTAGTACAAGACAATAGTTTGCATCGTATTTTTGTAAAGTTTTTCATACACAGAACTTTTTACAGACAGACGCTTTTGCACACAGAGACTTT